TCTCTTATTTCTTCCACTTTCACTTCTCCTTTCAATTAGCAATATAGCAAAAAGAATATTAAAAAATAAGTCTGCCAAAGACAAAAATGACAAATCTAATTCCAAAATTAGTAGTCACAGTCCACTTCAAAAATTTAATATTTAAGCAGATTAAAAAAAAAAAGCCTCCTTTCCTCCTTTCCAAACCAGTCCAGTCAAGTTTAAAGTAAGACTTTCCACAGATATCCACACTTAGGAATAATTTATATTTTAGGAAAATTAACTTAAATTCAGGTTCAATTCCGCCGCTAAATTACTTCTATATTAAGTCCTAGTTACATTTGCTCTTCAGGGTGCTTTTAGAGTCAAATTAGAAAACACTCTCACCAGATCGTAACACTTTCACTCATTCTCTTCCGTTCGGGGCTGTCCCAACTTCAGCAGCTTAATGGCTGCCTCTTCAGCACCGGAAAAAAGAGCTTCTCCTGGATCAACCAGGGACTTTGCAGTGTCCCTGGGATCAACAGAATGTGCCCTCCTCTATCACTGTCTCAACAGGACAGTGAGATCCAATTTGGATCATCCCGCAGTGGAGATATCGGCGGTAGTTCTGGAGCCCAGAAAACTTCCCGCCATCTCATTGCGACGCCAGCCCCCCCCCCATTGTCATCTATTTTTATATCCATCCTCACATTGGTTAATTATTTAATATTATAGTTGTTTAATACAAATTCAATATTTTTATATAAATCAATTAGTTATAACTATCTTTTTTGTATATTAATCAATATGAACATGAATATTCCAATTATTTCTATGCAATCCAATTTCTTACAAATCAATTAATTATATTTACCAATAATAATAAACCAAATAATTTTCCCCATATATTCCTCCAAACCATAACTTAACCGTTTCTGCTTTCAACACAATATACAATTAATAGCATCTCAATGATTACAATTCCCTAGTTAAATAGACCTTTTTTTTCTTTTGTGTTTTAAAATCTTGAACTCTCCTCTTTTGCCCTAAATTTCCTATTGTTTGCACCTTTTTGCTCACCTTTTTTGGTGAGCAAAAAGAAAAAGAAATCTCTCTCCCTGCCTCATTTTGTCACGTTGCAGCAGAGCCTGCTTTACTTTCAGTTTCGTTTTAGCTAGGGAAAAAAAATCTGCTCCAGCACTCTTTGCAGCAAGCAAAGAGCTTGCAAAACAAGAGCTTGCAAAAGAGCCTGCGCAAAACAGCTGAGAGCAAATCAGCTGAGAGTCGGGAGGCAGATCTAATCAACTTGTGCTAATTAGCCTATGCTGAAGCTGAATGGGACTCTTTTTTCTTGCTGTTTGCTTGCAAGGAGGTAACTGCTGGGAGGCAGAGGCCAAAGGGTGGGGGCCAGTGGGTGGGCAGGGCTACATTCGGTGTATAAGACACACCTAAATTTTCACCCCCTTTTGGGGGGTAAAAAGGTGTGTCTTATACTCCGAAAATATGGTAGGTGCTCCTATTCTTACTTCATTAGAAGGAACTAGCTTGAAAACTATTGTTTTCTCTTCCTTCTCATTACTTAAAACTGTTGACTACTTTGGAAGCTGAGTAGGACTTGATGGATATGTCAAAGATCATATTACTTGCTTGACAGTTTTTCCATGTCACCTTCTGAATTCTATCTCATCATTTCTGGACACAAGGTCATTCCAGAGGTCTACCAGTCAGAGGCCTAATACTCTTGCATTGTTTATTTTGCAAACCATAAATCCTCTGAGATTTGAGAAAAGAAAAGAAAAAATAACAGGGAGAGGACTATCAGCAGGGGGAAAGCATTACCTGCTAGCTTGAAATGCTTCCAAGAGGATTAATTGGACTTTGCTCAGACTCCTGTGTTCCAGCAGATTCATTCCGGAAATGAGACTTTGAATCATATTTGAGATTTCTGGGGCTTGCCTGCTCTTTGCTGCAGGGAATGCACCTGTGTGCTGTGCATACAGGGAGGAAAATATAAAACCGGCATCATGCCTCTTTGTTTTATTAAATGCAAAACACTTTTCAAAAATATTAAAATCAGAGCTTTTGGAATGTACCAGCTCCCAATTGTCAACTATTACTATCTGAACTGTGTGTGAAGTTGAGTGAAATGGAAAACAGGTGAAACTGAATGGCTATTCATAAGTGGCATAAATTGATAAATCCCCTGCTTGAATAAGGCTGACATTGAGGCCTCCTGTGGTTATAATTAAGGCTATGCAGAAGCAAGCTTTTCTAGTTTAGAGGCCCAGTCTGGAGTTCCATAAATGGTTGAATATAGTCCAGAGGTGGCTCAATTCTACTTTTTGCCTGCATTAGGAGTTAAGAAAGATGCATTTTTTTTAAACCATGGGAAGATTACAAGCTTATTGATGTCACTTTTTCCAGCAGAATGAAAAGATGTTTGCAAAAAACACAGAGCTTCACAACAGTGTGAAGCATGTCAATTTTCATAAAAGCTATTGCTCCTCTAACTTTGTTATGGGACAGAATGTGATAAAAGTTTGCAATAAGTAGCCCTGCAATGGGTAAGAAAGAAGAAAGAATTTCTGAAAGAACTAGTGATGTCTCCTCTTGAACATGATGGAACTGATAGCTGGATTGAGACAGAAAAAAACCCCTTCAATGGTTATTTCCACTCAAAAAATCATTTGGCTAGGTCAGCTAGCTGGCAGAGTTCACAAAGTACCATACATAACTGAAAAACTGGGCAGAGTAAGCTGGAACAAATAATAGAACTCAGGATCTCTCTATCTTTCTCTGATATTGGAGAAGTCAATGTTTATCTGAATACAAGGGTCATTCTGATGGGATGGCAGGCCAAATCTAGTATTCCCACCCTGTGACATTTTGCATTAATAGTATTCCTTTCTAGGTGTGGCTGCTATAGTACCAATGTTCTTATAGTATTCTGGAGTTCCAAAGAAACCAACTGATGGTGTCAAGATCCAAAATCAAGATGGAACCCACTTTAACCCATTCTGTATAAATAAAAACCTGTTCTAGATTTTCTTTTCAACTTCACCTTCAGGATTTGGTCAAATCTGGTTACACCTGTATGTATAATCATGTATTATGTTAAATATTTGCATTTTCTTCTGGTTCAAATTAGGTAGTTAAATGTTAATATCACAGTTGTTGAGGTCCTTTTATTACACAACTTTGGTCTATAAAAGTGAGGAAGCAGTTCAGCACATAGATTTAATTTTTGGAGGAATGCTGTAGAGATACTATACAAATGATCGTTGTTACCTGTTGTCTCTTATCCTTGGTTGACCTTTAGAGGCCAACCCTCAATAAATATCTAAAGGTTCATGTGTATCCATAGTTTGGGCCTTTTTTTCTCTTTCTGCATGTACAAGATGTTGAACAGAACAGAATAAAAACTTTATTGTCACTTTAAATGTACACTAATCCGCATATATTAAAATGAATTTTCATTGCATTCAGCTCTCAAAAGATAACCATTATGCATATATCCACATACACACACACACATGATACAAAGAACAATTACAGTCTAGTTCGGATGTATACATACAGTATACATGGCAAAAAAAATATATCCTGCGAATCTACAAGACAGATGGCATAAGGAACAAAGCTGTTACAAAATCTAGTAGTCCTACTATATATTTGAAACCTCCTCCCAGAGGAGAGCAACAGAAACAGATTGTGAAGTGGGTATGTGGGGTCTTAATGTTTCGAGCTCTAAGCACATAGCGCTTATAAGCAGTATCCTGAATAACAGGAAGCGAGTTTCCTATAATCATCTCAGCTGTCCTTACCACTCTCTGTATGGACCGTCTACCTGAGGCACCGCTGCCACCAAATCAAATAGTGATGCAGTTTGTTAAAACCATGTCAGTTTTGCCTCTGTAAAAAGTGGCCAGGCAGAAGGAGGAAGATGTACTCTCCTCATCCAATGCAGAAAATGCAAATGCTGGTTTGTACCCTTCACTAAAGATAAATTATGAAGAGACCAAGTCAGATTGTTGGTTATCTGCAACCCCAGATACTTAATACTATTGACCACCTGCACAGTTGCAGCCTTGATACAAAGTGGAGTATGACTATGCTGGCTCTTTCTAAAATAAAAAACCATCTCCTTTATTTTGTTAACATTCAAACCAGGTTATTTTTATCGCACCAGTCCACCAAAGTCTTTACTTCCTCCCTGTAAGAATCTTCATTGTCTTCCCGGATAAGCCCCACCACTGCTGTGTCATCTGCATACTTCACAATATGATTCGGCACAGACTTGGCACAGCAGTCATGGGCCATCAAGGTGAACAGTAACGACTCAAGACACAGTCCTCTGGGGAACCTGTACTCAAGGAGGTGGAATTGGAAAGTTCTCTAAGAAACTTTGCACATACATTTTTTTTCAAAAAACAAAAAAGGGGTAGATTAGGTTGAGCTTTTATTGTTCCTTTATTTGCTGCTCTCCTCTCCTCTCCTCTCTCCTCAGCTCTGTTAGTTGCAGTAGATTTCACTAAGCTAGCTTCATCATTCACCTTGCAGCAGCTGGCCATGTTCTTTGAGTACCTGGTTGAGTTAGCTTTTCTAACTCCAAACAGTGTTAGCTTTTCTGCTCCAAACAGCTATTTCAAAATCACAATGGAGAGGCCTCTTGATCGCTCAGTCAGAACGTAAACCTATCACAAACAGCTTGTGGCAATCTCTTGATCACACTAGTGAATGCTAGCACTGTCCTGCAGGCTGCTGGAATAATGGTCCTAACAGACTGTAAATAATTTTCAAAGGGGAGAAAAAGAAAAGAGAACATCTGAGGAAAAAAAAAAGAAAATCTAAACAATGATAGGAATATCAAATCATGTTATTTTTGCATCCAAGACAAACTTATCTGATCCAAACTTAAAAGGGGACGATGTCTGTAATTTAATTTTCTTTCATTTCTAGACAGGTATATTGATAAATCATATTAATGCAACAGCACATTAAAGACCACATTACATCTGACCTTGCTTTCCTCCTTACAGGTACTGTAATGAGCATTTGTTGTGTTCTCCGCATGTGTTCTGGACTGGCTGGGGTGTATGGGAACGTTGTACAGCCCAGTGTGGAGGAGGCATTCAGGCTCGGCACCGAACTTGTGAAAATGGTCCAGATTGTCCGGGCTGCAGTGTTGTGAGTAACATCTGCATTCTTTTTTGCTTTTATATTTGTAGGACTTTACCATAAATTTGTGAATCAAGAAGGTGATGTATGACCCAGAGAAGAATTCAGAAATACACTGATTCATCACTACACAACAAATATCATTTTTAGAACTGTGCATGCTTCAGATATTACCTCCAAATGAGGCTGTGGAGCACATGGGAACATGAATGCAGCACCTCTAAAAGCGGCTGCTTTAGGTTTGCACACTGTAGGATGGAAGTTTGTGCGGCCCGATATTCTGTTGCCAGTCTTCTTCCTGCATGATGGTGGGAGATTGCCCTGAGGCCAGCTGGGAATCCATTCCAGTGCCCTGTGAATGTTTTCATTGTTCCAGTATTTCAGAGTTGCCTTTAACATTAATTCTATAGTTTTGCTGAGTTCTGCTGCTCTGCTGGTCTGGACTATATTTTGATTTATGGATTTCTACCTTATTGTTTGGGACTTTTAACTGAGCAAAACCAGAAGCGTCCTGGATAAATGGAATCTATTTATATTCTGTCCACACAAATTCAGGTTAAGAGCATTCTCCATTTCACTTTACCTTTCAGTGGCCTCTGTATTGTAGACTTCCAGAGGAGGATTATTTTGATCTCCCTTAGTGAACCTTTAAGTCTGAGTGGTAAATAAAAGGTCAGAGCAGTCCTATCATAACATAACAGATCAAAGCAAGTTTTCTCTTGTGATTTTTTTTACTGAGTGGAGTGATTTGGCATTAACCCAAGAGAAGTCAACCATCACACATATTATGTAGGAGAAATGTGTTTCATTTTAGCTGCTGTAATTATGGCTCTCATTTGACTCAATCATAAAGCCTGTTTGTGCTAATTGTATACATAGAGTGAAAAATTAAATATTGTGAAATGAGCAACTAACTTGAAGACCTACAATGAGGCTATTTAATGATGAACATTCTGCAAAGTATTGCAGAGACCATTAGTTTAGATGGTGCGTTTTTCAGTAGAGAAGGAATCCAGAATCTACAACATCACATTTTTAACTAATCAGGGATAGCTAGTTTAATAGCTATGCTTGGCATGCCCATACTGTATGTTTAAGGACTGAATTCCCCCTAGCCCCTTTTTCTTGCTATGGTACTACTTGTGGCATTTGTGATTCTTAATCCAGCCAGTACAGCACAGAAACCAGAAAGAAACTCTAAACATGTTATGACTGCACTGAGGCACTGAGGAAAGGTATAGTTAGGTAGGAATTTAGCTTCACCAATGCATGAGAAAGTTTCATTGAAGAAAAGTACTTGGCCAAATTAGTTGTATCAAACCAGAGTGAGGTAGAGCTGAAAAGAAGCCAGGGTTATGGCACTGGTATCTCATCATTATATCTGTCAGGAAAACATATTAGGAAGGTAAGTTTTTTGCCCATGGAATTTCTTATGTTGGAGCCCTGTGCCATTTCAAACTGCCTTGCTGTTCCCTGACAATAATGGGCAGAAGAGCTGGAATAAACAGAACAGTAGAATTGCTATTTCTAACATACATATGCTGTAGGTGTTTACTTTTGTGGTGATGTGATTTCCCTCATACGTAGCTTTAACCATTCAAATTCTAAATGTTTTGGGACAAAATTATCCAAGAGAAGGGTCTTGATAATTTTCCTCCCTTTCAAATTCCCTTTTCGGAGCAATTTGATTGTGGTTTTCTAAAGCTATGTTTATACTAGTATCAGTGGATTTTATTTTTAAAAAATAACTCTGGATACAATTTAAAATACTCAGTTTATTTTTTTTTTAATTTCAAAAAACAAACTTTATTAAACATATAAAAGCAAAATACTACACCATGTGTACACAAAACAACTTAAGAAGACAAAACACATATATATCAATATAAACAACACTACATAAAAAGAAAAGGTGACTTTAGTCACATATCCGTTATCTTATTGACAGTGCATTTTTAAAAAATTTTTTGTTATCATTCAGAATTTTACATTTGCCCTCATTTCTCCGAGTTATCCAATCATACCATCTATTCCATGGTATATAATATTTTGAGTCTGCCTTATCTTTCAATTCAAATGTTAATTTATCCATTTCCACACAATTATAGATTTTTTGAATTATCAGTTGGTCTGTTGGCAGTTGATCAGTTTTCCAAAATTGAACTAGGGCAAATCTGGCTGCAGTGACTATATGTAGTATTAAATACATTATTTCTTTCTTATAATTTTCTTTAATCATCCCTAGTAGAAAAATTTCTGGTTTCAGTTCTATTTTTTCCGATGTTATTTCTATTAGCCAAATCCTTATTTTTCTCCAATACTTCCTAATTTTTGGGCAAAGCCACCAGACATGGAAAAAAGCGTCCTGTGCCTGCTTGCATTTCCAGCAAGTTGGACTTAAATTTGAATACATTTTTGCTAATCTCGAAGGGGCCAGATACCATCTATACCACATTTTATACTGGTTCTCTTTATAAACCACTGATTATTTCATAATATAATTATTTTCCCACACTCTTTCCCAGTCCTCCAATTCTATTTTATGTCCAATGTTTCTTGCCCATGCTATCATTTGTCTCTTTACTAATTCTTCTGCCAAATCAAATTCCAGTAAATGTTTATAAATTTTTGAAATCAATTTTTCCTCCGTGGGTTCTAAAAGTTTATCCAACCGATTTGGTTTTAATTCAATTCCTTCTTCCTCTTGGTCTTTTTTGTATCTTGTTTTTATCTGTAAATAGGGCTACCAGTTTATCTGTATTCCTTGCTCTCTGAGTTCCTCCTGTGTTTTTAATATTCCCTGGGGGGAATATTAATTAGATATTAATATTAATATCTAATATTTCATTATATTTTACCATTTTTTGAATTGCCAATGTATTGGGGTGTATCATCACCTCCATTGTGAATAGCCATCCAGGAACTTTCATCTAGTGTTTACTTTTAATTTCTTGCCATGTATGAATTAATGAATCTCTTAATATATGATTACAAAAATACCTATGTGTTTTGTTCCTGGTATTCCATAAAAAGGCGTGCCACCCCATCATCAAATCATGTCCCTCCTAGGTTAGCAATCTTTGATTTTCCAAATTCACCCATTCCCTAATCCATGTCAAACTCGTTGCTTTATAATATGTTTCCCATGCTGGTAATCCAAATCTACCTCTGGCTCTGTCATCCTGCAATATACTTAATTTAATTCTTGCCTTTTTTCCTTCCCATACAAATTTTGTGGTTATTTTATTCAGATTTACAAAAAAAAAAATTGTCCAATTTTACTGGAATTGTCTGAAATAAATAAAGCAGCATCAGCAGAACGTTCATTTTTATTGCTGCTATTCTCCCTAATGATATTTTCAGTTTCCCCCATTTTTCTAAATCCTCTTTTATTTGTTGAACTAAAGTTACATAATTATTCTCCTTTATGGTTGTGCATCTGGCTGTCAAACATATACCTAAATATTTCACCTTTTTTACTACCTGTAATCCTAACTCTTTAATTAATTCCTCTATTTGTTTTCCTGTTATATTTTTCATTAACATTTTGGTCTTATCTTTATTAATTTTTAAACCAGCTACCTTCTCAAATTCCTCTATCTCTTTTATCAATATTGGACCTGTTTTTAATGGTTCTTCTGTGAAGAATACAAGGTCATCCACAAATGCTTGGGCCTTGTATTCCTCTCGTTTTACTTTTAATCCTTTTATCTTTTTGTTTGCTCTGATTTTTATCAATAGATTTCCCAATGTCAAGATAAAAAGTAAGAGTGAGAGTGGTCATCCCTGCCGTACTCCTTTTTTTATTTCAAAAAATTTAGTAAAGTCTCCATTTACCATTATACTTGCTTTTTGTTTTGTGTATATGGAGGCTATTATGTTTGCAAATCTCTCCCCAAATTTCATGTTTTTTATTTGTTGGAGCATAAATTGCCAATTGACCTGATCAAAAACAAGGCTACCTGCCTCTCTGGATGCACCTCGTAATATTCTAATACATTAATTACTGTTCTTATATTATTTTTTATTTGTCTCATTGGTAAAAGCCCGTTCTGGTCTGAGTGTATCCTACAATTCAATATTTTTTTCATCCTATTTGCCATTATATTCATAAAAAATTTGTAATCAGTGTTTAATAAAGAGATTGGTCTGTAATTTTTTATTTGTGTTATATCTGCTCCTTCCTTTTGTATCAACAAAATGTATGCTACTCTCCATGAGTCTGGTAGCTTTGCCTCTATTAAAATACTCAGTTTAAATGATCAAGTATATCCTTGGAATATAAAACCATAAAATTATATTTTATATAAAGTAGATTCCATTGTTCCAGAATTCTATCATCCACTGGATCCAGAGTTTTCGATATAACCATTGTTATAAGTTTTGTTTATTGCCTACAGTAAATCTATTAGTATCCAAATGATAATTTCTGCAATTGTTAATATTTTTTAAGCTTTCAGTTCAAGATAATTTGGTCCATGGAAAACTGAATCTTGTGCAATCTTTCATCTTGCATATTAATCACATTATAACGCTGTTATAATTTATAGTCTGTCACCAAACTGTAAGCTTTGACAAGATCTGATCTTAATCGTCCAAATTATCATACAATATCATACATTTATCACAGAGTATCAAAAACACTGGAGGTTTTTAAGAAGAGACTGGACAGCCATTTGTCTGAAATGGTATAGGGTTTCCTGCCTGAGCAGGGTTGGAGTAGAAGACCTCCAAGGTCCCTTCCAACTCAGCTATTCTGTTAAATTCTATTAAACTATGTCCTTTCTTATAGGAGTATCAGGCTTGCAATATCAACCCTTGTCCAGAACTGAAGAAGACAACTCCTTGGACTCCGTGGACACCAGTGAATATCTCTGACAATGGTGGGCACTATGAACAACGATTCCGATACACTTGTAAGGCACGCCTTCCTGATGCAAGTTTGTTAGATGTGGGAAGACAACGGATTGAAATGCGCTATTGTTCAAAGGATGGTGCCACTGGATGTGCAACTGATGGTAAGCAGTCATCCACATAATCACTGTCAATCTTTTAAGCTTGTTATAATAGAAGGTCTCACAGACTTCAGGTAGAAACACTAACTGTTTATTATTACAGTAAATTAAGTGATGTAGTATGAATTGCAGGGAGCTCTTTTATGGCTGAACCTAATGGCATGCACCTGGAGATACGTGGTTCATCAGGCAGAAGTACTTCTCCTCTCTCCCCAAGTTTCTTACCATCACTACCTATGATTGATGAACATATCTGACCTCTGCAGTGGGGCAAATGTAGCCTACCTCTGGTGCGGTCCCTATTATCTTTTCATTGTAGGGAGTTGTGGAGATGACACTATTTAGAGACTGTTAGAACAACATGTGGAAAAGGATGTGTTGAGTGTGGGAAACAGAGAAAGTGTTAGGAAGAGGCTCAGACTGGTCCTTCCCTTGCTCCCTGGGGTACAAGAAGGAAAAGGAAAAGGCCATCAGGCTCATAAAACTGTTACAATAACCAATCTCAGCAAAATTCTAGTCATTTTGTGGTATCTGTTTCCTGATCTGGACAACCTCAAAGAGTTAGTAACAGTTGAAGTGAGTAATAATTGCTAACATCTGTAATAGTTTATTGCACTTCTACATAGTGTCATGTTGCCTGAGAACATATCCAGGAAATATGAACACAAAATACATAATTGTAAAAATTAACTGCTGCCACTCAGTTCTCCAGCAAAAAAACAAAATTCTATCTATCCATTTATCTATTTTTCAAATTTATATGCCATTCATCTTGTGCAAGGCAACACTGAGCTGTATTTTTCTGTAGAAACACTTTTTATGCATAAAGGTATATGTTATGTGTTTTGAAAGAGATATTAATGTTTGTTTTTGCAAATCACCCTGCCCAGGGCCGGATTTTCCTATAGGCTAACTAGGCTTCAGCCTAGGGCCTCAAGATCAAGAGGGGCCTACATTCAAATTGTTAGCAAAATTAAAATTACACTTTCACTATAGGTGAAAGGGCCTCATAAGTGGAATAGCCTAGGGCCTCTTTTCATCTAAATCCGGCCCTGATCCTGCCCCTTAAAAAAAAAAATCTTCCTATTAGCTTGACTGATCATTGAAGATATAATTAGAAAATATTTTTTAGAATTAAAAGTGATATAAAGCTACTGCTTTTTTCTGACATCTTTTAAACTTTTAACATTCATCAGGATCTGATTCTTGATTTTAGAATTCTACAGTGCATAGTTACTGACATTCCATCAAATACTATTAATACTTATTTTAAAGAACTATAATTCTACAGTTCAAACCAGTATTATTTTGCCAGATCACACTGCTGAATTGAAGCATCTCATAAATTTTCCTTAGCAGAATTATTATTTTTTTTGTCATGCCTCACCTGGTATATATAGTTTTTGTTTTATCTGAGTAACAATTCATTGTAATTTATAACAGATTTCACTTTATCGATGTCCCAAAGGTGCTTTTTCAAAAGGCAACTGGGCCTTCTTGTTTTTTCCTTGAAGATTGCACTTCTCATCCAAGAAGCTTCTTCAGTTCTGACTGAATGGTGGAGAATGGAAGGACTTCTATTCCTTGCAGTCATCCAATTGTTAGCCCTAGACACCTAATTTATACTTAAGGTGCTTCCTGGCCCATGATTTGCTACAGTGGTGAAATCTAAATTTTTTTGCCACCGGTCCTGTGGGTGTGGCCTGTGGTCATGTGACCAGGTGGGCATGGCCAACATGATGTCACTCACATCACTTTCTTCTCTCTCCCTCTCTCCCTTCCTCTTTCTTTCTTTCTTTTTCTTTCTTTCTTTCTCTTTCTTTCTTTCCCTCCCTTTCTTTCTTCTCTCCCCCCCCCTCTCTCTCTCACACACACACACAGACACACTCTCTCACACACACATACACACACACAACTGGTCTGAGCAACGGCTGCTGTGGGAGAAGGAAGAAAGTGCTCCAGGAGGGCAGGCAGCCAGGCCCAGAAGCAGCGCGTTCCCTGTCATGGGCTGGATGCAGGCAGCAGGACCCGAGGCGGAGGCAAGTGGGCAGCAGTCACCCAAAGACCCGGCGGAAGCCGAGCATACCAGGCCCAAAAGGCGAGCAAGCCTCGCCATGTTCCCCCGAGGCAGCTCTTCGGCTGAGCGCAGCAGGTCTCCCTTCCCCACCGCCAGCATCAGCTTTACATCTGCTCGCCCTCCCGGGGTTGCCCATGCACACCCCAGCGGAGCAGCAGTCTCAGCTCCAGTGGCAGCAGTGGGAGAAGGAGGAAAGCGAGTGGCCCCTCTCAGCACCAGCGCCGCCACCCGTCTCAGCACCAGCACAATGGTCGTGTCTCCCCCAAGGGCCGCCAGGCCAGCAGGAAGCGACTCTCTCCCACGCAACGGCTGGATTCCCACCACAAGTGACAAGAAAATCTAATCGGTCCTCGGGTGGAATGGGGAGGGTTTCTCTTCCTTCCTCGTGAATTAAAAACGCATGTTAGAGCTACAGAGGAGGAGGAAGAGGGGGGCTTGCTGCACAAAAGCCCCAAAGGCTATGCAAAGTTGCAAACCTCAGGCGAGCTTGCAAAACGAACTCAATGAATCCTGCAACTTGCCTTCCCTCTTGCCGCTCCGACCCCTGTCCAGCCTTGAAGCTGGCGGAGGAGAAAAGGAGGAGGGCTGCTTGGTATGATGCCTGCATTCTCCACCCCTTGCATGGGTAGCATCTTGGCCTTACAGGCATCATGGTCTGCCCCAGGCAAGCCACAGGTGTTGCATCGGGGCGCTGGAGGCGAGTAGAGCCATGGAGCAGTTTTGCAGAGGAGGTAGAATAGCACAGAGGCAGCTGTCCATGCCTTGTTTCTTGCGAGCCAGACCGGAGAAAGGGAAGGGAGGAGGGAGGGAGTGGGCGGCTGGGTCTTCCTGGCCTTTGCTGGCCACTCCCCCCCTCCTGCTCCCCCCAATCGCTTCTGAAAGACATGAGAGGCATTTTGGGCAAAAGTATTGTGGGGAGTTTTTGCAGCAGGAGAATAAAAAGGCTCTAACAGACCTGGATTGTCACGGGGCTCCCCCTCCCCTTCTTTATTTGTCTGCCACTGCCATGTCTGGTCCCTTTTTGTTAAGTCCACTCCTCTCCAGTGCCACCGCCCCTCAGCCCCAGCGTCAGCCACTGTGTCTCCCCCAAGGGCTTGGGGGTTAGGGTTATCTGGACACCGACCTTGGAAGATAAGCGGGCGTGGGGGACCACCGGGAAGGCAGGCAAGCACGGCAGGGCTGTGGGGAAGGGAGTAGGCTGCTAGCTCCCTTCCCCGCAGCCCTACCCTGCTTGCCTGCCTTCCATGTGGCCTTCCGCTTGCCTGCCTTCACAAGCTGGCCACAGGGATGTCGGGAAGACCACATGGAAGGCAGGGAAGCATGGCAGGACTGTGGGCCATGGACTGGTTCGGGGATGTGGCCAGCCAGTGGTTGCTACCGGTTCAGCAAACCAGCCCCAATTTCCGCTACCAGTTTACCTGAACTGGTCTGAACCGGTAGCATTTCACCCAATTTGCTAGAACTTTTAACTTAACCTCTAAAACCTTGACATTGTTATCTCACTCCTTCCCTGTGTTGGTCCAATTTCTTTAGCTTATATGTTGCTTTTATTTAGTGGGTGTTTGCTTAATGACAGTTTAAGTGAAAGTTGTTAGGTAAGTTCTAGCCAGATTTCAGCCATGTCTGCCATTCAACCAAATCAAATCCTGAAATTAACCAAATCTCTGGCACGTTTGATTTTTTGTGCAATTGAAAACTGGCAGTTGAAACAAATAAGAGGTTCTTGATGTCTGTGTACAGATCCCCTCTCCCGCCCCTACCTCCCCAGTTGCCTTTCTTTTTCGGATTCTCTTCCAGTTGTACAGTTGTATCCAGGCCTGAGTCTGAGAAATAAAACTTTATAGCCTGCAGCAGCTCATTTGAAATGCCAGCAGGACAATGTCTTCCACCATCCTCCCTGCAGCAAGCATTTTGTAATTAAAACTTCCTTTAACATGGCCTGTGTGCCTCATTCTTTACATCTTGTAGAATAGCTCTTCTGCTGTGGTGCCATTGTGACCATTTAACATTCCTAATGCTGCACCTAAACACAAGTTGTTATAACTCGTCCATCTTTTCTCTTCCTCATTTTTGACTCTTGATTCAGGGCCAGGAGACAACAATTGTAACCTCTATCTGGCAGAAACTCAATTACTTGAAGGCTTTTAATCATTGTCTCTATTGACTTTACGTTGCTTTAATTAAAAAGGACTTGGTAATTGCAACTCTCGCAATTATTGTAAATTATTGTAAATTGACTAGTCTTGAGGATAAAGGTAAAAACAGAAAAGAACTAGTGTCTAACTAAAAAACTGAGGCAGTTTTTTAAAGCTCACTTTTCCCTTTCAGCAAGCTTTTCTGTATAAATACTACATTTGCCAAGCGAGGATCCACCTTGTAGAGTTATTGTAAGGATGATTGAGATGGTGCTTTTGAACTGGTTTGGATGCTGTTCAGGTGCTAAGAACTTTAACTGCACATAGGGAAACTATAACAAATTGTGAGAATGCTTCTTCTGTTCAGATAGCCACCCGATTTACAGTGCCCCATTCCAGAATACTTTTATTTCGTTTCCCCATGCACTAGAACAAACATTCAATATTCTATAATGGTTGGGCAAGTCCCACCTCCTGCCTGGCAGGGTCCCCCCCCCTTTAATATGTTTAATCTTGTTCTTAACATCTTCTTCTGCACGTTGTTTTCAGTGTTGTAGACACTGAATATAGAGGTTGCTATTAGATATCTGTCTTAAATTGATGGGGGATCCCTGCAATTGGAGGTCTCTAATTATTCCAGCAAGAAGAGATGCAGAATTTGTTTACAAAATAATAAGGCTGCCATCCTACTTACTGGGAGTTAATGAGAACATGCCAGCTTTTATCTAAACAAGCATGCCTAGAATTTGGCTATAAAGTAATTTAAAAACTAAAAGGAGTGGTGAAGAGGCTTTTGATGAAGCTTGGTTACTTGTTTTGAAGAGTAATGGATGAAAATGTCTCTACATGTGCAGTTTTCTTTGTAGCCATTTCATCTGGAATTGGCATTGTTCATTTGTTTGCTTCTTACAAAGACTCAAAATTGATATGGCTGCCAAGAGTTGTATTGCACTTCTGTCTCATCCTTAAAAAACCTTTGTGTTGTGATCAATTGAACTGCATTTGCAGTACAAACAAAAAATAAATGTGCTTCTAAATGACAGTTCACTTTTCACAAGTCATGGATAAAAATATGTAGCAGAAAAGCAAACATCAACAATATCTTAGACTTAAAAGTCACAGCATTCATTGTAAATGCAGTTATACATAATTCATCCTGGTCATTGAGTTCTTACAGAAAATATATGCTACAACAAATACCCATATTTGTTGTGTATTGTATACCTGATGGAACGGAGTCATTTTGATAAAAAGCAGCGGCTTTTAAATTTTACTTGTCTATTTTATTTTCTACTTAGCTCATTATGCTTTGAAAATAACCATTTTAACCTTTAACATTAACCTGTTTCAGTGCAATTAAATTAATATTATTAAAATCTGTTTAAGAATTCACTCTTCTTCATGAGACTTCTTTATTTTTATTTGCTGCTTTTGCCAACCATTCTGAAGTCTTCTAAATTTTAAATATGGACAATCCACATTTGTTACAAATTATATATTCAAGACAGATGTGTATAAGGAAGACCAACTGAAGTCTGTTTAAAAACCACTCTATTTTCCAACCAGTAGCCATTAGTCTGGCAGTATCAGACTTCATGATAAAGTTGGATCCAATTAATAGTAATTTTTTTTTCTATTATGAGGTATAGCCAAACCTCAAAATGAGTTACTGTATAACCTTCAAAAGTGGAGTATCTACTTTGGTAAAGCCACTAAGGGCCTGATTAAATTGCTTTGGGAATTGGAGTTTCATGGTTCACTGGCCAGTGCTATTTTTATACTCACAGAGATTCCTATGAAGTATAACTGTCAGTCTTTGATACCATATTATAATCCATATGACAGAGTACTTCATAAGTGTTAAAGTTACTGGATCAGATGCAAATTAAATTAGAACAATGTTATCGGTACATTTGCAGATTACTGCCATGGTAAATTCTTTTATTCTGTTTATATTTTTATTCTTAGGCGATCTTTTGCATTCTGGGCATCGTTCCACTCACACTATCAATGGTGCTTGGTCCCCCTGGTCTCCATGGTCTCAGTGTAGTCGTGACTGCAACAGAGGTATTCGGAACCGCAAACGAATTTGCAATAATCCTGAGCCAAAGTATGGGGGATTGCCTTGTCTGGGACCTCCCCTGGAATACCAAGAATGCAACATCCTTCCATGCCCAGGTAAGTGGCCATAGAAATGTTAAAATCGAAAAGCAAAGCATTCAACTTTTAATGCCCTCTGCTTTATTTTATTGTGTAACCCAACAAGGAAGTAGTGGGAGACCAAGTGTGTTTACCTTTTATGTTAATCCCCCCCCCCCGTGCTTTATTTTATGCAATAGCTGCTGAATGGTTTTTTAAACATGCATTGTAAAGAAGGAATAATTTAGTTTTATTTAATTATACTTACTTCTGCTTGAGAGCAGAACAATTATGCTGAATCAAATAGAGTTCATCTTATTCCCATCTTATTCCAGCATTATTATTTTTTTTATTCCTCATACTGGACAGCTAGATGCCAATAGGATGCTGCAAGCAAAAGATATCCCTTTCCCACCATTTCTCCATAGACATTTTATTTGGAAACATCCTGTTCCCAACATGGAGACAATATTGAGTCCTCAAGACCAATAATGCTTGATAAACCCCTCAATTTATCCAATTCCCACTTTTAAAGCTACCCACATTAGTGGCTTATATTATCTTGTAGAAGTGGGTTTTTTTCTATCTTCCAGAGCATCATTGGATGACCCATAGTTCTAGCAGTTCTAGAAAGAGAATAAATGGTTGTCCAGTCTCTTAAAAATCACTGGAGGTTTTTAAGAAAAGATTGGACAAGCCACTTGTCTGAAATGGTATATTTATTTATTTATTTGTTTAGTTGTTTATTTGTTTATTTGTTTGTTTGTTTAGATTTATATGCTGCCCTTTCTCCAAGAGGACTCAGGGCGGCTCACAACAATAAAACAGAAAAATAAAACAAAAACTCTGGGTTAAAAGTTATACATAAAATCCCTGAAATCAATTAAAATCCATTTTAAAACCCACATCAGTCCAGGCCGGCCAGGCAAAATAGCTAGTTTTTAGTTCACGGCGGAAAGAGCAAGGGTCGGGGGCCATCCGGAGCTCCAGGGGGAGCTGATTCCAGAGGGTAGGTGCGCCCACAGAGAAGGCCCACTCCCTAGGGGTCGCCAGCCGACACTGTCTGGCCGACGACACCCCGAGTATAGATCTCCTGCTTGAGCAGGGGGTTGGAATAGAAGACCTCCAAGGTCCCTTCCAGCTCTGTTCTGATTGATTGAATCCTATAATCACTTTGATTGCCCTCTTTTGTTTTTTTCCAGCTTTATTAAATACTTTTCTAAGTGTAGCAATCAGAGCTAAAATAGATATATTATAGTTTTGTTTAGAATTTAGATGAGAATTTAGCATTTTTATTTTCAGCCCCCTCCTAATGATCCCTAGAATGAAATTTGCCTTTTTTATTACTTTTTCAGACTCATTCAACATCTGTCATTGTGATCTCTTTCCTAGTTGGTTACAAACAGTGCAATATAAATATGAAATTAGTGGGTTTTTTGATCCATTGAAGAGACATTACACTTAAACTTCAGTTGGATTGCATTTACCATTTGGATGACCATTTACTTAATTTAAAAGAACCTTCTGAAACCCTTCGGTGTTATTTTTAGTTTTTAGTGACTTGAATAGTTTGGTAACATCTGGCCAACTCACTGATTACCCCAAGTCAATATTAAAAAGCACTGGCCCACAATACAGAACCCTGAGAGACTTTCTTTCCTCCACTGAAAAAAATGCAATTTATTCCAATTCGTTTTTTAAAAAGCTAGGTTATAGGTTATCCCATGTAAAAAAGGTAAAGGCGAATTTTATTCCACTAGTTGTTGCTGATTATAGGCTGATACTCATCTCCATTTCAAGGCCATTGAGCTAGTGCTGTCAAGACATTTCTGCAGTCATGTGGGCATGATGTCACAGAGCGCTGTTACTTTCGCACCAAAGTGATACCTGTTTATCTACTTGAATGTGCATGCTTTCAAACTGCTAGGTTGACATGAACTGGGGCGAGGACAGGAGCTCACCCATTCATGTGGCACTTGGGTGTTGAACCCATACTGTCAGCTTCTTAACCACTGAGCACTGCACCACCCCTTATCCCATGGATATTAATTGTATTCAAAAACCTTTGATAAGAAACTTTGTCAAACACTTTTCAGATATCCAGATGTTGCTACGAAGTAAGTGTGTTTGGTTTGGTAGCAGGCAGTAGATTTGAGGGCTCAAAGTAGCACTCTCAAACCAACATAAATTCCAAAAAGGATTTTATTAATGTTAAGAAACTTACAGAAAACAAAGAAAAACTATACCAGATTATATACTACATGGCTTTAACTTGTCATGAGACACAGTTTGATAGCAAATGGATCATTTAGAGCCAGCTGGTACCCTCTGTAGCACCCTCTTGGAGGGTAAGGTCTACACTGGCCTACACTGGTCTACACTATTTTATACTTTTTTATACTTTTTTATACTTTTATACTTTTTTATACTTTTCATAGGACAGGAAGTATAAACTGCAACACATTGGTGTGGACCAATGATCAGCTATAGTTTTAAGTGAGATACCGCTTTCAATACACAACACCTGGAAACAGTCTTTTTAAAAATTATATTTATCTGAGTTTCTTGCAAAAATCAAATCCAGAAGCATACACAGATAATGGAATCAGCTGGATTCATTAACTTCTTTATATTCATTATAACACATAAAGTATATTTACAATACCAACAGTTGATTCTTCAGCTCAGATCGGCAGACATGTTCACACACAGAATACAGCAAAGAGACCTTAACACACACGCTGGTTTCAGTTTCTCTTTACAGAATCAGAAGCTGCAGATTAAGACACGCCCTGGCTCCAGTCTGTTTCGGCTCCCAATTGGCTGATTTAGTTGCTATGTCTATTCATTGGCTGACCTTGTTACCATGTCTTTCCAGTCATGAATATTCTGACAATATTTTTATTGAAATAATAAAAGATACTATAAACTAAAAAGAAAAAAAATAGAATAAAACCTCTTTTGCAAGAAAGCCACAAAAGGAAAGGAAAAATAGAAAAAAGAGCAAGAAAACAAGAAAACAACTTCCCACCCTCATCATAATTTAAACAGTTTCATTATCTCTTTATCTTTTTTTAATTAACAGATATAAACCTCTTGATCCCATAAATCAACTATAGGCACTCCAATAAGCAACATGTTTTCCAATCCAGGTGTCAGCAAAAAGTTCTTCTGAGTCAAATGTTATCCAGCACCTGTTGGTATAGAGGGTGTAGGAAATGTCTTTGAAGGACAGGCCGCTACTAACAGACAGATAAAACCAAGAAATCAATTTGACAAAAATGGCTCAGAGAAGCCTAAAAAGATAAAGTGTGGGAGGGGGAACTGCACATTCAGACTTGCAAAATTTTGTTACTAGAGCTGTTGCAATATAAGTAGTCTTAGTTTATATGCCATTGGCATCTCCATCTTGTCTACTTTGTAGGACTGTTTAAAATCTATGTCAATTTTTGTTTGTTTTCTGTACTTGCATCCTGATTTTATTTTAGTTCAACTGTCTCTCTAATCTAAATCCTTCACCTGACATTTCTATCTCATCCATATATTGAGACCTCTGAACTCTGCATGTCTACTAGCCTCGTGCATGGACCTAGTGGTATCTCTAAAAATGCTACTTTGGCAGTCCTGGACTTGAATTTGTTACCTGCTTCCCAATGGTACCAAAATGCCCATAAATTCTTCCTTTTCTCCAACAGTATTTAGTAGCGTATCTTGATGGCATATGACATTTATAGCCTTCACACCAGATAGGTTACTCTGAGGTTGACATTTGTCTTTGTATCTAATGATCAAATCATTTATAAAGAAGTAACCTCCACTCACCCCAGAGGAATATCTTTGAAATGAGAGGTATGGATACATCACCCAAGAATTGGGCCTCTTCTACAGGGACATCTTGTTTATCATTGAAATGATACCCTCCTTCTCTAAAGCCCTCTTTCTCCCTGACAACAAGGGATTGTCATTGTCAGAGTGGGACAAAGTTTATTGCATCTCATAAATCTCATCTAATCTGCCTGGTTGTCTGAGCATCCTTATCTCAGCTGCTGTAGTTTCAAGGGAAAGCATCTGCTCTTTGAGAGCTAGGAACTTACTGCACCAAGAAGAGTCCCCAAGAGGCAAATAGTTACACATTTGACACTATGTAAAGTAACCTGGAAAATTCCCCCTCAACTGTTGGCCTCTCTTTCTATATTAGTTATTACTTGTAACTTTATATTCTCCTTCTTTAGGACTAGTTCAACTAAAAGATGTGATACTGTTTCAGAAGACAGAGCCTTGACTTCTTTGCCCAGTAACTAGTTTCACTTCTGAAATTGTGACTGTGATTTGGGAAGGAACAGTCAGTGTGTTTCTTCCCTGCTAAAATCCCTCTCCAAACTCCCTTGTTCTTCCATGACCTGCTCAAGCTTTTTGCAAGCTCTCAGCTGCCTCTCCTGTTTTCAAAGAGTGCTTGGATGGGACTGAATTCATGTTTGGAAACATAAAACTTCATGGGTGGTGGTAATTGCTATTACCAAGATGTGAGGAGGTGTTCTTGTGCGGTGAAGTGTGAAGATAACCTCAGAGTTTCTTGACTTTGCTTTTAATCTCTGGTATTCCCACAGAGGTTCATAATTATCCCAGATTTACTATCCTTTTAAGCAAAATTTGAAGACTTGACTGTTTCTCCAGACCCTTGGATAAGGAATTGAGTTTTGCACACATACTTTTTTTATTATCAGACCATGAACTTTTTGATTTCTGTCATTTTACTAGTGGAGGATTTATGTCAGCTGTTTTTGCTTTAAACTGCCCAGTGTTGGCTGACTTAGGTTTCCCTATAAATATGATTGATTAAATAAATAAAAAATAAGTTGCTCTTTTTTTTAATGGCAGTGCCGATGCTCTGGAACAACCTCCCAGGTGAGATCAGGCTAGCCCCCTGCTTCTTAATGTTTCAGAAGCTTTTAAAAACAGTTGTTCTGGAGGGCCTTCTCTTGATTTTAGCATGCCATTTTCATTATGTTGTTTGCAGTTTTTGATATGGGTGGTGTCATTGTTTTACTGCTTTTATAGTTATGATAGAATGGGTGTTTTACTTTATACTCTATGTAAGCCATCAGGAATCTCTGGATTGCCGCAGGGCAGAAATGTAGAAAATCATTCATACCACATTTCAGCGTAGCTATTGTGATATACTTCCCATTTGGAAATGGCAGCATTGACATTGCTTTGGGCTTTCTCCCATCTTATTATAATTGAGTTACCTTTCTATAAGCGATACTTAAGAATATATATTTGTATTTGTGAGCTTCTGGCTTTGAACTTTTTGCAGTGGTCTAGATTGTGCAGTTGTAAACTAGAAGACAATGAATGTGTTTATCTGCTTTTTGAGAAACAACAAACAACAGCACTGTTATTCTGCACCTAGTTGACGGAAGTTGGTCCTGTTGGTCGTCATGGTCCAAGTGCTCTGCTACTTGTGGAAGTGGCCATTATATGAGGACTCGCTCCTGTACAAACCCAGCACCGGCTTATGGAGGTGACATCTGTTTAGGGCTCCACACCGAAGAAGCACTTTGCAATACAGAACAATGCCCAGGTTTGAAACATCCTGTTTGTTTCCTCGTCAATTGTAGAACAGACATTGTTAAGAATTGGATTAAATTAGACAGCATGTTCAGAATTATTTACTGTTTCTACATTTGTTTTCCTTTATACACATGTTATACTGAGGAAGATCTTTTAGTTTACCTAAAGCCATAAGTTAGGTGATATAGGAATATGGAACCACATCTAGCTTTCCAATCCAGCTTCAAATCTTGGTGGGGGATCTAGAAGTACCAGTAGGTTTCATTCATCCCATTGGGATAGGCCTGGTATGATGCTCTAACCTGTTAATCTACCTTGGGCCCTGCCTGATGAGCCTATTGTATTGCTCTCATACTCATGGTTGAGCCACATAATCCATGCAAACTTGCTCTGAAGATTTCTCAGAATGGAATTAGCCACAACAAAAGATAGCATACAAGGTGGAAATCTTGTTTTCATTCATAAAAACTGAGGATGCTGAAGCAGAAAACTCAGTAGTACTCTGCAAACTGGATGAGTTGTCTAATTCCAGTTAGCAGCCATATGGAAAACAGTGGTCAGACCAGTCCCTTGCTTAGCTATATTTTCCACTTACATTTGCAGGTTTTGCCTTTCCATTCCTAACTAATTCAACTGTAAAGCACTATGGGGCAGTATATAAGCCTAATGCTATTGCTATCCCTTTACATTAGCTGGTGATAGTGGCAGCCTCATTTTGTAAAACCTTTGAAATGTACTTGCCATGCTAAAACACCAGTGCTAAGAGGAAGAAGGCTGGATGGAAGATATATCTATAACTGGGGGATGGGGAACTGTAGGGCAGAAAGAAGATGGGGGGCTCCTCCCCACTTTTATCATTTATTCACCAGCTTTCTCCAGACGTTTAGCTTCCAATTTCAATCTTTCCCAAGTCAGGATAAGCTATAGCCTAGGCTAAAACTACACCTCACACTCAATAAAAACAGACAGTGCTTCCCATATTAGCTTCTCCCAGTTATCCAGAACCGATAGACTCTCCAATTCTGCATGATCCTGATGTCATTTTCAGTACTTCTTTACCATCAGTAGCAGCACCCAATGATGTGGAAGAAGAACAAGATTTGTGATAGGAGATTAAGATTAATAACTGTTCCACCTTTAAGTGACATGTATGTATGTATGTAACCCTTAATTCTGGTGTATACTATTTCCCAAAAGCTAAAAATATTTTAATTTAGAGTTGACAGAATTTCTGTATATGCTCCTCCACCATCTGTCTCCCTTCTATATCTGTTTCTCTAAGGATGTAAGGTGTGGCTACCAGAAAATTTTTGAACAGAAAAAAGTGGTTGAGAGTTTAATTTGTTCCCTTTTAGGGTAGGTGAATTGCTGAAGCTCATACTGTTGATCCATCCAGATCCAACAGAGAACACCAAAAGATATAGTATTAAATGTAAACTGTGCATTTTTAAAAATTTGCACATTTTTAATCAACACAATGTTGGTCTAAAACAGAGGTGTTAAATTCAAGTCGTCACATTGTCATCACGTGACATATCACAACTTCCCCCCCTTTGCTAAAATGGGGGGGAGGCGTGGCAAGCATATGATGCATCTGGCTCGCGGGCCGCGAGTTTGACACCCCTGGTCTAAAACATAATCATTGCTTCAGTGCATTGATTGTCCTTGCAGAATCAGGTTAATATGCTAAAAATGGAAAAGATTGAGGATTGGGATAGGAGGAAATTTAAAGGGAGTGCATGGTGGACTGATGGTCCCTTCATGCGCTGTTGATTTTTGTTTGTTGCAGATAGTTGGTCAGACTGGTCAGATTGGTCAGGCTGTGATGCATCTGGAGTCCAGGTCCGCACTCGCCAGTGTAATATTTTATTTCCTGTGGGTCAGCAGTGCTCTGGGAATACGACTGAAAGTCAGCCGTGTGATTCTGATTCCAATTTCATACCAGGTAAGAGCAAGCATGGATGATACCCTGATGTGATTCCTGAATAACAAGCATGGCTAGGTAGCTGCACCCTTGCTGAAAGTAGACTGAGATCTGTCTAAAATGAAGAATTAAGGGCTTGTCTCTGTTCAGTAAGAGGGAGCTGGAGGAAGAGACAAGGATGTTTAGTTTTCCCTCTTATCCCAAATGTACATGCCAGTCCAGTTGATGGATTTAAATCTCTTTTTTCTCCTATCTTGGCTTTTACATTCTGCTGATATTGCTATATAGCAGCATTCCTCAACTTTGGCAACTTGAAGATGTGTGGACTTCAATTCCTAGAATTCGCTAGCTAGTTCTTCAAGCCACCACGGTTGAGAAACATTACTGTATGGCATACCACTTTAATAAAATTATTATGATTGGTTACACAGTCAGGTAGATGTGCATTTTGACCCACCTATCAAGTCCTTTTCAAGGACCTGGATTAGGCATTATTATTATTATTACTGGATTTACTGGATTTGAGGGCATTATTATTCTGGCAAATTAGCAACTTGTGTTGTGTACTTAAGGTATCCTTTGAGGAATAATTTGCTTGCAGTCAAATGAAACTTACTTGGACTTTCTTCACCATTAAGCTGTTAATTCAATTATTTGTTACTGTAGATATAACTGTTGCAAGAACCAGCAGTATCAAAGAAAAAAGATGTGGTGGTAAGATTCTTCACTTTTGTCTTATTTGTGACAATTATTCGTTTTTTTCCACCCTCAACACTTTCATGAAAGTTTGCTCTATTTTTTTTACATCAGCCAAGACTGAAATTGCACATTTCAAATTTCTGTGACTCTCCTGTGCTCCATTAGTGGAGAATAGATGTAATGCAGTATTTAACACTTGGGCTTTTTGTGTGCTCTGAGCTTGGTTATTTTCTTGCAGATCTTTCATTTCCAGGAGACCTAATATCATTGTTGTGAATGGAAAAATGAAGTTTGCAGATTGTTTATGCATAGTGGCTTTCCCTGCCAGTCTTGTTGGGGATGTAATTTCTTCTGTAATGGTTCCCTGATTAGGGTGTTGTTTCTTCCCTGATTGTTTATCTGGGGCTGTTTGCTGCTTATCTGGGTGATGGTTGCTATGGAGAGTTGATCTGGGATTTGGGTTTCCTTCCTTGGTCTTTGGTTATGTTCTAAATGGTATCTAGATGGGATTTATCTCAGTGTGTCTGTTGACTTGTCAGAATGTCAGTATTATTGTACCATTCACTATTCATGTTAGATTATGCTGGGTACCACTGGGAATCTTTTGCTTGTGGCATTATAAGCAACAGGGAAGGCATGGTAAAGAATTCTTTCTTGTATTTCTTTAGAATTGGGATGAATTCTTTCACTGTAGTCTGACTCTTTCCTGCTTATTTCACTATCATTAGCATGGATAAATTAAGGCATTGTGCAAGCCTTGCCAAGTTGAAAGGGTGGTCACAAGTAGTTATACATTTAATGGTCCCAGTAGTCTTTACTGCATTTGAATCCAAATCTCTGGCAAAATCTTCAATGAATAATTTTGGCAGCTCAGTCATGATGCTGATGGTAGTCGGTATGTGAAATTTTGCTGCAGCCACTGATCAAATGGTCAATTGTTTCATCCTTTCCACTACAAAGGCTGCATTTGCTGTTGTTTTTACATGTTGAATTTTCACCTTCATGTAGTCAGTTAATAAAGCTTGTTCTTGAGATGCTAAAATAATGCCTTCAGTTTCTTTAACACTCCTGATCTTAACCAACTCCATGTGGGGTTTTTATTGGTATTATTATTTTATCCAGGCTATTCCTCTATATGTTACCTCAAGGCAGCAAACTTATCTAATACTCCTGCCCCCTCTTTTCCCCCCAACAACAACCTTCTGAGGTGGTTGGGCTGAGAGAGAATTACTGGCCCAAAAGTCATCCAGTGGCTTCCATGCCTAAGGCAGATCTAGAACTCAAAGTCACCCAGTTTCTAGGCCAGCACCTTCACTACTATATCAATTAGGTGTCCATATAATTGTGATGGCCTTGCAAACTTGTTCTGCTCTAAAATATATATCTGGCAGGAAATTCAGAAAGCAGAATTCTGTAATCAATATAAAATTTAGTATTTTACTTTGCTCCGGAAATAAGTAATATACAAAAATTATAACATGTAAACTAAATAAGGTATTGATTTTATTTTCTCATTCATCTAATTTGTAGAATTTAATCTGTTCCACATGACTGCTGTGGGGCTGAGTAGCTCAATTCTTGGATGCCTTCTGACTCTTCTGGTTTACACTTATTGCCAGCGATATCAGCAACAGTCTCATGATGCCACTGTCATTCATCCAGTATCCCCAGCACCTCTGAACACCAACATCACCAATCACCTCAACAAACTGGACAAATATGATTCTGTAGATGCCATTAAGGTAAGGAATCAATAGTGGCCATGTGTTGTCAAATGTAGATACACAAATTCCATTGTAAATTACTATGGGCTGTTTCAGGAGGGGCACAGTTAGACTTCCAGTGTTACAGTCAACCCCACTATCCTCCAGAATTCTAATTTTTGTGTGACAGATGAACATATTTACATAATTCACTGAGCTTTTTTAGTGCATTTAATTTTATTTAATTATTTGAATTTTGTTTTAGCCATGCCTATTTTTGCCAGAATGACCTCAGGTATACCATACAGAGTATTAAGCATGGCTCTCAATTCCAAAAAGTGTGTTCATAGTAAACATAAAGGAACATTTTTAATGCATACTGTAGAACCAGCATTAGAACTGATTCTGTTTCTAGACTTGATCAGGCAGAACTTCTCTTGAATTATATGGCAGCACTTTAAAGCAGTTTTCATAGCCTGATTATACTTGCTGACTTCTAAAGCCATCTGTCATGTCATACGGAGTCTGGTATGCAAATTCTGTGGCATCTCTAGTGGTGTTCAAATCTTGAAAATGTTAAAGTGATATAAGTTATGGTTTCCTCGTCATCATCTGTTTTATATATTTTTCCACAATTATTTGTCACATTATTCAAACTTTGTTCTTTCAAGTTGCCCACAAATGTTGACAACAAAATGTCAGCAAAATAATTGTTTTTAAACCACTTCCTATTTTATTTGATTATATCTTTTTACTTGATTTCCCTTTTTCTTTTTTCATATTCCCAAATTTCCACCATAGTGTTGCTTTTCTTTCTCTTCTCTTCACTGCACCTCATAAATATTCATGTATTTTAATGAGAATTTACTCTTTTCCTTTTCTTATTCTTTTCTCAGGCATTTAATAAAAATAATCTCATCCTAGAAGAACAAAACAAGTACTTCAATCCACATCTTACTGCAAAAGCGTATTCCAATGCCTATTTTACAGATTTGAATCACTACGATGAATATTAAAAAGGCATCTGCTAATTTCATATGGGTCTCCAAGATGTGAACCCTCTGTGTGAATATCAAATTGTTAATACCATGTTGTTGCCAGCTTTAACACAACAAAAAGCACTCAGTTGTGTTGGTACAATCTTGCAGTAAAGAAACAACTTTGGTAATGCAATATTTGTATTGTGTTGTACATTGGAACTATACATGCAAGAAATGAAATGTCTTGTGTAGGACACTTTGAGGCTTGCTATCATCCTACTAATTCATCTCTTCAGTTTCTCAAATATGTATGGGAAGGGCCATACATTGCCTTCTGGATGCAGCATTCTTATTTGCCTAAGAGACAACTCTTCCATGAATGGGAAGCCAAACGAGAGAAAATAACAGATTATTGAATGAAATTACTATTAGCAGCAGAAGCCTTAAGCACTTCATCCTCCATGCCAGACCAGAATATTGATGCAGTATGTCCTAAAGAAACTGGTACCTTGTATGGCTACACCATTATGGTGGAAGCTACATAGCTGGCCTGTGCCACAGAGGAACAGAAGAACAAGTAACATAGCAAATCTAGAAATAGGCAGGCACTGTTTGTTTCAATCGGCCAGGATGGGACGATTCATAGAAAATAAATAAGGGTTCACTGTATTCTGCATGATATTGGCATAAAGTTCTGTACCAAGCAAGGATGCCTGCATCTTGGGCACCAGTTTCCAGCTGTATGTAAGGATCCACCTGGAATGTTCATTATGAAATTGACAAACTGTGTTTTATATTTTTGTTGCTTTTATGTACTGACAAAAAAGGATAAAAACTGCAAAAGGGAAACCAAAGCAGCAACAAAAACCTTACTCTAAGGCATATCAAACTTCAAACAGCTGATTTCTTAAACTCAGCCCTAAACATTCTGTATGGAATAATATTGTTCAATCTTTCTATTACAACTCTAAAGAACCAGGGTGGCACTCTACCTTTCAAAAGAGTAAATTGTTTTGCAATACCCTCTGCCGCCTCCTCTGCCATTGAATTGTTTATTCCCTTGAATATTTTGGGCCATTATAATTTCATTTGAAAATTACATTATTGCATTTTTTACAGTGATAATTTTCCCAAAAACTTTCTGCATACCCCTGTTTTTTAAATGTTTTCCTAGGAAGGCATATCCCCCAGTTTCTAAACTCTGCTGTATTGTATTTAACTTTATTGTATATCCACCAAATTAAACTCCCACCTCCAAGTTTCAGAACTAATTTTAGTTGAAAGAGTAATCATGTGCCAGCAAAGGGCCCCAAATTTTATTGAAACCCCCTCCTTAATTATCCACCACTAAAATAAAAATAAAAACTTTGTAAAATGTTTAGATGGTACTTATTGAGTTAATGAATATAAATTATTATATAAAGAAAATATAATGTGGTTATTAAAACTTTTAAATGCCAGTATTAAAAAGGCTCTAGATCACCACATATTTTGAAGTTTTACTGATTTAAATTACTCCACCTTGGTAAATTTTGAATTTCCAATAATAAATACTTGACCAAGACATCTTTTGAATAAAATATATCTCTTGTATAGAAGAATATAGAATGGTGGGTGGGCAGTTATTTAAAAAAAATGTTTTCAATTTGGCAAGTAATTACTTTTTAAATGTCCATCTAAATTTTTTTTTTACATTCCATGATAAAGACAGCATGCTTTTTAAAAAAAACATATTAAAATATAGCCAAGGAATTAAAAGAAATTGAGACATCCTATTTAGGAACGAAAAACTCCATGATAAATCACAAGAAAAGAAACTAGTTATAATCCTAGTGAATGAGATGTGTTGAAAATATATACAAGAACATTCCTCATCACAAGCCAAGTAGCCCTTCAATCTCCAAAAGATATGAAAATAAAAAAGTTAAACTATAAAAACAACTTTGCTATGAATAAGCAATGAACATCTGTATAGCTACTACATCCAAAACAGATAAACAACCCTTCAGAGCATATTCCTGCAATAAACAAAAATAAAATTGGGAAACTTGTTGAATGATTTCATGTATGGAAGCTAATCCGGAAAAGTAATGATCATCTTTACATTTCAATTTGAAGATTCCATTTGCCAAGATTAAATGCAGAATAAGATCCCATGCTTTACTGTAAATCCTAAAACACTCATAACAACAAGTGTAGCTTTCTTTCCTGAGCACAAATGGAAACCTATATGGTTTCAGTTTCCAGCTTGACTACAAATCAAGTCTAAACTCTCCATAATAATTACTGTAGACCGATCTTACTCAATGTTTCAGAAATGGTTAGAAATGGTAAATTATTTCTACGAAATAGATCTTATAAACAGGTCCCTTCATCGTGAAGAGCCTTTCTTAATTCAGCAGATGGCTTGTGCCTGCCTGCCTGCAGATCCATTCCTGCTTTTGCCCTCCTTTTCTTAAGAGCAGATGGAAAAGCACAAGTGCTTCTATTTTTAATACTGTTTTAAAAATCAAGCTAAAATGTAAAACTGTGGCGTGTATTAAGCAAACCATTATTATAATTTGATGCATCAAGATTGTAATCCTCTACTTTATTTGTCAGGGAATAAATCCAGTGCACTGTGGGAGTGATTTCTGAATAGACATAAGTATTGTATACAATACATTGTATACAAGTATTGTATTCATAAGTGAACTTTGTCATCAGCATGTAAATAGAGGAAGTGCTTACTTGTATATCAATTTTATATTTCTCCTGGCAGATTTAGTATCAGTTGGGGGAAAACAGCAAGCTTGGTTTTGCACCAGTTCACTGCTGCCTTGTCATAAGGCAACATTATCCATAGAGATATCATTTTCTTTAACAAATAATTCAATGATTCTGTTCCTAGAACAAGGGGTTTTATCAAATATGTTGGCCCACAAACCATAAAATAATTTTCACTTCCTTAAGGATGCATCAAATGAGAGGCTGCATCTTTTACATTTATATTCTCTTGGCTACATGCCTTGCATTTGAAGATGAGGGTCTCAGGTCATCTCTTTTCCTACTATCTAACCAGCTTAAATTCAACTGTGGATGGCAGTTTTACCTCAATGAAAAAGGCCTCCTTCCTGACAACAAGGGGATTATTACTACCCATCAATAGTGGGCATACAGTTGCAAAGTTGCCTTTATATAAGGGGAGAGCCAGTTTTTGTAAATTGAACAAGTGAGCAGGGCTGGGGCCACAAATGAAATCTTGCCAGCTTTTTTTTTGACAACCAGAAAATTTGTTTCTCTAAAAAAAATTGTCTATCAATTAGATCAGACACCAAAAGTGATATTATATGTTATTGATAGGCAGCAATAATAGAATCTTGCAAGATACTTTGTATTTTCCTCCCCCCACCCCCTTCAGTCCCACCAAATCAGGGAGGGCTATCCTTAGTCTCAATACAACCTGTCCCTAGCATTCAAGGTATGTTTTTGTCTCTTTTTCTTACAAAACGACTTATGAATATTTGTTTCCAGCCACCTCCTTGGCTCTTTACAAATAAAGATGTTTATTAATGTGTCATGGTAAACATAAGCGCTAGTGTAGCATTTGAAATCTTCTAATTGCATGCAGTTTAACAAGTGCCATGAAAAGCATTCTCTTAACTCCTACTTCAGTTGCCTAATTCTCTTCTGAGCCTATGAACATCTTAGACTTTGTGTATCAGGGCAAAACCAAGAAGCAGAATCTTCCTTTCCATGAAATAATAGGCTTCATGGAGGGCAGAGTACATTAGAACACACAATGGATTAATGTCAAGAACTATGGAGGATTAATGTATCTGATACACACACACCCTTAAGGATGCTTGTGGAATAGCAGCAGTTAATTTCCCCCATGGAATGTTTGCTTGCAGCCACCTCTATTCCATCAGGAAAATGGCCATTTTCACCCATAATCAGAGGCTGTAGAGAACCATCAAGGGCCCTATATGGTCTAGCACAAGGATGTCCAATCTTGGCAGCTTTAAGACTTGCAAACTTCTACTCCCAGAATTCCCCAGCCACCCATTCTGGCTGGGAAATTCTGGAAGTTGAAGTCCACAAGTCTTAAAGTTGCCAAGTTTGGACACCCTTGCTCTAACAGCAATGCTAATGTTCAGATTTGGAAATTCAATTCACCTAAAGGGCGGTCAGATCTTCTCCATGCTGTAGAAAATATTGCATTTTCTTCCTTTATATTCCTGTTGCATATATTGGGCAGCAAACTCACACCTCTATGCTCAAAGCAAGGAAAATTCAGTAAGGGAAATTAACTCACAAAGTAACTAAATTTAATAGGGAGTATTTCCCTAGCAAAGCCTCTTCCCTTTGCCCACCCAGTTGACATTGACAGAATTTATGATTTAGGACAATTGTAGAAGAAAAACAAGCATCTCAAACAGAATTTTATTACAAAACTTTCATTAAACATGGAAAATGCAGTAAAATATATATTTTATATTTTCAGCAAAACTACTACTCTCCCTTTTCATCCAATGGGAAAGGACTATATTTAAGCTTAAAAACTTGGATTCTTAACTTAACCCCACACATCTCTCTGAAAACAATCTATCCAGCCTCTCTCCCCTTCAGATCACTGGATGAAAAACAAGGGGAAGTCCTCTTCAGAACAGGCATGAACCTTTATGCAATTATCACCATCACTGCATAGTTCTCCATCTGTTTCACTCCTTCATGGTTCTTTCTGCCAAACTCCACTTGCGGAAAGAAGGATTCCACCCCCCCACCCCAGTACGGTAGAACTGACAAGGAAGAACTGATTTATGGGTACCGGTAGTTGTTGATTACTCGTTCATTAACTGTTCAAAGTTACAGCAGTTGTGAAAATGGAAGATCTACAACCAGCCCTTGCAGTATCCCCATGGTCATTGGAATTTGTGCTCATTTATGATGATTGAGCACCTGTAATCATGAGACTGCCATTTGCGACCTTCACAGAGGCTTTGAGCAAACAAAAAATGGGATAACAGGCAGGAAGTTGCAAGTTGCAGTCACATGACCTCACACGACTACTGGGATTTGCTTCATGACCATATCTTGAAATTAAATCAGAGATCACCTGATAGCTCATTTTACAAAAGGATGGGAGGCAAATGGGTCAAATTATGTTTCATTTTATGATTGCATCGCTTAGCAACAATGTTGCTGGTCCCAATTATACTGTGAAAGTGAGGACTGCTTGAACTGTGGTGGGCTACAGCTATAGGAGAGACCCAGAAATTTGATAATTATGTTTTTGTAGATCGGCCATAAAGTTTTAATGTTTCTTCATAGTACAAGAGAAAGAAACCTTACTTCATAGTCATCACATGGAAATTAATGAGTTGCTAGGCTACCAGAAATTTGTTCCATGCTTGTAAGCAGAATAATATTTTAGAGAGCCAATCTCATTTACGTTTTAGACTTTTCCCTGCAACTAATGAAATAAAAGACCCTCAAACTGAAATTCTATCAACACACAATTGGGTTATGATCCCTGGTGTGCTCTTCATATTTGTCATGGAGTTGTTAGGACTTCACCATCTAAGTGAAAAAAAACATTGTTAGGAAAAGGCAATTCCTGAAATTGAACCTAAGCCACAATCCTATAGTTGGAAGTATGGCCTAATAAATTCAAGAGGTTTTACAGTATATCTAAGTAGGAATGCATAGCCTTGTATAAAAAGTATGGGATAATTGCATTCTAGGATGGCCGATTACTTATTTAAAAAGCTATTTTGCATGACTTTGTCTTAGTTTTGTGCACCCTGGAATTTATAGTGATAAGAACACCATTGGGAAGTTAGAAGGAGAATTGATCTGATTCTCCAGAGCCTACTGCATAAAAGGGGATATTTCAGAAATGTTTATTTTTGCAATTGATGCTACCTTTGTGGACTACTGCTGTCAACCTGTACATTTGTAAATAAACAGATTGCTAATAAAGCTGTCATTTCTAACTTCCATTAGGGTATCGCACCTAAGATTCTGAAACTTGTTCTTTTTTATCTCTTATTACCACATAAAGATCATTTTCTTGAGATTTTTTAAATTAACCTTAGTATACTACATTAGCAACTACTTGTCATGCAGCTTCTATTTTAGGAGGCTATTTTCTTTACTGTCAGTTGGCCTGTTTATCTTGTTTAAATAGAAAAATGGGAGTCATTTTATCTTATCTTCATATTATGATTGTTACTTAGAAATATTATAGAAAACTGGGAGATAATTGGAAGCAATCTCTCTAGCATTGAAAAGAACACTTATTACTTCTGGAAATAGGCACAGCCATCAGCATGTATAACATGTATTAAGGGCGAGTGGATTTTAATGCTCAACCATCATCTTTAAAAGCTCCTAAACACAGTATCGACAATGAAGTTCTTCCTTTAATACCATCTCATCTTGCTTCTGCTTAAAATAACCTTAGTAGCAAAAAAAGAATGTAAGATTTTGAAACTGCTTTGCATGTTTAGCAAAAGCTGCTTCTGCAGGCATTAAAGCTCACCTCTTTGCTTGAGGTGTTCATACTGAAGCATGTGATCACATGACAACACAGAGCCAAAATAGTTATGATAAACCTTTAAAGACTGTCTTAAGAGTTTAATTTCTTTTACTGAAAGCAGTTAATAGTTTGCATACTATCTAACACTAGATTTGATTCAGTCACACTTCAGAATATTTGGAGAACATTAAATTTATTCAAATCAACTCAGCTTCTCATTTTGCAGCTTAACCCAAGGGTTTTGACAAGTCACTGTGGGAATATCATTCCGAACTACAGTAGAAAAATGAATTATTTTTAAATCACTTTTGAAGTAGCAGCAGTCACTTTTTAAAACAACAGTAAAATGAAATATGAAATTGTTTGTGCATTATTTCTCTTAAAAGCTAAATTCAATGAAAGACTATTCACACAACATGCTTCACCTGATTACCAAAGTGGTTCATTTTCCTGCTTTGCACAATACCTCGAATGGTCAGCTAGCCAAGCAGGCTAGGTTCATGCAACATACAAAGGCAGAGGAAACCTGACTCTAACCAAGGGTTCCGTATGGTGCAAAATGTACTTAGTGATTACCCTTACGCCTACAGCCACTAATTCTAAAAGTTGGGTTTTGTAAATGAAATTAAGAAAAATGTTTCAAATATTCATATTTTTTTCAACACTAAATCATGCCCATTTCATTGATCATATTTAGATGAGAAGGAAATTTAATATATAGTTTTTTTCCCTTCATATCAAAACACTGCTCATAGAACATTATTTGGGCAAGAACTGGGCATTAGGTCCATCATCAAGTGATAGCTTATTCTGTTCATGATTGGGGCTCATTTTCATGAAAATTATTTGCTTTATACCATGTCAACCCAAAATTTATTTTCATAATTTCCTCTGTTCCCAAAAGAGGGCACTGCCAAGATAAAAGGATGGAGCCATGGCAACCTCTGGTTTAGATGTACATTTAGTAAAAATCATTCAATTAATACAGTGTTTCCCTGAAAATAAGACCCTGTCTTACATTTTTTGAACCCTGAAATAAGTGCTTGGCCTTATTGCCATGCGCTCAAAAGTCCAATTGGCCTTATTATCAGGGGATGTCTTATTTTGGGAGAAACAGGGTACAAGTGCTCCAGCTGTATTTATAAATAAGTTATAAATAAGTACTTATAAAAAAAATAAGTACTTTTTTCTGTAATTATCCATTGTACTTTTCTTTCTTCAAAAGCAGAAAGACTAGACTTGAATAACATCTCTTACACTCTATATATTGTACATAGCATACAATAGTTTTTGTTTTAAAAATCCCTCCATTTGTTAGTAGCTGGAAAAAAACGTATACCATCTATGCCATATTTTCAAACCTAAGGCAAAGTTACATCGATCAACTTCAGAGAAATTTGAAACACCATTCTTGATGGAAATAAGTGGCATCATTTATTGTGTACTGTGACAAATGTCTTGGTAATGATGTATTTCTCTTTGTTATTTCCCTAGAAAAACAGTTCAAATAATAATTCAGAGAAAATTACAGACAGAAGTAGGCATTTAAAAAATTGCTGTTTACATTGGTCAAATGAATTCAAAAAGCTTGTGTTCAGGCCCAGATATCCTGCAAGTATCTTTTTTCTTCTCTTAATGTAGCTAGTATTTTCAACGCGTCCAATTTATCAACTCCTCTCTCAGTGGTGAAGACTTCCACCAGTGTGTCATTCACATCTTTAGCCATATTTTTTGCATCTCTTCAAATAAAAAACAAAGAGAGAAAACAATTATAATTGACTTAAATAAATGGATTTTAACAGAGATGGAGCTCTTGCCTCATAATCAGGAGATTGTGAGTTCGATCCTAGGTAGCGGCAGATATTTCTCTCTCTGGGCGTAAAGAGACAATATCTGCTGTGAACTCCGCATAGGTGTCAGGATGGGCATCTGCTCAGCTCCATTCAATCGCTCCTATTCCACCCCAATGCAAAGGTTGTTAAAGGATAAAAAAAATAGATATTAACACAGATACCAGCCAATACAGTATTGCTATCAAATGGAAGAACACAAGTTGAGAATTTTTTAAAGAAGTCAATTAAATATTCTGTTAAATACTACATTAAGTCAAGCATACCACAGCCCCTTTCAAAATGGCCAATGGTGGTATTAACTGGCAAGATATAATTCTCTAGTTCTCACCTTGCAAAATTCTGAATGTAGTAGGTATCAATATATCTCTTTTAATAACCAGACTTCAAGAAGTAAAATTACCCACTTTACATGTTTGGTTTAATTTTGGAGTTTCACTTCAAGAGTTATATAGCCTGCCTTACTTCTAGGTTTTTGAAATGCTCAGGAAAAAACCTATATTTATGAAAATGTCTCCATATATTCATATATGTCTAACATTTAACTATTGATAAATATATAATTTATCAATAGCATGTTATAGTAATTTACACTGAGACCCAGTTGATTGGGAAATTCTCTTGGACAAACTCCTATGGAACAAATTGGGATGCGATCAAAAGTGCTACACTATTTCATAGGTTCTTTTCCTTCTAGTGCGTAGGCAGAGCAAGGCTCCCAGTGGGTTCTAGCTAGAATGGACGTTGTCTTACCTGAACATCTCTTTTCTGGGCGCTGCGTACACTATCAATGAATGGGTTAAATGCTTCAGCCTTTAGCAAACAACCGAGTGTTACTTAAAGAGACTTCTCTTTCCCCGCTGCCCAGCCACACCCCCAATCACTTTGATACCCCAGTCTGAGCGAAGGTGTGGTAAATAACCATCGACAATTGAGTAACAATAACCATAACTTTATTAACAACCAGTTCCAACATGGAAAAAGAACTTAAAGACACAGCCAGGCAGGAAGCCATAGAATCGGGGGGGGGGGGGGAAATGGATAGTGTACGCAGCGCCCAGAAAAGGGACGTTCAGGTAAGACAACGTCCATTTTCCTGTGCGCTGCTCCCACTATCCCTGAATGGAATATACCCAAGCTCAAACCCCATGGGGGGGAGGCTGACTGCCCGCAGTGTCCTCACCAGCCAAGACCCGTTGGAGTACCCTGCAGCCAAACGACGCCTCGGCTGAATTATAAGCGTCTATCTTGTAGTGGCGAATGAATGGTGACAACGAGGACCAGGTCGCTGCTCTGCAAATGTCTGCTACAGATGCCTGTGTAGCCCAGGCTACTGATGTGGCCGCACTTCGAGTAGAGTGGGGTAGGATCTTGCCCGGCAGCGGTTTGGAGTTCAGTTCATACGCTAGGGCAATGCAGGCCCTGATCCATCTGCTGACCGTGGAGGCCGAGACCTTCTGGCCCATGGAAGCTGGGTTGAATGATACCAGAAGTACTTCTGTGTGGCGAAAGGAGGCCGTTCTGCGAATATAAAGACGTAGGGCCCGACGGACGTCCAGGGTGTGCCAACGCTTCTCCCTGTGATCTTGAGGCAACAGGCAGAAGTCCGGCAAGATAAGTTCCTGGGCCCGGTGGAACCACGAGTTCACTTTTGGGATGAAAGCGGGGTCCAAATGGAGGATCACCGAAGAGTCTCTGAATATGCAGAGGTCCTTACGGACGGAGAGTGCCGCTATTTCCGAGACCCGCCTCGCCGATTGCCAGGAGGAAAGTCACCTTGAAAGACAGGTACTTAAGGGCGACTGATCCCAACGGTTTGAAAGGAGGTCCTGTCAAAGCCCGTAGTACTAGAGATAGGTCCCAAGTCGGATAACGGTGCACTGTAGGCGGGTGTAAGTTCGTAGCCCCGTGTAGGAACCCTTTGATGAGAGGATGGTGCGATAGTGACTGGTATGGCGCACAGGTGATAACCGTTGACAGTGCTGTGGTCTGACGCCTTAGGGTAGCAGGGGCCAGCCCCTTGTCTAACCCAGCCTGTAAAAACTGTAAGATGTCCTGTATCGTTGCTGTAGTGGGGTCCACATGGTGCTGAGAACCCCAGCTGCAGAAAGCCCTCCAGAATGCCTCGTAAATGAGGGCTGTTGAAGGCCGCCTGGCCGCCTGTATGGTGCGGACGACTCTACCTGGTAAGTTGGTGAAGGTGCGGGGTGCTGACGAGAGTCCGAATGGCATTGCCCGGTACTGAAAGTGTTGGCCCCCGTATTCGAACCTTAGGAACTGTCGGTAATCTGGGTGAATGGGGATGTGTAGGTAGGCCTCTCAGAGGTCGACTGACTGGAGCAGGTCCCTCCACCTCACCCCTGTTAGGATTGATTGGAGCGAGTGCATCTTGAACCTGTGGTATTGAACAGACAGGTTCAGTTTCTTTAGGTTCAGGATAGCTCTCCATCCCGCCGAGCTCTTGGGGACGAGGAACAGACTTGAATAGAAACCCGAGCCTTGGTGGACCGGTGACACTGGTTGAAAAAGGACGTAGCTGAGGATGTTCTGATCACCTGGTGTGCTTTGCGGAAGGCCCACTCTGTCCTTTTATCCTCCGCCTTAAGCCCATCCAACGCATCCATGGAGATTACCGAGGCAGGTGATAGAGATGCGACCGGCTGGTCCACTGTAGGAAGAGACAGCAGGTCCTTCAGTTCCCGGGCCGAACAATACAGTTTCTTATCCAGGCTGCTGGGTGTTGTTAGAGAGGCTGGTTGCCCCCAGGCGTTTTGGATCACATCTGTAAACAGTTGTGGACAGGGAATACAGTCCTTTTCCAGCTTGGAGGATTTGAAGAGGGCATCGTGGGGCCCGCTGTAGAAGACAAGGCTGACCTCACCTCCCCCAGCACTCCCAAATTAGTCGTGAGCCGCACTTTATGTAGCAGCGACTTAAAGAGTGCCGGTCGAAACAACCCTGTGAAGGCCGGTGTGTCAGGACTCAACCCTTCGTCCTCTGAGAACTCAACGTCCTCTGGGCCCTCTTCTGCTTGATCTGACTCTTCAGAAGATTCTTGTGCTTGGGGGGGCGTGATTCTGGGTCTGGGGTTGGTGATGCGACCCCTGGGTTGGAAAAGGATATGGCGGTGGTGGTGCCGTCTGCTGCCAACTGGCAGCTAAGAAGGATGATAATGCTAATGAGAACATGGTTTGGAAGTCCAGTTGTGTAGCCAGTAGTGCAACCCCCCCCGTGCCCTTACGCCTGTTGTCGGACAGTGAGTCGGCCCCGTTGGTAAATGGGGTGCAGACCCATCCATGGCAGGAGAGGGGGGGGTTCATCAGGTTGAGGGCCCTTTTCAGCCAGGACTGGAGTCGCTGGGGTCTGAGCCAGTTCAGCCAAGGTTGCAATTGCTGAGTCTGACTCCCTTGATGTAGAGGGAGCAGTGCTTGCTGGTCTTGGCCCCCTGGTAGGGGTCATAGCCAATGCTTTTTGAGCTTTGGCGCACTGCCTCTTCAGTGCTTTATGGCGTCTTAGTGCGTCCCTATCTTGGAGGGACATCCCCTTATCTGTCTTGGACTTGCGGCTGGAGCTTTCAGACTGCTTCCAAGGACTCTTTTTGGCTGATTTAGCCCCCTTGCGAGGTGGGCTCAATTCCAGCTCCAGGTCTGATGAGAGAGGGGAGTCAGACATAATATGTTGCCGGAGAGAGTAACTGGTGAGAAAACCACTTAAGGCGTTATGGGCGCTCTGCCCGTAAAACGGGTAACGGCCACTGAGATCCCGGAGGTCTCACCAGCTGACCACTGTTGTGAAGGCACCCCAAATAGATAGGTGCTGCTGAGCCCCTATAGGCAGGGAACGGCCCGCAGTCTTGCTGCCAGATGCCGAAAGGAGAGGCCCATCAGGTAATTAGTGCCCAAAATGGCGGCCCGAGGGTCCATCAATATGGCGGGCGCCACGTAGTGCGAGGCTCGGGGTGCCGGATGTAAGCGGCGGACTTGCACTGGCAGTCCGAGGGTCCTACCAGATGCCGCGCTTGCTTGCTGATGGATTAAGGCTTTTTCTGTAGTATAGCGGCAGATGGCAGGGCTAGCCGGGCGAGCCGCGGCTGCACGCTGCCTTTCTCCAGCCTAATTAGGGAAATTCGGAGCCAACCACTCCCCTCTTCACTCCGGCACTGCGGAGGCTGCCCGCTCTGAGCGAGGCTTTCTTGGCTAAGCTCCCAGCAGCTTTTGAATGTGGCGCCGAAAGGTAGAAGATGCAGCGTGGGCGGCCCAAAGCTCTGAGCCCGACGCCCAGCTGATTAGCGCTGCCGCTGCTCTCAGCAGCGAAACGAAAGCAAAAAAACCCCGGGGAAAAGGAAATAATCAAAAATAAAATAAAGACCTAAGCGCCCCTAGGAAAGGGAAGAAAACTAACACAAGAAGGGAACAAATACCTTAAAATCCAGGAGCTCCCAAAAACACTTCAGCGTTTGCCAATAACTGAGCGAAGACTGGTGTATCATGTGATTGGGGGTGTGACTGGGCAGTGGGGAAAGGGAAGTCTCTTTCTTTCTTAAAGTAACACTCAGTTGTTTGCCAAAGGCTGAAGCATTTAACCCCTTCATGGATAGTGGGAGCAGCGCACAGGAAAAAGCTTTATACAGGTAGTCCTCGACTTACAACAGTTCATTTAGTGACCGGTCGAAGTTACAACGGCACTAAAAACAAGTGACTCATGACTGTTTTTCATACTTATGACCACTGCCGCATCTCTATGGTCACATGATCAAAATTAGAATGCTTGGCAACTGGCTCATATTTATGACTGTTGCAGTGTCCTGGGTTCATGTGATCCCCTTTTGCAATCTTCTAACAAGCAAAGTCAACAGGGAAGCCAGGTTCACTTAACAACCATGTTACTAATTTAACAACTACAGTGATTCATTTTTCAGTGGTGTAAAAAAGTTAGTAAAATGAGGCAAAATTCACTAAATTTGGCAACAGAAATTTTAGGCTCAATTGTGGTCACAAGTTGAGGACTATGTGTAGTCTGCAAAGTCTCTCATCTGTCTATTGGAAAAACAAAGCACCCAACCTAAAGCAGAAACAATCCCCTTGGTAGAAATAGTTCCCCTGAAATCTTTCAAATTATGTTGCCCAACAAATTGGAGGCTCTCAGATTTCCAAAACCCAAAGATGATTCTCATATTCCTACACAGACTACTAATTTTGGTGCTGTTAAATTTAAAGCCGTTTAACTCTCCAAAATTGGGATGAGACTAGAGGTTATACATTTGGCATAAATTTTTTTAAAAAATACTAATTTAAAATTTAAAATATACAATCGATGTTTCATTTTAGCATGGGGGCCAGAAACAGCTTCTGAAAATTTAAAAATGAGTTAATTTGAATTTTCAATATTTCTGAATAAAACTTGAATTAAATTGTGATATGTTTTCCACACAAGTATTACAACTAGATAAAGAAAAATCAATTAAATGATTCAAAAGCATTATATTTTCTTCAATTATTGATTTAAGAAAATGATACAAAGCTACATATTTGTAAGTGAACTGCTAGGATTATCAGTTCATTTAAAGGGGACATTAGAGCCAGGTGTGGGATGATAATCAAGTGTGAGTGTGGTAGGTCCTGCTTTATTTAAACAAGAGAGTTCTGGATATTCATCATTAAATTCTAATCTTTACATCACAGATGTCTGGTAGTGTGTCATAGCTTGAACAAACAAGATTTTTGTGGATACCTGAAAAACAGTTGCTGATGCTCATCAGGCTGGAAAAGTTACAAAATTATTTCCCCAAAATTTGGAATCTTCCAATCCATTATCAGGCAGATCAGATACAAATGGAGGTAACTCAGCACATTGGTACCTTCCCCAGGAGTGGTCAACCAACCAGATCACACCAAGACAAGGTATGAAATATTCTTTGAGGTCTCAAATAACTCCAGGGGAATGTCCAAGGAACTAAAGGCCTATTTTGCATTGGCAAATGCCAGTATTCATGAGACTAGCATCACTGAACAACAATGGTGTGTGTGGCAGGGCTGCAAGGAGAAAGACACTACTCTCCAAAAAGAATATTTCTATCTGTCTACAGTTTGTGAAAGATCTTGTGGATAAGCCTGAAGACTAATGGAAGAACCTTCTGTGGATGGATGAAACCAAAATAAAACTTTTTGGCTTCAATGAAAAACATTACACTTGGTAAATGATAAAGACTGCAATCAAGCAGAAGAACCTTATACCATCCCATGGTGGTGGCAGGATCATAGTTTGGGCCCATTTTGCTGCCTTTGGACCAAGAGAAAGTTGCTATCATTAATGGAACTATGGATTCTGAATTGTACCAGAAAATTCTACAGGAACATGTCAGAGTCTGTGTCTGTGTGTGTCCATGAACTGAAACGCAAGAGAAAATGAGTAGCAACACAATGATCCACAATATTAAAACTCTACAAAAAAAAAAAAAAAGAACAAATTTGTGGTGAGATGGACTGCAAATTAAATAAGTAAATATTTAAAGCAAAAGAAAGTTAATGTTTTGGATGGCCAAGCGCAAGTCTTGATCTTAATCCAACACTCCTGCGCTGGGGGTGTTTCATAAGGAGAAATGGGCTAAAATCTGTGCAACCTGATATGCAGGACTAATTAACATTTCTCAGAAACATTTAGTTGCAGTTATTGCTGCCCTAAGGCAGGCACAGCAGTTACTAAAAGTTCACATACTTTTACCATACACAAATATATAACTTTGGATCATTTTCTTCAATAAATAAGTGAACAAGTATAATGCTGCTTACTCAGTGCCTATATATCAATATGAGTCAAGAGAGACAGATTTCTGTAACTGGTGTTTTTAGCCTATTTTGGGCCCTTTAATCTTGCCTTTCTGTTTGCATCTTAGCCCCCTTACTTGCCTTAACTTGTAACCTGATTTCCCTATTATTTTGACTCAATGAGATTAAGCTAGAAATATTTGCCCTTCTTTCTAATTCATTTTTATTCCGTCTTTCAAAAGCAACTTTTATTGTTATCCTGTCATCTTCCCACTGAGAGCAGTAATGAAAACTGCCTCCAGGATTTCCTTGTCTTTAAAAAAAGTCATAACCACAAAAACACCTGGATTTCTCATTGATTTTGGGGTTCTATTATTTTGCTCTCGCTTTTTGTATTGCCAGTGATGAAAGCCTGAAGGTTTGTGTTTGTACATGCTAAGCTTACAGCAGCAAACTGTTTAACACATTCTTGCATATCCAACTCTTATAAAAATTCAGCATTACTCACCCACACACATAAAAATATCCTTTCTCCAGCAGCAAAATCCTACTAATCTCTTTACAATAAAGCTGGAGGTTATCTTGAATGTACTTAGGAGGGGCAGTTTCTGCCACAGCTGGAACATCTCTTGAGAAGCAAACTATCAGGTAAGTTAACACACCATTTTCAAGAAAGAATCGGAGCTCATCCCTAAAAGAGAAAACCAAGGAAGAGGCTGGAATGAAGAAAATACGGTTCCAATGGACAACTGCTAAATGTTAAAATGCTAACAATGAGCAGAAGAAAAACTTACTGGAACAAGTAATCTCTGTCCTTATGGCGGCAACCAAAAAACAACCACGTCTCTCCTAGCATATAATCTGGGTGCTTTTCTCTGAGCTTCTGCCTAAATAAAATAGCCAATTAAAAATAATACAGTTATAAAATGTATTATGCATAGCTTCTATCAGAAAAGTTAAATTATTATTAGTTCCTGAAGGAGAAACAGATTATAAACCTAACATTTACAAAATATTTTTTTACCTACAAAGAGTAACACATCTAGTTTTCTCCCAGAATTAATGTAAATTGTACGGAAGAATTATATGTGCACAGCATTATGAAGGATTCTGGATCCGAGACTCCCATTGCAATGAAATTACTGTTTTACACTTACAAGGCCCTCAATTATGGTAACAAGGTGTACACATTACAGCAAAACTTTAAACCTAGAATCTGAGAACAAATTGAAATTCTTGATCAATCAGTCCATTTACCAATAAATCCGTGCTAATCCCTAATTAAGGATCATTGTGCGTAAAAGTTTAAGTACTCATCAAATTGCATGTTTCAATGAATCTCTAAATGAAGAAAAGCTAACACAATAATAATAGCAATAGCACTTAGACTTATTATACTGCTTCACAGTGCTTTATATCCCTCTCTAAAATGATTACAGAGTCAGCATATTGCCCCCAACAATCTAGGTCCTCATTTTAGCAACCTCGGAAGGATGGAAGGTTGAGCCTGGTGAGAATCAAACTGCTAAACTGCTGGCAGTATTACATTCTAACCACTGTGTTACCTTGGCGCACAAGCTCTACCTGATATAAAATTAAACACAAAACCTTTCTGCAATTTTAAATAAACATATACTATTTAATGTAGTGATTTACAGATTCAGAATATTAAAAAAAGTGAATATGACAGTTTCATATTTGGGTATCCTTTCAGGTCAGTACTATGTAGCATTTCCTTGCAACTGTTACCAACTTGCAACTTTTTAAATATAGTTACCATATTTTTCAGAATATAAGATACACCTTTCCCCCCCCCCCCAAAAAGGGGGAAAAACTGGGTGCGTTTTTTATTTCGAAAGTAGCCCCCCCCCGCTTTTCAAAAGGAGGTTTCAGAGGCTGAAAAAAGCCTCTGAAATGGAGCTTCAGAAAAAAAGCCTCAGAAACAAAGTTTCAGAGGCTTTTTTTCTGAAGCTCTGTTTCCGAGGCTTTCAGAGGCAGAAAAGAATTTTTTTCTGAAACAGAGTTTCAGAAGTTTCAGAGGCAGAAAAAAAAGCTAGGCACAGAGCTCACAACCAATGAATCTGTTGCTAAAATTCACCTCTGGGAACAACTGATTGGGGGTATTCTAGGAGGCCGATCCAACTGCCAATCAGCTTTTTTCTTATTTTCCTCCCCAAAAACTAAGGTGCGTCTTATACTCCGGTGAGTCTTATACTCTGAAAAATACAGTAAGTGTCTATTTTTTCTTTTGGATTTTTCCTCCTATTCTTCCTTTAAGAACTCTTCTAGCTTAGAAATATTCTTAAGGCTCCTTCATGTACTGTATATTTGAGATTTCCACACAAATATTCAGTAAAATTCAAGTCTGGGAATTGCAAATACAATACACAAACTTTTATCTATCTAGACAATACTTTCCTCAGATTGCTGAAACTTGAGGAACAGGTGTAGCTAAGCATATATATTCAGATGTATTTACAATAATAGTAATATATTAAGTCAATTAAACACAATGCTGTAGTGTTTCAATTAAATAGGAGGGACTTTTAGACTTATTTCTTGTAGATTAACATAGGTCCTAGACTCCTACCGTGTTTCCCCGAAAATAAGACAGGGTCTTATTTTCTTTTGGGCTTCAAAATAAGCATTTGGGCTTATTTTCGGGGAGATCTTACTTTTTAAAGTGCTACCGCTGGCCTCGCTCTCTCCATCATGCTGTCTGCTCCCCAGAAGCAGCAATGGAAGGGAAAGAGACTGAGGGAAACTTCCCACAACCCCCCCCCCCCCATCAGCTCCTTCTCCTTTCTGGGTTGGGGTAGCTCGCACCCACCGAGTCCGTTAGGATTGGAAGTTCGATCACACCCCATGAAGGAGCCTCTATCAGCTGAGTCAGCACGGGCCGGGAGCTGCCTCTCATTCTGTCTCTCTGCGGAGGCTTCCCAGTGCAATGCTCTGCCACAGCTTCGGAGCAATCCTCCGCCTTCCCTGTGCAGGATTGTAAGGCTGGAGGCTTCGCCTTGCTCCGATCAGCAGGAAAATCCCCACCCTCCATTTTCCCTGCCAATCATTCTATCTTTGGGGAGCTCTGCACAGACACACATCCCAAAAATGCTCCCTCCAAAGCCTTCAGCTTTGCAATCCTGCGCAGAGAAGGCAGAGGTTTGCTCCGAAGCCATGGCAGAGCATTGCACTGGGAGGCCTCCGCAGAGAGACAGAATGAGAGGCAGCTCCCGGCCCGTGCTGGCTCAGCTGATCCGCAGGCCACAGTTAAGGTGCTGAGCTTCCATAAGGTGACTAGGGAAGGGAAGGGCTGCCTCCTGTGCTGCCCATGCCCACCCCTTCACTAGGGCTTATTTTCAGGGGAGGGCGTATATTTACGCCCACCCCAAAAATCAGGCTTGGCCTTATTTTCAGGACATGTCGTATTTTCAGGACATGACGGTAGTTCTCCTATATGATATTTGTTCAATTCGTTATCAGATCAGAATGGCCTTATAACCCTGAAATGCTTTCTGTTGTAACTAAATCAACATTTTACTCGTTTCATAGCTGCATATAATGTGCATTGGCTATTTCAATAATATGGAACAAATTAGTCCCAGCAGCTTGTTAAGCACTGACTTGCATTATAAACAGTAATGAGAGCCAATCTGTTGCCTCTCCATTTTCCAGGGCAGAGCCTGGCTATCTCAATTAATGTTATTCTACAAATTTATGACTCAGGTTTTTAAAAGAAGTCATTTGGCATGGCAACCATTCAATTTCATGCTCCACATACAGTTACTTTTCTAGAAAACTGTCCTTATTACTCTTCCCTATATTACAAAATAAAGAGTAAAGTCTGATGTGGTAAATTCATGTTAATTAAATGAATAAATTGCAATGTTTTTGGAATGAAAAAAGGGTCAAATATTGAACTTAGGATGTTCTGCACATCTATAGTTCAGCTTTGACAGTTATCATCTTTAAGCACAACTGATGTGATGTTTAAAAAGCTGCAGCTCGCAACAACTAATAAAAGAACCTCTGACATACTGAAATGCAGTTAGTTGAAACCAGTCCAATGCAAGCAACTTTCCAAGCATTTTAGTCAGTGTATCTATAATTATAACGTATTTATCACAGGGAAGAAAACTAATATGAAGTTTTTATTTCCTAATTTGCATAAATTTCTCTTGAAATAACAATGTATGCAAACATATAACTTGAAGATTTCATTTGGTATGGCTGCAATCTATTAAACCAAGATGAACTGGAAATAAGATACTGGATTCTATTTTGCTTAATTAGCAACATTCTAGCCCATCCTGGCTTATCTCAAAAGGTCAGACCAAAATTCGTATTTGAAAGGCAACCTCTGGGAAAATTGAAGTGAAGAGGGGAAAAAACAGACATTATCAGAGATATGATTAATTGGGAATAGTAGAGTTTAATTCAGATTGGCTTCCTTTTCACCATTCATTACCACATGAGAAGCATGGAATGAGACAGCATATATTTTTATACACTTTTTAAAAATATAATTTCATTAACCTTTAAAAACACTGCCATGTTAATTATTAATTTGTTACTTCTTATAAATTAGAGTAAATAGCACAATAGCAATATATTACTTTAGCGTAAAAGTATGTTTAAAAAGGAAGCTAAGTTGCTATAATAAAAACAGCTAGTGTAGTGAGAGAGGGAAAAAAGCAACCCCCCCCCCAAAAAAAACCTCCCTATATTTATTAATAGTGGCATGTGGGAGAATTTTTTAAAAAAGGAAAAAGATAACAAATAAAAAAAATCATTTGAAACCAACAGAATAAAAAACAAAAAGCAAGCGTGAACCTCTAGTGAAAAACAAGATCTCTCAAGCCAGCAATTCCCTATACCTTAACATTATGCTCTCTAATAATACAGTCAGATTGGGTTGAAGATCTCATTCACAGAAGGCATGACTCGTGAGACAAAGGACTCTTATCTCCATGGCACACAGAATCTGATTGTTCATCATCAGGTAAAGGTTTTCATAGTGTTGCCACTCGTCAACAGAAACTAGAAAATAGGTTGTGGGTGACGGACTGATATATTTAGAAGACTTGCCTATGCTGAAGAAAGCCAATAAACGGGGCAATTCCAGTTCCTGGACCAACCATAATAAAAGGAACAGATGGGTTGTCTGGTAGGTGAAAAACATTGGATGGGCGAGACGTTATGTTGATCTAAAATGCAATTTAAATGTATTAAGATGAAACTGAAGAAAATGTACAAACCAATACCCCTCTCCTCCAGTAATTAGACATGATTGCTAAATTACTCACTTTAAAAAAAAAAGAAACACAGGAATGATTAAACTACGAAATAATTAATGATTTCCATTGAAAGGAAGTGAAATAAGATGACAGAAACTCAATTTCTAATAACAGAAATTGGTTTACCAAGTGCAGCATTTGTCTTTGACACTTTCTCCCACAGCATGGTATGACAGTTGCTTCTACATTTTGAATAGGACAATCTTGATAGATTGTTAAGAAGGTCACAGACAAAAGAACAGTAAAAGTCACAGGCCTCATTTCTATTAAAACATAGTTTCTATTAATGTAATAAATGAAAGGCTTGCGTCACTATAAGCATTTTTCATATAGCTGCAAAGACCCCTGCTGTTTCTTTAGCAAATAATTAATGTCATGAAATAATTTATTTTTTTAATGATTGCAATTACTCTTTTGGCCATAAAGCACTTTATATGGATGCAAGTTGATTCTTGTCACTAGAAGTGGTTTGTTTCCTTCAAATGAATTCTGAATTTTTTAGATTATTTATGTACTCGTCAACATAATTATTATTATGGTCTTTTTTTACTTGATTTTCATTAAAGAAATTTTTGTAAAGTAAAAACAGTAAAATTTTAAAGCGAAAGAGTCAACAAAAAAAATGGTTAGTAAATAAGAAAGTAATGAAAGAAAAAAGACAAAAGAAAAATGATATAAAGGAATGGCAATCAATCTTCTGTACAGCAGTCATAAATACATTACATTTTATCCTCTTCTAAGATTACATCATGGCTCTTTCTAAACATCAAACTCATGAATCACAATTTTTTTTTTTTCATTTTAGCAAAACATCCATAAAGGATTTCTAGTCACTGACAAATCTAAACGTTGTGTTTTCCCTAACCAAGTAAGTCAATTTTGCCATCTCTGGAAATTCTGTCATCTTTATTAACTATTCCTCCATTGTGGGTATTTTAGAGTCTGTTCATCTTTGTTCAAATAACAATCTCATTGTGGATGCCATGTACAAAAACAATCTTCCGTAAGTCTTTTCTACTTATCTATTCATCCCAGTAAGAAAGATTCTGGTTTTAGTTGAATATTAATCTTTAACATTTTTTATTTAAACCTCAAATTTACTAGCTTTTTTTTACAAGTTGACTTAGCATGATAAAATAACTCTTCACATTTTCTACATTTCCAACATAGTTGAGGTACTTTTATACATTCTAAAAAGCTTTTCTGGTGTCACATACCAATAGTGTATCATTACGTGTACAAATTATCTTTTTAATTATAATAAAACATTTGTAATTTTAAAATTATAATACATTTCTCATCAACAATCCCAAAGCAGTGTACACTAATCATAAAATGATTATCAAAGATAGTTGTTACAATTAATTGTTACAGTCAATGTTTTATGATTTGGCTTCTATTTTCTTCCATCCTCATTTTCCCACCTCAGAAATAAATCTAAACTTCCTCCAGAATATTCCAACATTCTGGCCCTCAGCAGTGGAAATTTTCCATTTTCAGAACCAATTCTGCTAGTAGAATAATATCTTTACATAGGACCCTAAATTATATTTTATAGCTGCTACTACCAATCCATGAACCATTGTACTAAGAATGGAAGCAATTATTTTCTAAGATTCTGCCTTGCAAAACATAAGCTTTTTATCAAATGTAAATACCTGTGGAGAGAAGAATTCTTTGCTCTTCTGATTCACCTGAAGGATTGGGGCAACCAGATCAGCTAGCCAACCCGTACAGACCCCTCTTCGCAGCTCACCTAGGTGGGATGGAAACTCCAGAATATTAAAGATGAAATGCATCTTTCCAGGATGAAACAAAGTCGAACTGCAATGAAATAGTCAAAGGAAAAACCAAATGTTCTATTGAATAATAATAAAGTATTTTGTCAAAGGCAAGGGTTAGTCTGGACAGTTACGCTGCTGTGTGCTTCTACCAGCCCCTTTTTATTCTCAGAATGATCATAAGATATTACTATTGTCCAATACTCCAGATAGGAATCTGAGGCTGAAAGCATGTGGCCAGTTACGACAGTTAATATAAAAGACAATTCCCAAAAGCTCTCTGATTATACTGTTCAGTTTCTCTGCATGATTTATCAGAATTCCAATGATTATCCTTGCAGCAAGATGGCTGAGGAATCACAAACACACACCATTAAGGTGCTGCTACAGGCCAACAGCTTTGTAGTTCAAAGGCTTGAGAATTGACTTCAACTTGAATCAGTTTGAAACAGTGGTTTGCCTGGACAAATGAGCCACAACAAACCAAATAGGAACTTCCAAAACAGAGATGCCTATTCATTCTGCTGTTACTAGTGCTGAGAAACAAACCACAAGAAATCTAATGAAGTATATATGTGAATGACCTCCAGTCTTCAAATGCTAAGCTGGTACACTTCCAAAGATTTCAATTTAACTTCTGTTATCTTCTCCAACCATAAAAGGATTGGATCCATTTAAACAAATGGAAAACACTTTCAGTTCCCAATTAAAATGTAATTACATTACCTTGCAACTGAATAGGGTCTGGCTTGCAACTTTGGAAGATGTTCTGAAAAGGAAGAAACTTGTGAGTATAAAGGTTTAGCCTTGAATACACTTTCATCTATTTACAAAAGCAAAATAATAATGCAATCATCTAATAATTATGTATTTAAATAAAACTTAAAGCATTCTGAAGTATTCTGTATATTGTATTCTGATTGCAATTTTTATAAAATTCTTATATTGAAGTCCAATAATACTACCATCATATCTACCTTCATCTTTAAGCTTGATTTATACTCATACAGTTGGACAGGCTTTTGGTTGCTAGATTGGGGAGATGGTTAATTCGGTTTAAGAGAGAGGTGGTATCAACACTATGAAAGAAACAGTGATATCTGCCCTTCTCAATAGGTACTATTTGATTTAGCCATTGGGACAACTACTGGCCGCTCTCCAATATTCTATGGTGGGCAGAGGGGTCTGTAGAACAGTCGTCAAGGAGAAAAGAAGTGTGCTGTAAATTTATTTTCTGTGTGTATCATAACCCTGAATATGTATGGTATGAAAGGAGAGAATTTGTATTGCAAAAATACAATGTCCTGCAGACGTCTTTGGCAATAGGTGTCTGGTTACAGAGGGATGGTTCTAAAGCAAATGATTTATCTGGATCATTTACTTACATTATAGAAATGGTTTTGTTACAATGGTGGATGATTTTTCTCAAGACCTGTATGGAGAGCGTTCAGCTTTCCTGATCTCTTTAGATCTTTTGGCAGCATTCTGTATCATTAATAAGGCAATTCAAAAGTATTCTTGAGTTGTCAGCTTACATACTGCCAACTAACTTCTGGACTATCTAAAAGTATTGGGATTTGGTAGAACTGGTAGTTCCAGACTAAGTAAATGGCAATTCCAGCTAAGAATATGTGTGAGGAAATAATAGTTATGCCTATAATTATTCCATTATGGTGCTTGATCCTCCCTTCCATATTATTTAATATCTATATAAAATCACTCATTTGCCCCATTCAGTTCCTCAATAAGGGTATGCTGAAGATTCCCATGTGTTATGAACTGCGTGGAGCCTATCAATGCACTTTCTTATGACTGCCAATAGACTCTGAGCATAAAAACTTCTCTTAACATCTTGCCTTTCAAAAGGCAGCGAAGACCTTATTTTTCTGAGCGCTGAAGTAGAAAGGCTATTAATTAGTTAGACTATTAATTTTGTTACTCTCTGTTTTGATTGTAATCCCCTATGAGTGCAGGTGGTCTATAAGTCAATAAATAAATAAACATTACAAAATGAATATAGGATGAGGCTTGACAGGAATTGGCCTAATTCACTCACTAAATTTATGACAGAAACAAGACTGAAACACGGACTTTATAATTCATAGCCCATAACTTAGTTATTGTTCCACATGTACAACTTAATATGCAATATATATAACTCATACAGTAAGACAAGTCATAGTGTAAAATGTATTAGAGTAATTTAGCTAAGTTTTTTTGGAAAGTGGGCAGCATATCAACTTCCAAATACATAAATTTTTAGTATCTTGTTTTCTCTAATTGAAACATCCCATAAAACGACTCACCAATCAAAAGACTAAGTGGGGGCTTGCAAGTTGGGAAAACCCGGAGCAAATCTAATAAAGTAACACTAGGATCCCTTATAAAAGAGTTATAATCCGAGGATCCTTGTTTGCTGCACAATTCTTGAAGTCTTCTTTTTTCACTAATGTCAGTGGTATAGTTTACCAAAGAGCGCAGAAATGCCTAATAAATGAATAAACAAACAAATAATTCAGAATTGACCATGAGTTAACAAAACTAACCTACACTTTAAAAAAATAGTCCTCCTACTCTATTTCATAAAGTTAGTCATAATGAGTGGATCCCCAAACCAAAAGCAAACAGATATGAATTGTGTTTGAAGCAATGTTTAACACTAACAAATTACATTAAAACTATAGAATTGCATAAAAATAAATGAAAAATAAATGCAACAATTTAATATGCAGTGTTTTTATAAACATACAAAATGTAAACAAGTTGAGAAACACTGCCAGTAAATAGAAGTCTCCATAGATTGTTAGGTGATGACATCTAGTGGATTATATTGAAAAATATCCCCATATGTTCATCTGCAAACATACAATTTGAACACTAGGTATTCAGACTCAGCTTGTTTAATTGAAAATTAATATTATATGCACACACAAGAGCAGCCTTATTCAAACATGCTGTTAATTATTACTATAAGCTCCACAATAGTGATTTTATTCATTGCAAATAAGAGACAAGTCTTCAGTAAATATTCATAGAAAATTTTCCTGATTCTGAAGTGGTATAAAATTATTTCACTTAGTATATGCAACTGTTTATACATTTACTGTATTGCCCATCAAATATAAGAAAAAGAGAAAGAATGATGATGCATTTTTCTCAACATCAGGCAGTAATCAGTTTGGCTAGACGGTTAAGTAAGCAACACATCAGTTGCTTAAAGACATTTAATTTGAAGTAGCAGACAGTACAATTTCAACATGAGAGACAAACTAAAATGGCATTTGGTCTAGACTCAAAAGTGTGTCAAGAATTACACTTAATGACTATATGAAAAAATAAATGGGAAAAATACCTTTTTGGGAACTGCTCTGATTTCCAGACACCATGTAAACATAAATTTAACAGTACTGTTATCTGGTATATACTGTGGCAATGTTGCTCCTATTTTAAAAGAATAATATAAAACAGTGACCATATAGAAAAAGCTTCATATTCTATATAATTACTTGGAAAGAAATCTAAAAGGGATCCCAACTCCTTTGGTTCAGGTAGTACCCGTGTTTCCCCGAAAATAAGACTGGGTCCTATTTTAATTTTTTCTCCAAGAGACACATTAGGTCTTATTTTCCAGTTAGGTCTTATTTTTGGGGAGATACGGTTCTAAATGCGTCCGTCTGGCTGATGATCTTAACTGGGGCTACTTTTTGGGGTAGGGCTTATATTACGACATCCTGAAAAACCAAGCTAAGGCTTGTTTTCTAGTTGGGTCCTCTGGGATATAATTTGCCCATATATTCTGAGGACTGCACTGAGCAGGCTTGTAACTGGCAAGCCCAAAATGCTTAAGAGGACAATCCTGGAGGGTAAACAGAAACCCCTCCCTGAAAAAGCTTCCTCAAGTCCCACATGCAGAAGGATTCTTGGCATAAATGTTAAAACTTAACAAGATCAATTGCAGATAGTTTGCATCCAGTGATGTCCATTTGTATCTAAATATCAGACTAAAAGGAGCTTTTATAGCAGATTTTACGGGTATCCAATGAAAGAGATCAATGGGAAGTTCTATGTCTGAGTCGAAATCCATTTGTATTACAGTTGGATAAAAGTTCTTAAGAATGCTTCTTTTCAGAAGGGATCTTAGATTGTAAAGTTCTGGAGGGAAAGAAATCCCCCCCCCAAGTAATTTCCTGGAATGATATTCCCCAATTTGGAATGCTCCAACATTGCTGCGATACCGTTTCCCCGAAAATTTATTTTCCCAACCGGAAAATAAGTCCTAGCATGATTTTTCAGGACGCTCATAATATAAGCCCTGCCCCCCCAAATAAGCCCCAATTAAGATTGTCATCCAGATGGATGCATTTAGTACCGTATTTCCCCAAAAATAAGACCTAACCAGAATAAACCCTAATGCGTCTTTTGGAGCAAAAATTATTATAAGACCCGGTCTTATTTTCAGGGAAACATGGTACCATCCCCCCAAATTCCAGTCATCAAGGAATTCTGAGAGTCAAAATTGCAAAATAGTTCAATGGCACCAAGTTGAGCAAGGAGATTGAGATAATTTCCTTTATGGATTAACTATTTTGACTGATACTGAGATGCAGAACAGTAATTTAGTATACACCCCAAAACAGAGCCCAGATTTCAGTTATGAAAGAATTATATTTCTTTTATTCAGCAATGGCAGGATAAGAGGACAACTTCTTATGAATCAGAGATAAACTGACATTGTCACAAGGGTGTTTCTATGTTCCCCCACATTTATACTAGAGCAAGGCAATTTTATGTAAATTGATCTATTTCTGAGAGGATGTTTTTGATAAAAGTTTGCAGTGAACCTACATTTATTCAGAATAAGGAGTTTCACAAAGAGCTCCTAAAGGATCCAGATAAATTCAACAAAAATAAGATTAAGCTTATAAATTGAAGCCTATGTAATATGGAATAAATCTATAATTTGGATAACAGTGTATACATGTGAGTATATGAACATAGGACTAAACTATAAATAAACCTAATAGAGCAAAAATAATGCAATGATTCACACAACCATTTGGGGCGGGACCGAAACCACAACCTCTAGTCATCTGCTGATGGCATTTGAACTAGTATGCATTGTTGTAAACAAAAAAAGCATAAAAAGTGTGAAGTTTATTTTAATTACAGAAATTAAGAAATCAAAGAAATTAAAAGACACCGTCCCCAGACAAAAATAATAATATAATTCATGAGATCACACTACTTTTCAAAAGGTAGCATCATATGCCATGTAATACTGATATACAACTTACCTCTTTTTTTAGTGCCTTCCTTAACTCGTATGCAAACAAAATGATCTTTTTTTCCCAAGAGTCCCAAAATACCAAGAAGTTCATCCACCTCCAACACATTATTGGGACAAATTATATTAAAGTCATCTCCAGGTTGGTAGTTAAATGTTGTTTCCTGTATTCAAATTATTATTATTATTATGGTTGGTTGCACAGTCAGCCAGATATTTAGACTAGATTTGACATTTTTATTAATTTATTGAGTCCTTCCTAGGGACCTGAGATAGTTATAATTATTACTGGAATACAAACAACAACAATAATCACATAATTGGTGTTATTTGTAATCCTATGCATTTGGAATATAGATGTTATGGTGGAATAATGAGTGATTTTTAAAATATTGAATGACAACATTTACTAAGAGATAATAAACACAGGGTGCGAAGAAATGTTATTTATGCTTAAATGAATTAAAGGGAAAATTTAACAGGAATATGAAATGAGACTGGTATTGTTTGAAGTTGGAAGATTAGAATTCTACGTACTATTTGTATTATTATTAATGTAAAAAAAAGACCTGACCCAATCAATGTACTGTCCACAAAACATGTATGTTTATATTGGAAAAAATAAAAAAACTTAATATAAAACAACAACAACAACAATCACATGTTTCCTGAATCAGTGTTCTTTGAAAATTTGAGTTCCAGCAAATCTAGGAATTATCCAAGTAACATCATAAGATGTAACATGTTACTTATGGGACTGTTTCTCCCTAATTGTTTTTACTCATCCTACCTGATCTGTGTAATTGTATATGGGAATGACCTTCAGACTTTGGGCAGCAAGATGCAATCAAGGGAACAGTCAGATAAAAGGCAACTTACCCCACAGCAGGAATGTGGGTGGGGCAAAAAGGTCAAGAGACCCTCCCTTGTTTTCAGGCTATAAATAGGTTGGGCATGGGGAGAGCAAGAGTAGCATCTTCAGACTTAAAAGATTCTGTTAATTATAACTTTATCCTAAAATAGAATAGCTCATCTGGTCAGGCTTCTTGTCTGGTTTAACCAATCTTGCAAATATTGTATATATTACGTATTTTGTTTTTTATTTGTTTTATTGTAGCCTAGTCCTGTAAAAGTGAGATGGGAGACTATATAAATTTTATGAATCAATCAATCAATCAATCAATCAATAATTGTGCCCAACAAGATTTTTTTTAGATCCATGCTTCTTATATAGCTGAAATATTTAGTTCTCTTAAACATCTGTATGCGCCAATAACAATAGAGATGATTTTGCAGGCTCCTCTTATCTCATAAATACTGAAACTTGTCTTCTATTTTTCTAACTTATTCTGCTATCTGATGCACCTGCACCAATATTTATATTACTATTTAGAAGCAAATTGTTCACCCACATTCATTCAAATTTTTTATTATTCTTTGCATAAATCTCAACTGATCCTGATTTGTTGTATATACCAAAGCCGAAGTTATACTTTTGTTATCAAACTTTTTTTAAACAAAAACAAATTTTCCCTATCTTTTAAAACATTTCCTACCATAAAGTCTCTATTAACCTTAAATAAGAGAGCTAACCCTGTTGACTCATTAATGCCTTCCCCAAAAATTATTTTCCAAAATATTTATTCTTAATCTTTTCTGTTTCCTGTAACATAATCACAGATGGATTGAAGGATCAGAATGATAACCAGAATGACATTGAGTGTTTATCAGAGAAGTAGTTTATTGTTATTTTACCTATTTACAAAAATTTCACCAAACTAATTGCACTCACTACAAAACATCTTTAGATAAGCCCTCCAAGGGATGGGATGGGGTGGGGTGCAGATCTGCTCTGTCACTTCCTCCCCTTCAGCAATTCCAGGCTAGCATCTCTAAACCTCTTCCCCCACTTCAGCTGCAGATTCCACATCTGGAATATTTACAGATTCTAACTCTTTTTATTGGATTGTCCAAATTAAGTATTACATTTCTGTTGTTCCTGTCTTGTTTACCTTTCCTACAAAATAAATCTATCAACAGAGAAGCCTTAGCCAATACATTTGTGATTAAATTCATGTCAGCATTAAGAAGCGTTTTCTGACTAGCCTCACTCCCCTTTGTTTTACTCTATACCATTTTCCTTACCTTTTCACAGCTTGCTTCTCCATTTACCCACCTACACTCACTTCCAAGAGAAATTAATTAGATCCTCTAATATGTACCTAGTTTAGAAAAGTTCTATATTGAGGTTGAGCTCCTCCTACCCATCTTGCTTGTCGTTATTTTAATTTCTAAACTTCATCATTTTCTGGGATTTGTTTTACTTATTACCTAACCAATACGAAACAATATCAAATTCCATAACTATCAAAAAGGCTTTTAGAATACTTCTTTTACATGTATACACACAAGTGAGGAAACCCTACATTAGTTAAATAAAGATTTAGTTGCCCAGTGAACACTGAATGCCAACTATCTAATATTTAGAGCCAGTAGAGAAAGCAGTTGGCTAGCTGAAGCTTTGATCAGGAATATTTCACATTGAAATATTCAGTTCTAAGTTTATCAGTATCAGTTGAAGTAATTAAAAACATCCCTCAACTTACAGAAATATCCAGTTCAATCAGCAATGTTTTTTTAACTGCATCATCCCTAGTAAGTTGAATAGCCTTGGTGATAGGAACACGAAAAATGGAGTTCTCCGAAATATAAGGTAGGCTAGCATCCTGCAAATAAAGTGACACAAGTTTAATTCAAAGGACTAACTACAAGAAATAATTGCATGTTTGATATTTACATTCGATTAACAATCCACCCAAATAAAGCCCTTTTAGGGCCACACACATTTCAACGCCGAAGATTCACATTTAACATCACTCTCATTTTCACATGACATCCATGTTTTTTTAAGCCCCTTCCTATGTTAGAATACTAACATTAAAGGAGCAAGGGCCAAACCACTTTTAATGGATGGTAGAACAAGGATCTTAGCACAATTTCCCCACTCTAAGGACAACCTCTCATTCTGACCTAGACTTTGCTGAATTCTAGTCCTTACTTTATAGGGATTGCAAGAAAAAAACTTAATTATCAAAGACCTAATGAAAACTGAGTAAGATAGGGTGCTTGTTGAAGAATTCATGCTAACATCCATGTTTTCCTCATTTATCAGCTACTCAATTAAAATAATTTTAAAGACAGAATTGTAAAGACTTTTCTATGTTTAACATGAATTCTAAAGCAAAATTCCAGATTCCAGATTCTGAAGTTTATAGCTATAAACATCTTTAATATGGGAGACTCTACCTGAGCACAGCTTTCTTCAAACTGCACCTCTAGGTATTCTGGTGGCAAAGCAGGAATATTAAGAGTTGCATTTGAGAGGGGAGACCCTGAGAAAGAAAGTGAAGGTTGAGAGTTTTCAGTAGGAAGTTCAGAGTTAATATTTTCTTTTGATGAAAGATTATTTTCCACACCGGAATCTTCAGTTTTCAAGCGTTCTGCTTGGGGACTTATACAGAGATTAGAAAACTTGTTAGCACAAAAAGATGTATTTTTTTCTTCTTTTCTAGATGCAAACTCTTGATTAAGTGCAACCCAAAGTCCAGCAATCCATGGTTCAACCACCAGCTCCAACCTGAAACAAAGTAAAGAGAGTAAATAAATGAAAAGATTAGGGTAAAATCATCTCTTTTGACTTAGTCTTGACTTGTGGGTGACTTCATGTTCATGTAATTTTCTTGCCAATGGAAATGATTTGTCCCTGCTCAGAAGATAAGCAGAGTTGATCATGGTTGCTACTTGGATGAAGACCATGCTGGAATTTTAGGCTGAAGGAAAACAGTAATAATCCACTTCCATTCTGTTGCTCAGAAAACAATTTATAGACATGCCTCCAGAGACACCAGGATTAGGGACTTGAAAGAGACTTGAGTTTAAATTACATAGACCAATAGGTATTACAGGTAGTCCTTGATTTATAGCTATTTAATGATGGTTTGGAATTATGGTGGCTTCAGAAAAATGACTTTGCGACTGATCCTTGATAATACAATCATCGCACCACCCATGTGGCCACATGATCACAATTCAGATGTGCTTGGCAACTGGCCTGAATTGACAATGGTTGCAGAGTCTTATGGTCACATTATTGCAAATTCCCACCAGCTTCTGATAAGCAAAGTCAAATGCCACAATAAAAAACATACTTTTTGGAAATCCTTATATGAGCATTTTCACAAAGATATAAGAACTTACTTTTGCAAAGAAAACAAAACTTAACCTTCCTCTTTTTCTCTAAAAACTCATCCAAACTTCACCTTTATGAACTCAAGATGATACAAATCTTTCCTGGAATTTATATAGAAGCAAGGTAAACGATAAAGATGACAGCTGACCTTGAGTTTCTGGTATTATTTCTGCTCAACAATTGTCCTGTTTTAGGCCTTACATTCACACTCACACAGTTACTAAGTGAGGAAAACAATTTACTCAAGGCTCATCATATAATAGCTGATAAGAATAGAAATGTAAATCAGTAAACTACCTTGGGGAAAAAAAACTTGCCATAGTGATTTTGGGTGGTTTCACTTTTAATAGGACTGTGCAGAAAAGTAGTTGAAATACAGTCCAAAGTTCAGAGATGCAAATCAGGTTGATCAGCCAATCCAAGGTTAGAGTTTCACAAGCAGGGTTCACAGGAATGACATGTCACAGCAGAAAATCAAATGGAGAAACATGGCTCATGGCTTCCTCTTAAATCAGCCTTGCAGCCAGTTGTCTTCAATCAAGTTACTCCCTTGTTTGGCAAGGAGTCTCACTGAACATTTTTCTTCTGCTCTCCACTCTGTTTGCCAGATACTAGGGCTTGGAGGCCTTACATTATCATCTGGTTGCTCCAGCTATTCTGATAATGCCTATATCTAATCAGTTTCAGGTGATTCCTGGCTTGGTGTCTCTTGAGGCTGACATTTCACTGGTTCAGCTGGAGCAACTTCTTCAGAGTCATAATTTGAGTTATGACCCATGACAGTAGTTTTGCCAATAGGCAAAAGAACCAATGCGTTGTCTCAACTGAGATGAGGGAATCTCTGCAGCTTTAACTTGTGCTACCATAATTGGCTTCATGCTGGCTATGCTAGTCTTGGGACAAGTCAACTCTAGCCAAATTCCTGACATATTTTTCTTGGGTTTTAAACCTTTCGTGTCCCCACCCCCCAATTTGTTGTTATGGGACCAGCATCATTGTGTTGAGTAAAAACAGTATTTCATATTCATATCTAAATATGTTGGGAAGAAATTAAAATAAAAGTTATCTGAAAGAAATTAGATTCTTACCCTACAGCGTCATCAGCCAAACCCACTTCACAAAACCGTTGAGCCCCAAGTTCCAGAAATCGTTTGTCTATTATTTTCCCACCATTGCAGAAGAATGTGAATTCAGAGTCTCCAAGACCTGAGAAAATCAAACTAAGGATTAAACTCACCATCAGATACCCAGATCATGTAAATAGACAAAGAATTCCAAAATGTATTTAAAATTATACTCAAGCATTAGAAAAACAAAAAACAAACAAGAAACACCCATCTCTACACCCTTCCTCCCAAAATCCTAGAATGAGTCATCATAACATCTATATTCTAGTACACTTCTCTGTAAAAATTGTACTGGGGAATTCTAGGTCAACATTCCTCAACTAGCTCAGACCTAGATTCCAATACTCATCATTTCTGGTCAACACCGCTCCAACACTATGATGTATGATTGGCTGAAATATATCTTTTGCTATCTGTTTATAGAAATTCAATCATTTGAGTAACAGCTGTGAGCACAAACCAAATAATTTTCTACAGCCTCTCCTTATGGAACAGCTTCAGTTTCTTCCAGTTTCTTTTGATCTCCATAGAAATCAAATTAGTATATATTCCAGATAATAGGACAACTTCTAGGCAAAAGACTAAATGAATTCCATACTCCAACCAACCAGAAAGAACTTCAGAAATGGCGAGTTCCTTTTGGAATAAGATAGAATATGATCATCATTCCCTCCTGGTTGGTGAAGGCCAGCTGAGGGGTAACGTGCAGTTGGATCACTCACTTATCCTTGGTCACCATGCATGCAGGGAACTGTAATGTGCTTTACTTGGGGCTGCCCTTGAAGGCTATATGTAAACTGCAAATGGTACGTGATGCAGCAGCATGGGCAATACTGGGAAAACCTTTCCTCATGACCTGCATTGGTTTCCATTTAGTTTCCATGTGCAATTCAAAGTGTGGGTTATTACCTATAAAACCTTTCGTGGCATTGCCTGTCTTAAGGATTACTATCTCCAGGGCAGTACAGTTGGACCAAGCTGGCATGCTCTGAGTCTCATTGATCAAACACTATCATCTAATGGAACCCAGGAATAAGGGCTTCTCTATTGTTGTACCTGCCCTCTGGAAAAGTATTCCACCGCTCAAGATTTATCTTGTCTTTATCTATCTTGTCTTTGTCCAAATGGTCCTTAAAAATGATATAAAATTGTCTTTCAAAAAAGACTTGCTTTCGTTCCCAAGCAGGCCTTGGGATAGGGCAGATGGGGGTGGAATACTATGGAAATATGTATGTTTAATTGTGTGCTTTATCGCTCTATCCAGACATAATTGTCCTTTTTTCATTTTATTGTTTTCTACTATTGTTAATGTTGTCCTATGCCCAGAGTCACGAGGGAGTTGGACAGCTTTATAAATTTAATGAATAAATAGATAAGTTATATTGAGTTAGCTAACTAAAAAGAAACAGAAGTCCTAATGAAAATGGCTTGAGTGACAGATAACTGAATTGGGGCTCTGCAGTATGGAAGAATTGTGTTCACTCTTCGTTAGTTACTTGATATCCAAGGTATTTCTGTGGGGGTAGGTAATAATGGAGGAATTATTGAACATTTAAATTGCCCAAACAATAAAGTGATCTGGGGTGAATCTAATCCTAATAGAAGAGGAATTAAGGGGATGAAAGGAATCAGTTTTCAATCTCAGATGAGCAATAGAATCTATCCAGAGATAAATGACATTGCTTCAGTAAATTACTGTTCAGTGCTCAGAGATTGAAGGAATTTCACACACAAGTTAAGGAAATAGTTGAATTAATTGTATCATTTATAAACTTTGCATGACATGTGATAATACATTTGGGAGCAGCCCAGAGTTGCCTGAAAGATGGGTGCAGTATAAATATTTTAAATAAAATAAATGTTTTATAATTTGCACAGAAAAAAATGTCCTTTGGAAATATCATGCTGTTCTTTCACTATTTAAAGTATTATTTATAAAATCCATTTTTCTGTCATTCTTTAAGAGAACACAGATGACACTGCTTCAAGTTTTGTTGGATTTGGTTTGTTATTTACAGGCTTTTAAATTGTATTTGATTTTTTATCTCTAAGATTTATTTTATGTCATCTATAGTTTCTTTATGACTATTTTATTTAGAATTTTTAAAATCTACTTTTCAGGCAAAAATAGATGGAAGAAGTATAGCACCCTACCCCCATCCAGATCTGGGGCTGAGAACTGAAGAAAGTGTTGACCAAAGAAAAATGCACTTCTGGCTCAACACAAATAGACCCAGAATGGGTACCTCCTCTATATACATTCTTATCAGCAGGGCCAAATTGATTAAGAGGAATGGAAGACTACTGATGACCTTTTAGGAATTGATATTATGTAAGGAGGTTAAGTTGTAAAAATCCTATAATGGCTCTACTGTTCCAGAATCAAGTGCAAGTAGAGAAAGAATTTAATCTACTCCACAAGTAAGATTTATACTTAGCTCAGATTTTTTTCCTTCTTCATGAGAACAATAATGTATAAGTCATTTACCTAGCAGTCCATATCGTATATGAGATAAGTGATCAGATGGCAAACTTTTGTCATTAATTTCCTTTATAAACTTGATTGCAGTATCTGGAGGTTCTCCTGTACCAGTAGTAGAAGTAACAATAACCACAGGATCCTCTTCCTTATCCAAGTTATACTATAAATCAAAAGGAAAATACATTATTAAAACACTGAGCACAACATCAAAATAACTCTGTGCCATCTGTACATACACTAATAAATTTATATCAACCAACTTTAAGGCATATTGATTGGAGAATTCTGGGAGTTGAAGTCTACACATCTTAAAAGTCGCCAGTGTTGAGAAACACCGCTCTAGCTTTATGACAAAAGCCCGAACAGTACAAAAATATTCAGAAATCTACCAAAATGAATTACTAAACTCTTTAGAGTCAATATTCAGTGATTCAACACATTCTTATAATTTATAAGACTACTATAGCATAACATAGTCTGGAAAAAATAGATTAAGAGCTGTACCATCAACAGAAAAAAATAACAAAATAAAAAACAAAAAATAATAAACATAATAAACATGAAAGAGCCGAGATGGTGCAGTGGTTAGAGTGCAGTACTGCAGCTACTTCAGCTGACTGCTAGTTCAGCAGATCAGTGGATCAAATCTCACCGGCTCAAGGTTGATTCAGCCTTCCATCCTTTTGAGGTGGGTAAAATGAGGACCCAAACTGTTGGGGGCAATATGCTATTTAGTATACTGTCTTTGGTGTAAGCTGCCCAGAGTCCTCGGAGAGTGGGCGACATAGAAATATGACTAATAAATCATCATCATCATCATCATCATCATCATCATCGCAACCTCAATGGAATAACTACATGAATCATTTTAACTGTAAACTTATGAACAGAATTAGGCCTGGAGTGTTGGTCATAAGTCATTGCAATCATTAAGTGAGGTGCCCATGTGACTGCTTTACTCAATTACTGAAATTTCTGGGTCTGCCAGTTGTGGTCCATTTAGTAAACAGAAGGGAATTGCTATGGCTGAACAGACCAAAAAATAATAATAATAATAAAACCTCTGAAGATCTGAGCTTCCTTTCTCTGGCCTAGTGCAGCAGTTTTCATCCCCTCTGTTTGCTGGAACTTTTAACTTTTAGAACCATTCTTTTGCTAGCTTTCTGGCTCAAAAACTAGCAAATGCAATGTTTCTGAAAGGTTGTTGTTGTGAAGTTGTGTCCGACCCATCATGACTCCATGGATGTTCCTCCAGGGCTTCCTGTCCTCTACCATCCTCTGGAGTCCATTTAAGCTCACGCCTACTGCTTCAGTGACTCCATCCAGCCACCTCATTCTCTGTTGTCCCCTTCTTTTGCCCTCAATCTTTCCCAGCATTAGGCACTTCTCCAATGAGTCCTTCCTTCTCATTAGGTGGCCGAAGTATTTGAGTTTCATCTTCAGGATCTGGCCTTCTAAAAAGGATTGATCTTCTTTAAGACTGACCGGTTGATCGCCTTGCAGTCCAAGGGACTTGCAGGAGTCTTCTCCAGCACCATAGTTCAAAGGCCTCAATTCTTTGGCGCTCAGCCTTTGTTATGGTCCAACTTTCACAGCCATACACTGCAACTGGGAAAACCATAGCCTTGAATTCTGAAAGATAGAAAAGACTTTTTCCAGCTTTCTGCCCTCCAAAAACATTGCATTCCTTAGCTTTTGAGTCAGAAAGTCAGCAAATGCGAACTTTCTGAATGGAAGACAAGCAGGAAAAAACCTTTCCACCTTCAGAAACATTTGTGTTTTTATTTTTTTTATTTATTTATCAAAATTGCATGCTACCTATCTTGCTAAAGGTGATTGTTGGCTGGTAAGCTCGCAAACATGATCGTTCTGAATGGTAGATTTTTTCCACCTAATTTCTTTGAGAGCAACAGGGATGTTTGACAGAGAGATTTTTGCCCAACATAGAGACAAAATCAATCTGATAGATAGCCTGTCTGCTTTCAAAGACTGTGGCTGAAAAAGTCTCTGGCTAATAACGTGCATGTCTCTAGATGTGATTAGATCAACCACTAGAATATACACATCAGTGGAGATACAGGCATAGTTACACAATTTAATCATTTCTAGTTATTAGATATCCAAGACAATACTTTACATAGGCTATATTCAGCACAATATACTATTTCTGGATTAGAAAGAAATGAGATTGAATTCTAGTCACTACCTTTCTAAATTTAATCTTGACTTTTTAAAATATTCTGAGGAAGAAACTGAAATACATGTACATGCATTAAAAAAATATCCTTGTTACTTTATTTCTCCTTCTCCGATTCCTTTTTCCTTTGAAAAAAAGATAAAACTTGTGGACAGGTCTGTATAAACAATTGACAGTATAACAGTTTATTTCATAATTTCAACTGAGGAGGAAAAAAACCCACAAATCATACTTTTTGATTTCTAAGGAATCAGTTGAATATTTAGATAAAAGAGTAGAAGAGAAAGGGCAAATTGTTCAAACCTTATTTTAATTTGTCAAAAATAGATCTTAATATTACAGTCTCACCTGCTCTGATTCACTGATGCAATGAATATCAGCTTCAAATCCATGTTCCTTTGCCTCCTGGCATATTTCTTCAGCTATGGCTTTTGCCTGTCCTTTTTGACTTGCATAAAGCAGCAGAAATCTTCTATTTCTTTCACAACACATTTTTCAAGGTTTAACTGAGGGGGGAGGGGCAGGAAAAGAAAAAAACGTGCTCTACTGAACAGACACAGCAACCCTTTTCTATACCAACCTGTCTTTAGTTTTACAGGAAAATACTGGAGGAAGGAAAATTCTTAATGCATAGCACCTACATTTATTAAGCATTCTAGTCGTCTATTCAAAACAGTTAACAGCAAATAAAATACAAAACAAAAATAAAAAAGTAACGTTAAAAGGGGCAACTAAAGGCCTGATAGAAAAGATGCATCTTGGCTGCTATTGCAAAAACAGGGAATGGGGATCAAGTACATTCCCACGTGGCCAATAAATATATCCCTGAAAGCAGGCAGGAAGGTGCCTAGGGCAGGTCTCAAACAGTAAGGCCCATCGAGGGCTTTATAGATTGTACATGGGAAAAAAGTACAATCTGAACGAGGGCAGATTTTTAACCTGGACCTCTACTAAAGCATGCCACGTTTTGCACCAATGGAAGCCGCCCCTGCATTTGTTCGTTTCCCTTACATTCCTCCCCATTTCCGAAGGCTCTGAACCAGAGGTGGTATTCAGCAGGTTCTGACCAGTTCTGGAGAATCAGTAGCGGAAATTTTGAGTAGTTTGGAGAACCAGTAGTAAAAATTCTGACTGCCCCTGCTCCCATCTAATTCTTTGCCTCCCAAGTCCCAGCTGATCGGGAGGAAATGGGGATTTTGCAGTTACCTTCTCCTGGAGTGGGATGGGAATGGAGATTTTACAGTATCCTTTCCCTCCCACGCCCAAGACACACCCACAGAACCGGTAGTAAAAAAATTTGAAACCCACCACTGCTCTGAACCGCTTACTGTACACAAGCAACAATGCAGAAAGTTAAAAAGAACAGCAGCCCAGTCACATTAGAAAGCAGCACAACTCCGAAGGGCACGGTACGTGTGTGTGTGTGTGTGTCAGCTATGGTTTTCAAATGCCTTTAGAGACAACTTTGCTCGGTTCTTCGAAAATATACCTGGGGGTGGGGAGGGTCAAGTGGTGAGTCCCTGCAGGTGGGCTCTCTTGGAGGAGAGTCCCCCAGCCAGACCGTGCCGGATCTCCCCCGGCAGGTTAATTCCACACTGGAAACCCGTCTTATCTTTTCGGGGTACAAAGGTGAAAATCGTCCCTGCACACGAGAAAAATACCTCTCCTTTAAGCAGAGCTGCAGCTGCTCGTGTTCACTTAAAGATTGTCACAGCCTCCGATCACACGTGCGCCGCCCAGCACCGCCCAGTTTTGCGCCCCTCCGGGACTCAGATCCTCGCCGGATCGCAGGATCGGGGAGTGTAATTAATCCGGGCGCGGTCAGAAAGGGACCCGACGGGAAACAGCATGAAAAAGAGACCTCTGGTCTTTCTTTTCCAGTGTTCTGCCTCGAAGGAAACCAGCAGTGGAGCATCGGCTTTTCCAGAAATCCTTCCAGAATAGGCTGATTCTGCCTGGGGCACTTTCTGTCTCTGTCACTCAGTCGTCATGACGGGGTGGCTACATTTTTTAAAAAAAAGTAGATTAATGTTCAAATATATAAAGAGGCGACCATCTTTTTCCTCTACCCTTTTTCTAGCTTCCACCAGGGAAAGGCCACAGGGGCCTCCCTAAGAAACGTCTCATCCCGCGCACTTTTTCGAAATGCAAATAATGAAACACACTGCGTCCCCAGATGATAGCTTCAGCCTCTTTTTTTTTTTTTTTTGCAAAATTTTCAGAAAAAAAAGTATCATGCATAATTGGTATTAACAGCAGGAGGGACTGGGTCGTCTTGCTTGCAATAGCCCAAGGAGTCTCCAACCGTGGCAACTTTAAGACTTGTGGACTTCAACTCCCAGAATTCCTCAGCCAGCTTTGCTGAGCAAAGCTGGCTGAGGAATTCTGGGAGTTGAAGTCCACAAGTCTTAAAGTTGCCAAGGCTGGAGACCCCTGCAATAGCCGACGATGCAGAGATGGAAATTAATGATAATCTATCATGAGTTCCACCCTCTGAAGTGTTGAGGAATTTTTTCAACCCGATGAATTTCGGTTTCCAATCCTATCATTCACCAGCAAAAGCACCCGGCAGCGCAGTATTCCTCTGTACATTTCTATCTCCACGATGTATTTGCAAAAAAAGCCAATCAGGGTCACGCCAAAAGGGGCGAGGTGGGCTTTGCGACTTTGCGAGCCAATCAATGAAGGCAGGAGGGTGGGCACAAAATGAAAAGACGAGATCCGATTGGTCGCCGTGCTTCCCCATAAGTGGAACCTTGAAATCGCCGAGGTAGGAGGTAAGGATGGCCTGCACGTGGAGCCCATCGGAGGACTGCGGACCGCTCAGCTCGCCTGCGCTGCCTCCCGCTCCGCTTTTTGCTTTTGCTTAAGTCCCTCTTAAGTAGCCTTTGGTAAGCCTCGGGGGAGCAGTTCCGCGCCGCTTGCACTGGGTGAGCGCTGTTGTAAGTTTGGGAACTGCGGTTCTCTGACCGGTGGGTGCTGCGATTACTAGCTACTAGTAAAAACAGTCCGGGTGGTTTTGGAAAGGGTCAGTTTGGGATCGTGGACTGTCTTCGCCTTGGATAATTTTGCTTTCTCGGCGGAAGCGCTCCTCTTTAATCCACTAATGCAGGGGTCTCCAACCTTGGCAACTTTAAGCCTTGGTGGACTTCAACTCCCAGCTTTGCTGGCTGGGGAATTCTGGGAGTTGAAGTCCACCAGGCTTAAAGTTGCCAAGGTTGGAGACCCCTGCACTAATGGGTTCTATGGGTGATATGCTTTATTATTTGTTGCTGCTGCCGGAGGGGTGGTCTACACCAGTGGTCACCAACTGGTGGTCCGTGAGAAAATTTTGGTGGTCCGCAAAAAAATTATTTGCATTTTTTTATATTGCACTAAATCAGGGATCCTCAAACTACGGCCCCATGACCGGATACGTGCAATGAACGTTTGGGTTGCTGCAGAGAGTCTTTCTGCAGAGAGTCTTTCGGGGTCTTTTTGTTCAAGTTGGAGGGGGGCAGAAATTCTGATTTGGGGTCTGCTTCAGTCTCCTGCTGTGGGGCTTTGGGCAAAGGCTGGAGGGAAGTTGTGCTGGTGGCAAAAAGGCGGAGGGCCTTGTACCAATGGGACTGCATCATGGCCTGGAATTGACTGACCATCTCAGCCAGCTGAGCCTCAAGGTGACGGTACCTGGCCTTGCATTCCCACAGGTCTTCCCTCTGCTTGGAAAGCCTATGCTCGTAGTCCTCAGTGAGGTGCTTCTGCTGAGCCTCCTTCTCGGTCAGATCCAATTTGAACTAAGCCAGCTGTTTTGCCAACTCTTTCTTGTGGTGGCTGCTTAGCTCCAACAACTGCTTCCTGTTGGGGCCCTAAGGAGCCCGGGCGGGAAGGTGAGGAGTGACTGGCAGGGGAGGGGTGAGTAGAGGCAGACAAGGCACCCCTCGATGTGAGTGACATAGAGTTGGCCACGCCCACCCAGTCACATGACCACCTAGCCACACCCACCCAGCCGGTCATTAGGCAGATCATATTAGTTGTCTGTGGGATTTAAAATTATGAATTTAGTGGTCTCTGAGGTCCAAAAGGTTGAGGATCCCCGGTCTACACCGTCGCCCTTGTGTGAGAGCAGCAACTTTGCTGATTTCCTTTCCCAGCTGCAATAAAAGGACCGTTCTGGGGACAGCAGTTTGCCACTTTCCTCCTCCTTTCTACCTTGAGGACCCAAGAAGAACGCATTGGCCAAGGAGTAGGAAAGAGCTCACAGTAGTCATATTTTACATAAAAGGTCTTGAGCTTGTAATTGATGTTTACAAAAAATTATACAATTTACATTTGCAATTATTTATGTATTGCATTTTGCATAATTGATATATTTTTTTTTTTACCATCGCAATACCGACGGAGCAGGATTGAAATTTCTTCCTTGGCAGCTGGACGTCTTATCCAGCTATGGTACTTATTCCAGCTTCAGAACTTCAGATAGCCTTATTCATAATACTTTCAAACATACATTTACAGATGTTAAATATTTAAGGTATTTTTCTGAGTTGAATTAATTAGTTAACCATATCATACTCACACAGAATTAAGACATTGATGTGAACTCTGTGCTGCCACTTGTCTATCATTTCAAACTCTTTAAAAAGGCAATCTATTAACTTTTTCTTCTATTTTCAGGCAATGTCAGCTGCCAAGCTAAGATGGCTTTTATGATTGTCAGGTCTTTCCACATATATGTTCCGAATATACAAACATGCAAACAATTGCTAACTGGAAGCAGAGCCTTCAGCCATTTCTGTCAGAAAATGAGGCAATTCCCAGTCGGCTACTTTGATTCTTCTATATTGGAAAACCGAAGAGAGTTCCTGTGCACTTCATGTAGAAACTACCATGTGAAACTAAAAAATCATACTAGCCCTGTTGTGGAAACAATACAACATCTTGGAGAGGCCAATAACAATTTAAAATCTAATAGCAAGACATTAGGTGAACAGATATTTTTGAAGGAATTGAACCAATGGTCTTCATACAAAGATATTTTCAAATTCGTGAGTACTTTGGATAATTTATCTGACACCATGGTAGCAGCTATCTTTCAGCGATTGGGTGAAGTCCAGCTACAGGACAGCTTAATAAAAAGTCCCGAGTTGCTGATGGAAAATGATATGTTCAAATCACTTTGCTTGCGGTTGGAAAAAGAATCTACACATTTATCTGACTCTGCTCTTGTAAATTCTCTAAATGCTTTGACAAAGTTGCACGTGGATCCTTGCAGTTCCTTGATGGTTTGCTTGGTGTCAGAGAGCCAACAACGTCTTGATAAGGGACAAATGACTATACAAAATTTGTGTATTCTTGGAGAAGGTTTATTTAATCTTGGAGGATCAGAACATGCTATGCTGGAACAAATTATGAATCAAATTCAGAGTACAAATGTTGAGGACTGGAAGATTGAAGAAATGGTCCTGGTATACAGAACTCTGCAGCTGTGTGTAGGTAGAAAAATGAACCTGTTCCAGAACCTGTTAAGCAAAATGAACAGTTTTGCAGAGATGGAAGGTTGCCAGTTCACTCCCAAACAGACAAGTACAGTGTTAAGTGCGCTGGTTGTTTTAGATGAAACCCAAGTCAATAACTTGATAATAAAACTTTGTAAGCATGCATCATGTTATATCCCATACTTTACAGATGATGAAATGATAAATGTGCTGGAAGCATTCATTCATTTCAGATGCTCTGACCAGGGTTTCACAGAGGCGCTAGAAAGACATGTTACTAAATTTGCCTTTGTGATGCATCCCAACACAATTTCCAAAACCATGCAGTACTGCAGTACACTCTGCATTCTTTCCAAACCCATATTCAATGCAGTGGCAGAAACCTTTGTCTACAGTGCTGATAATTTCACCGTTTCTCAGATTGTTGAGCAGGTTGTTCCATTTGGGAAGCTCAACTATTTGCCCCCGTCTGCTCCATCTTTCTTCCGGCAGGTTGAAAGGTTCGTTAGTATGCGACTTTCTGAATTTGAGCCTCATGAACTTCTGAAACTTCTTCATTCATGCATTCTCATTAAATGCTACCCGCTAAATTTTATGGAAAAACTGTTCAGCCCCTTTTTTCTGCAAGAATTGCAAGGTAAGCAAGTAAACCTATTTCTGTTATAATAGTCCTCTTACTAACAGTTGTTTTCAAATAGTTTGTAGGAGCCATAGGTACTCTTTAAATGAAAATTAACAAGGCTTCAGCAAGGCATTCACAACAACCGGTGAACATGCATGCGTGCATCTTTATTTGCATGAGCAGCGGTTTCCACAAAACTGGAAACATTGGAGGACTCTGCTCTAGAGAATGTTATCTTCAGGAATCACATGGATTTGTCTTCTCAGTTATGGCACCTTCTTTGGGCAATTTCCCCCTGCCCCAAGTTTAGACTGGTTTGACTCTGTTGATTGACAACTATCAAAATGTGGCTATTCCAGAGTGGAATAGAATTGTTGTGAGTGCCCCCTCCCTTTAAAGCATTTTTTTATAATGTTTGCTTTTCTTTGGCATTAGCGTACTCGTAATTCTTATTTAATGATGAGAATGATGATTTAACATTGTAAGGGAATGTAAACCACTCAAGAATCTTTTGTGGTTGGAGTGGCATATAAATACTAGTAAATAAATGAAAGTTGAGCAATCAACTTTAAGTTGCTGTGTGATGATATGCCTCTCTGGTTATTTCCATTTTAGCTGAAACACCAAGATCGAAGATTCTTTCTCAATTGACTCAGCTGTTTTTAACCATTCAACTGGAGTGTCCATACTATAAGGTATGATATTATTGATGGTGATTAATATTAATAGTTAAGCAAATGCCAGCATCTACATTTTTACTCAGACTAGTAAGTGTTTCATAATACTATTGGACAAATATACTAATGTTGCTTGTTAGTAATCCTCCATATCAGCAGTAATTTTGCTAGCATTTTAGGCTGTAGTCCTATGGGGTTAATATATACCCCTTATGGCCATAAGATATATAGGATGAAGGTATTCACATAGATTTATACCAGTGGAGGGAACTTCTGCTCCCATTATAGCACTTCTATGCTGGAGCAAGAACCCAAAAGAAGCATTCCAGGGCATGACATCTGCATCTGGAAAATCTGTTACATTGCCTTATACCAGGAGTGTCAAACTCTATTTCATTGAGGGCCACATCAGGGTTGTATTTGATCTTGGGGGGGGGGCCTAGGGTGGGCATGGCCAGCATGACAGCACTCGTGTCAGGGGTGCATGTGGTGGCCTGAGTGCTCTGCCAGTGAAAATGGAGCTTGTGGGTCCATGCATGGCCCTTGCAAGCTCCGTTTTCAGCTGGGACAGCCTCTGCAACCCTATGCCAGCGAAAACGGAGCTCGTGAGGGCCGTACATGACGCTCGTGAGCTCCATTTTTCGCTGGCAAAGGCACCACAGGCCGGTCCTTCACTGTTTCCAGGGCGGCCCCACAGACCAGATCCGGCCCCCAGGCCTTGAATTTGACACCCCTGCCTTATACTAACTGGAAAGAAAAATAAGAGCCTGCTAATACTACTTTATAGGTTTTCTGATGTGGTGGTTTCTCTGATGTGGCTTCTCCTCCTTATTCGTCATTATTCTTCCAGCATTGTGTGCCTTGTTATGTTGTCAGTTCATTGGTGCACTTTAAAAAATAATTGCGTATTTATTCATATTTGTTTGGTTAACTGGCAGGAAGCAACTTGGCATAAAATTGATTTAAATTTTTATCTTTTGTCTTTACAGAAGCCCTGGCTATCCCTAGACTACCAAGTCAAGTCCTTTTACACTAGATGTGAGTCATTAGAATCCAAGGTTGATCTTCATCTTTTCAACAGAGTGAAGGCTGGCATGATTGACCTCTTAGGGAGCCAAAAATATTTTGTCTATAATGTTCTGACACCATATCACTACACTATAGGTGAGCAAACTGTGTTTCCTTTTCTGATAGCTGTGTTCAGTTTTTAGATGCACTTTTTTTCAGGATTGAATGGATAGAATGGCCATGTTCCAAGGAGTAATTCATAGGATGAGGTTAATCTCCAGCAATATATTTGATTATTTTCCCCTTGTGTCACATTAAAAATTATAGTTTGGTATTAACTTTTGGAAATTTCTGTGAGTTCTGCTAGGCCTTTAGATGACTGCAGGGATTTGTTTTGGACTTAGGCAATAGTTTCCACTGGGGTAAATTGCCTCATGATTTTCTATCTCATGTTGTTGGGATTTGTTTGTTCTTTAGAGTATTTGTTTGGAATATTCATACATAGCACTAAAGTTGTGGAAACTATGAATGTTCATTCAGTGTGAGCTTTCTGCAAACTATACCTTCAGAACTCCAGCAAGAATGATTTGGTCCTCCATGCAGTTAATTGGGAGTGGAGGTGGGGACATAATGGTAGGGATAAAAAGTGAAACAATACATCATCTCATTGGTGCAAGGACCCTAGACAATTTCTTTGAAGCCTTCTACCCCCTCCTTTTTCAGCCACTCATCTTCATGGAATTTTAGTATTCTCTTAGAATTCTTTTTTCAACAACAGCTATGTTTGTTTCTAGCCAAGTTAAATGTATTTAACAAACAGCAAAGCTGCCTCAGTTATCCATGTTGCACATTGATTAAAAATAAGTTTTTATATTCAATTATGAAAATGAATGAAATTCAGCAAAAGGATAGTTGTGAGGAATGCTATTTTCTTTCTGTTTGTTCTATATAAGATATTGAGATTAAGCTCAACGAAGAAGGATTTGTACTACCAGTCAACGCACATGATGAGATATACGAAAGGTAAGGAAAACTGGACGGGCGGTTATTGTTTCCCAAAGCGAGTTCACAAACCTGAAGAAACTTTTTCAGTTTTTCTTTTCTCATGAAAAAATTTAAAAAAATATTTCTAGTATTTGGTTTATGTTTACGTTTGTAAAGTTTATTCCACTTTTTCCTTATGAGGTTGATTCCGATTGTGATAGAAGAAGCAGAGCAGTGCTAACATTGGTAGAATATTAGCAATATTGTGGTCCAAGAGTTCCGAGCCTTTTTAGTCTTACTCAATACCTGAGAAATTACTGCATATTTTTCAATGTTCAAGTCAAGCTGGTGTTTTTGTTACATTTTGGCCTCTTCCCTTTCCATACTGTTGCAAATCCATCATGCTAGGCTCAGAAGGAAGAAATCCCTGTTCACACCTTACTGCTATGGCAGATGCTTCTAGTCCAAAAATGTTCATGGATTTGCTTTGCTCAGCAAACTACTTTTAATTCACACAACAGCCAAAAGGCCAATGGAAACCCACAATCTTTCTGTCCATCAGTCTAGGTTCCTGTTTATGCCCCTAATACTAACTTGGCTCTGTTTGGAATTTGCTTGTTGTACAGTTCTCTCAAGTGTGTGTCAGGGTGAAAGGGGTTGACCAACTTTTGTCATACATATTTATGCAGAAAGAAGCACAAGGACTTACATTTACTTGTAGACATAAGTTTATTGCATACCATTGTATATTCTTAGCTATAAGTAGTTAGAAAAGTCTGCACTGACATTTTGAATTTGAAGCAGTGACAATATTTTGATTTTACAGAATAGCTCTCTGCATTGATGATGAAAAGAGATTTTGTGCTAATACTCACAATCTTCTTGGGAAAGAATCCATTAAGCAAAGACATCTGAAGCTCATTGGTTATGTGGTTGTACAGGTAAATTCAATAATTCTGCTACATATCTCAAGAGAGAGGAAGGACACCCTTCTTCAAATATTTAACTATATTTGGAGATCCATACTGGTCCTTTGTTCATAGAAATTTTTACTTCTGAGGGTTGATCCAGACTGTTTGTGTTTGGTCTCATAGCTAAAGAGTGAACTAAGAGCATGAGGCTAGGAAGCAGGAAAGCGTGAGTTCAAGTCTTGGCTTAGCTATGAAAGCCAATCTAGTGACCTTGGGCCATTCACTCTCTCAGCCCAACTCACTTCACAGAATTGTTGTGGAGAAAATAGGAGGAGAAAAGTGTGTTGGATATGTTCATCACCTATTTGTAAAAATAATAAAGGCAGTCTACAAATTAAATAGAAATTAAGTAGAAATGTGCCCACCGGGTTTCCGCGCATTTCATCAGCCGAGGGCCCAGGGTAGGGGTGGGAGGGTGGCGGTTATTGTAAAGGAAGGTCTTGATCCTAGGGAGGCCACTGTACCTCAGATAGCCGGTTGTGAGACTCTCCTTGTGAAGTGGGGCCATGGGAGGCAGATGGGCCTGCTGATTGCATACCTGGCTCCTTGCTGCGTGGCAGCGGCCCTGCCCGAGCTCCTCAACGTTATAGCCGGGGTGGCGGTTGATACCCCCAGGCTTTTAGTCATGGGGGATTCCAACCTGCCATCCATCAGTGAAACGTCTGAGGCAGCTCGGGAGTTCATGGCTTCCATGATGGCCATGGACTTGACCCAGTTAATTCAGGGCCCCACTCACACAGGGGGAAACACGCTGGACTTGGTTTTCGTCTCTGGTCAGTGGTTGAATGGCGTAGATACAGGGGATATAGTCATTGAACCCTTGTCATGGTCAGACCATTCCCTCCTTAGACTTGACTTTCTGACTGCTACACCCCACCACAGGGAGGCGGAACCGATTAGATGGTTCCGCCCCAGGCGCCTGATGGATCCTGATAGGTTCCAAATGGAGCTTGGGCCATTTCCTGAGACTCTGGCTCACGACTCAACGGAAGACCTGGTGGCCGCCTGGGATAGGGCGGCCGCTGGTGCTTTAGATCGGGTCGTGCCTTTGCGGCCTCTGACCCGGCACCGAATCTGCCCAGCTCCTTGGTTCTCTGAGGAGCTGAGGGAGATGAAGCGCCGGAAAAGACGCCTAGAGAGTAGTTGGAGGGCTAGTCGTTCCAAATCTGACCGTACACTAGTGAGGTCTTATATCAAGACTTCCTTAGTAGCGATAAAAGCGGCGAAGTGTAACTACTTTTCCGCTCTTATCGCATCGGTAGATAATCGCCCAGCCGCCTTGTTTAGGGTGACCCGCTCCCTTCTCCATCTGGGAGCGCGGGAAGACCCCTTGCAAGGGCGTGCTGAGGATTTTGCGCATTATCTGCATGATAAAGTCGCTCAAATTCGGGAAGGCTTGGACTCTGAGTGGGTGGGTTCAGGCGGGTTGTCTGAGGTGTGTCTTGAGAATGTTATCTGGGATGAGTTCGACCCTGTGACCCCCCGAGGATGTGGACAGAATGCTGGGGAGGTTGAACGCAACCAAATGTTTATTGGACCTGTGTCCCTCCTGGTTGGTGCTGGCTACCCGGGAGGTTACACGAGGCTGGCTCCAGAGGATTATAAATGCTTCCTTGAGTGAGGGTTTCTTGCCTCCCACCTTGAAAGAGGCGGTGGTGAGGCCCCTCCTCAAGAAGCCCTCTCTGGACCCAGCTGTTTTGGCAAACTATCGTCCAGTTTCCAACCTTCGCTTTCTGGCGAAGGTTGTTGAGAGTGTGGTGGCGCGAGAGCTCCTGCAGTACCTGGATGAAACCGTCTATATAGATCCGTTCCAGTCCGGCTTCAGGCCTGGGTACAACACGGAAACGGCATTGGTTGCGTTGGTTGATGATCTCTGGAGGGCTCAGGACAGGGGTTGCTCCTCTGTTCTGGTCCTATTAGACCTCTCAGCGGCTTTTGATACGATCGACCATGGTATCATGCTGTGCCGGCTGGAGGGGTTGGGAGTGGGAGGCACTGTTTTACGGTGGTTCTCCTCCTAACTCTCTGACCGGTCGCAGTCCGTGTTGGCTGGGGGGCAGACGATGACCTCAAGGCACCTGGTTTGTGGGGTGCCGCAAGGGTTGGTCCTCTCGCCGCTCCTGTTCAACATTTATGTGAAGCCGCTGGGTGAGATCATCCGTGATTTTGGGGTGCAGTGCCATCTGTACGCTGATGACACCCAGCTGTACATCTCCACCCCAGACCACCCCAATGATGCCCTTGAAGTGATGTCCCGGTGCCTGGAGGCCGTGCAGGTCTGAATGGGTTGGAACAGACTCCAACTCAACCCCTCCAAGACTGAGTGGCTGTGGTTGCCAGCGTCCCGATATAGCCAACTGGTGCCATCGCTGGCTATTGGGGGCGAGACATTGGCCCCCACAGAGAGAGCGCGTAACTTGGGTGTCCTCCTGGATGCACGGCTGTCTTTAGAAGAGCATATGACGGCCGTGGCCAGGGGGGCTTTCTATCAGGTTCGCCTGATACGCCAGTTGTGCCCCTTTCTGGATCGGGACTCCTTATGCACGGTCACTCATGCCCTCGTCACTTCCCGCCTGGACTACTGCAATGCTCTCTACATGGGGCTCCCCTTGAGGAGCACCCGGAGGCTCCAGCTGGTGCAGAATGCAGCCGCGCGGGTACTTATGGGGGCGACATGGCACTCCCATGTAACACCTCTCCTGCGCCAGCTGCATTGGCTTCCGGTGGTCTTCCGGGTGCGCTTCAAGGTATTGGTTCTCATCTTCAAAGCACTCCATGGCTTAGGGCCCGGTTATTTACGAGACCACCTTCTGCCACCAATAACCTCCCACCGGCCAATACGCTCCCACAGAGAGGGTCTCCTCAGGGTGCCGTCGGTCAGGCAATGTCGGCTGGCGACCCCCAGGGGAAGAACCTTCTCTGTGGGGGCACCTGCCCTCTGGAATGAGCTATCCCCAGGGATACGACTGATCCCGGACCTCCGGACCTTTCACCGGGCTCTGAAGACTTTTATTTCAGCAAGCCGGGCTGGCTTAAAAAATTTTTTAATTTTTTTTAATTGGCTAATTTTATGGGTAAGGGGTTTTAAATTGGGGGGAAGCCAATACAGATTTAATTATGTTTTAAATTATTTTAATGTTTATATTGTATGTTTTTTAATCCTGGCTGTTCACTGCCCCGAGTCCTTCGGGAGAGGGGCGGTATAAAAATGTAATAAATGAAATGAAATGTAATGAAATAAGTGTATGTTTCAAAGCAATATTTTACTATCCAGCCCTTAATACCAGTATATACATTATTGCCATTATATTGAATCACTGGAACATCTAGTTCAGTACTAGCTTCAGTACTAGACCAGAAATAGCTGTTCAAAATTTCAGACAGGAATCTTTCTTTCTCCTCCTTTAAGATTGACTTTGGGATTGTCTTCATTTAAATTGAGTGTTTCATTTTATTTATTTATTTTTTTATTGAAAAAGTTTTCAAATACAAATTTCCCCCCCCCTTTTTTCCCCCTCTCCCTCCCCCTCCCTAACCCCCCCTCCCCACCCATCCCCCCCGTGACTTCTTCATAACAAAAAAAAAAAAACCTAATTCATAACAGATTACTTACTCCCTCCTCTAGATATTGACCTTTACTTACTAAAAATATTATTAATATTATAACATCCCCCTTTATCCATACATATCAAAAAAAGAGAAAAGAAAGGAAAAAAAAAAGATATTATACTATGACATTATAAAATAACTTCTCCACTTTAAAACTATACGATAAGTCCTACTTTAACATTTAATCTTCTATATATATTACTATAACATTCCAAAGCGGCCTTCCCCATAAAATCTAGTTTAACATTTATTCCACTCTATCCATTTCCTTCACTCCCCTAAATATAACACTTAAAAATCCCTTTTCTTAGACTAATCAATCTACTAAATAGCTTATTCACCCACTATCATGCAAAATTGCCATACACAACATTTCTTAACATCTTTGATTCACTGCCCACACTTCTTAAAAATATATGTCTATATTTTCCATTATATCTAAATAAAAAAAAAAGAAAAGACAATGACTTTAAATTTATAATCCATATAGTATCTTCTTTGAGGTCTTTCCACTGGATTGGTAGAACCAACATCCATAATCGGGTAACATAGCTTAACTGGTGCAACAGTTTATTCAGGATCTTCAATCATATCTGCCCCCATCAGTAGTAAATATCTTCTTATATGTATAAAAGTAAAAACAACCACCCGAGTGACATTATAATTATATTCCATATAGTAATAATTGTGGGTTTCATCAGGATTATTAATTCCCATCATCGTAGTGGGTAACAACCCGATCTTCTGCATGCCCCAGCATAATTCTCTTGCCTTGTGATCAAGATAATATAATATGTTTATCAACACAAAAAGAAATTCCAAAATGGATAATTCAAATCCATCAGTTTAAGGCTCGTTTCACGTCCCCAGATTACGGCCATGCAGAGATCTGCCACAAACCTCAGGATGATATTAACCAATACGTCGCCTCTTCTGTGTTTACACATAATCGTTCATATTTTAAAATCACTGGCTTCACTGTTGCCTGATTAGAAATTTCTGTTTTTATGCCACCTATTTCTTTTTTTCTTTTCTTTTTGTGGGTTTGGTTTCCATCCTGGTTCCCTTTCTATAAAGTGTGTATCATCTGGTCGGTTTTTATTCTGCTTTGTAGATTGGTCTTGTTGGTTCTGCTTTTGTATCTCATATTTCTTTTTTATCCCTTGTATATCCCCTAATTGGTTTCCATGTTTATCCTTGCCTTGATAAGTCATCACATTAGGATTAGATGCCTCTTCTCTCAAATTTGTAGATAGTCCAGCTGGGGTATCCAATAAATCCAAAGGCAATTCATCTGGTACAGTCTCTGTAATTCGATATTTTACCTTTATTTCCGTCTCCTTCTGCTTATCCTGTATTATACCTGGAGATGTTAAGTTCATTTTCAACCTATTTTGATAAAATTCTTCCGCTCTTTCAACAGTATTTAGCTGATATCTTTCTCCTTGGTATCTAAATATAATACCCACTGGGGCGTCCCACCTGTAGGAGATATTTCTCTTTTTTAACTCATTCACCAGAAAACCAAATTTCTTCCTTTCCATCAATATCTTAGGTAGAAGTTCCTTGTAAATCCAAATCTTTCTTCCATACAATTGCAAATTAGAATTGAAGGAGTTTTGAACGATATTATTCCTAATCTCCTTATCTGTAAAATAAATCACCACATCTCTAGGCCATTGCCTTTGCTTAGCAATCCAGGAGTTGATTCGATAAACTCTGTCGATCCTACAAAACACTTCGTCAGGTTGAACCTTTAGAATCCCAGCTAGAAATTCAGAAGATATTTTCCTTAAATCATCTCTATTATTTTCCTGCAAACCTCTTAATCTTATCGCATATTCTGTAAAATTATATTGTACCATTAAAATCTCTTTTTCAATCTTCTGTTGCAGATTTTCTGCATTACCATCCATTTTAGGTTTTTCTTCTAAGCTATTATCCTGAGTGTTTGTCAAATCATTTTCAATTTTTTGAATTCTATTGTCCAATTTATCTTGAATTTCTTCCATTTTAGACTCTAGTACATTAGTATTTGCGTCCAACTGTTTCATAAATCCTGTAAAACCATTAACCACTTTTGAGAGTTTTTTCTCCAAAAAATCAAACTTAGATTTCACCAATTCTTTAATTTCCTGCTTAAATTTTTCAAATTGCTGATTCACAATCTCCTCCCTTCTTTCAATCTCCTCTATAAAAAATTCTATTATATTAAAGTCAGGTTTCTGAGACTGAAGAATTAAGACTTGTTCCTTTAAGTTGTTGATGGGGGGATCCCCCCCGCTTCTTGTTTATCTGACTTTATGAGTCTCAGTGCCATGTTTCCGCCCAGGCAGGCTTTGTTAAAAAAAAAAAGCAAGAAAGGAAAAAAAAAAGGACTTTTTTCCAATCAACAACAATATCAGGTCTCCAAGGGAAAAAAAAAGAGAAAAAGACACAGGAGCAAAGTTTTGTCTACAAATGTAGCCAGTGGTATTTATTCCGCTACATTGTAGTAATAGAAAACGGAAAGACTTCCCTTTCAGCCTCTCCTCCAGCCAATGCCATTTTAAAAGGCTTCTTTTTTTTTTTCCTCTTTCTTTTCCTCCTCTCTCTTAAGTAATTTTTTTTAAAAAAAAAAAATCAGTAAAATACTTGCAGTTCAATATTACAGGTCCAGCTCACATTTTCTTTGAGTAGTCTGTTAAATTTGCAGGCCCAAAGCCCGGAGCGGCGGCTGGGGATACGGGGCATCTCATCCGCTCCGTCCCAAAAGTAAAAAAAAAAACTTTTGGGACTCCGCAGAGAGTTCTACCCACCCCTGCCGGCTCTATCTCTGTTTCCTCATGGAAACGGAGTTTTTTCGAGCCGCCATTCCGTTGTGAAGGCGGCTCTAACAGGCGATGGAAGCTGACGATCCCAAAGGAACGTCTGGCAGCGGCAAACAGCAACCCGGAAGCAAGTGTTTCATTTTAAACTATGTCCATAATTCTTAGATGATCTCTTCCCAGTGAGTATAATTGGATTTTGTCCTAGCACTTAGCATTTCAGCTTTATTTGAAGACAGCCATTATTCAAGACTAAAATCCCCAGTAGTCCTTCAAGGACCTGTTGCCATCGCATTTTTGTTGTGCCATAGGCCTGGAGCCATTTTTGCATCAATAGTTAGCAAAAGATAGGTGACAGGACTATCAAGAATATTGGAACAGGACAGGAACAAGGCTGTTTTTTAATCAGGTAAAGAAAGTAAATGAAAAGGATCAAATGCCCTTTTGTGATAGGCCTGTTCATGTCCTTTTTAGAAAAGAAAACTTAGGATAAAATTGTTCTAATATTTTAATCTCTGCATAATTATTTGAATAATGTTTCCTGCATTTCTTTATATTTCAGATCCCATTTTTTGAGTTTAACCCACTGGACAACAAAAATGATGTAGTGGAATACCTACACAAGAAAGTATTTCCTAACTTTTATAGCTTCCATGAAAATAAAGCTGAATCCAAATAAATGTATATGAAGGCTATTGTTGATTTTGTGTTTGAGAAATTAAGATTTAAATAAACCCAGTGTTTTATCCTATTATATAGTTTTGTCTTTTCATGGAGAGAAAGTACAAACGCACCTCAGTTTATTTTTTTTTCTAATGTGATTGATTTAATATCATGTTAACTTGAAAAATACTTGCATTTTCCCCTGGTAATATATAGCATGTCCTGGGAAATGTAGGAATGTTTAGTTCTTAAAAGTTTTAGGTTTTTTTTCTGTTTAGTTTTTGAAGGCTGCGTATGCATGTATACAAAGGAGCCAGACTAGATGTGACAGTAAACATATAACTTGAATGCACTTATGTTTTAGGTATGTATGGAATTTATGTATATATGCATATTTGTATGTATGTATATTTTATGTATGTATGTATATATATTGCATACATTGTATATTGTTAAGTATTGTTATTTAGTAAATTTATATGTTGTCCATTTCACCAAAAGATGATTTGAGGCGGTTTACCATTAAGTAAAAACAACAAGATTCTACCACAAGAAAGGTTTTTATTAGGGGCCACTCACTTCATGTTTATTTTTTCTCCTCTGTTTTCCTGATTAAAATTGGCACTTCCCCCTTCTCCTAAATACTGTTCTGTGAAGAATCTTCCCTTCTGGGCTGATAGGCAATGCAGATTAAATGTGCCTTACATCAACTCACACTGTGGCTAGTCCTAGTATCTAGTAGCTTTGACAAAAATTCCACTACAAACAGCAATCAAAACAAAACTATTCAACTTCAAGAGATGAGATTAATGTCAAGCTTTAATGTTTGTATTCAGCACTAAAAATTCATTGTTATGAAGCTGCCTATCTATCAGCTGATCTTTATTCCTAATGCACAGCTCATATATAAATACTCACATGTGCATCCTTGGTATATAAGCAGGTTGATAGCTATTTTTCTCAATATTTTTTTCCTTTAATGGTACCTCCTTAGTTAAGCATTCCAAACATGCTTATAAAACATTAAATTAACGAAGAGATGAAATTGAAAGGAAAAGCATGTTAAGCAACAATACATGCTACCAAGTCCTTTTGATAATATTAAAAGAACAGAAACCTATAAATCATAGACAAAAAATGACAGGTGATTATTTTCAGATTAATATATGGCTATTCTAGTGTGAAGTGTGTCAAGCCACTTTTTTGGTGAAATCTTTGCACAATTTTTCCAGGAGAAAAAAAATGGAGAGGTGAGTACAAGTATAAACAAGTATCATCATGCTTTAAGGACCTAAAAAATAAAACCTGATTTTAGCTAAAACCCCAGCAATAAATATATAAAGATATTGTAAAGTTACATTTGAACTGTAAATCCAAGCAGGACACTACAGGAATTTGATACCATCTTGCTGTTAGGTATCTATCACAGTAGACTCTTAAGTTGGATTCATTTTTCTATCAAGCAAGCTATTCCATTTTTTCTGTAGAACTCTGCCTTTACATGATTAATGCGCACGTAGTCTCGGATTAGCTCTTCCACAGGTTTGTTTATATGCCGCCCATATTCAGAAGAAGACAAGACAGCTATAGGCCTTTTCTTTTCCTGTAAGAATATTTTTGAGATGTGATTTACAACTATAAAAATACAACAGAGATAAAGAGAAAACTAAATAAAATGCTTGGTATGGTGCTGCTGGCAATGATGGCGGATGCCCTGCATCGAAATCAAAATGACATCTTCCAAATACATTCTGGTTTCCTGAAGTGAAAAGAAGTAAAAATCTCTCATAGCTTTACACTCTTCAGCTATATCCATTAAAAACAGCTAGAGTCACCTATAATCCTTTCTAAAAGGAAAATGCTATTGGGATATAATTTCTTCCACCCTACAGGAACTTCTCTTAAAAATGCCTCATACTCTCTGTCGATTGTCTAATATGAACAAGTACTTTGAGATTTATGTTACTAAATATTTCCTCAAGGAAGGATTGTCATTTTTTTTTTGCAAAATACAACTGTCATCAGAATAATGAGCATTTGTGTAGCACTTCAGGAGGTTTATTTACACAACTGACTTCTAGCATTCCATTAGCAATATTATTCCCCATATAGTTTATAGAAACTTGATGGAAAGACATAATAGTTTGCCTATTTCAATTCCATATATTTCAGGGGTGGAGGTAAGCATTTGCTAAATTATAGTCTATTTTAATTAATGAGCTCAACATCTTAATTCTGTTCGTATCATACTAATGGCTTGGGGAGAGACATCCCTTGTACTTCAGTCTACTTTAAGTGCAAAATACTATTTAGATTTTATATACAGTAGATACTAATGTTACCTATATTTACTCTCAAAATGTATAGCACTGTTCCCAAATGCTGCTTACTTCCAAATAAAGCTTAATTCAGTCATTATAATACATTTTGTTAACTCCCAAACTTGGAATACCCCCTGCTCAAATATGTGGGAATACCTGCATCTATGACTCAACCAATAATCTGACGAGTTGTGTCATATATAAGCATGTTGTTTTGATATAGCCTTGGACAGATGTGTCACGTGCTGTTCACGCTCATGTCCGGCTTAGTGAAGGGGGGGAAAATCCCGATACGTCACATGACGCCATTGTGACGACGTGAGTTTGACACTCCTGCCCTAGAAGTTCTTACTCTTAAGTAAATTTGCATAAGACCCTAGCTTTAAACTAATAATTATTACAGTACTCCATTGCATGCTTGTAGAATGCAGTTAATTGGCAGCAGCCAGAAGTTGGCCATTATGAGTGAGCAGGAAGGAGAGTGACTAGAGATTTTCATCCTCCTGAGACTCGACAATCACCTCGTCATTAATATGAAGTCCTCTGCTTTTTGCGTGTTCTCTGTCACACCGATGGAGCTTTGCATCATAGCCGGTTGGTCTTTTGAAAACGCAGTCATACAGGGCAACAATTCCTGCCTTAAAAATAAAAAGGCTAGATCAGTTGAATGATGAAACAGGATCACCAGGATCACATCACAGTGATGGAATCAACTTCCTTGAGCATTCCGATATGCATAAACATTGGTATTGCCATATACTAAATTTTCTTTGCCAAGCAGTCATGTGTGTGTTCTCATATCTTCATAAAGAATTGCTGACAATAAGTGACAGAACTTTTAACAAGGCTTTCTTCAAAAAAATACAGTGCTAAACATTTTTATAAACACAGAATCTACAATAATTCCTATCTAGGAAACAGATATTAGTGACCTTTGCTGAATTTACCATAGCCACTGAATATATTGAGCTCTTCCAACATGATTAAAAGCCTTTAAGCACTGCTTAGCTTCTAAAGAGAGAAAGAAGCTGTAGGGTTGTTCCAGTGTCAGCATGCCATATGGCTGAATATGACCCTTGGCTCCAAAATTAATCTATATTCCTACCCAGTATAGAACAATACAAGACACTGCTCACAAATGAGATAGTTAAACATACAGCTCTGACCTCACCAACCATTATTCAAACAAGTGACCCAGCGTGAGCGCCAATGTAAAAGTAAGTTCCATAGACTACATGTTTCAAAAATTACATATAGTTAGTCCTTGAGTTACAACAGTTCATTTGGTGACCCTCCAAAATTACAACAACACTGAAAAAAGTGATTTAGGATTGTTTTTCACATGACCATTGCAGCATCCCCATGGTCATGTGATCAAAATTCAGATGCTCGACAACCGATTCATATTTATGATGGTTGTGGTATCCTGGGGTCATATGATCACCTTTTGTGACTTCTGACAAGCAGAGTCAATGGGGAAGCCAGATTCGTTTAACAATCGAGTAATTAACAACTGCAATGATTCACTTAACAACTGTGGCAAGAAAAGTGATAAAAGTGGGGCAAAATCCACTTAAATGTGTTACTTAAGCAACATAAATTTTGGGCTCAACTGTGGTCATAGGTTGAGGACTACCTGTATTGCAATTTGCTATCTGGGGCTGAAAGACTGAATGATGCTTCATTTCCAGAGCCTTTTAATAGGTATTTCCATCATAACGCCTGTCTTGGATGGATTGACCCCCCTCCTCCCAATTATGGCACAAGATTTCTGGACATACCTTGCTCTCCTGGTAAAAATAACTAAGTTCTGGAGGTTCCTTGCGTCGGGGTGGGATGTAGCTGAAGGCTGACTGTGCAGAGAGTGGAAGCTGGTGTTTCCTTATTAGTGCCTCATTGACACCTTCCAGTTCTTCCAACTCTTCCTCTTCCTCTGGTTCTTTCCCATTCTGGGCTCCTTGCATTCCTTTGTGAAGCCCAGTGTTCAGCTGAATGGCAGACTGGATTGCTTTGCATTCCCTACTAATCACCCACCTAGCCCCAGCTGGTGCGTTTGCAGAGTTCTTTGGTTACTAAGAGACCATCTGAATAAACTATGATGTCAAATCACTTATAAGGGGGTTGGAAGTTTGAGAAAAGCTGTGGCTGGGCAAAACAAAGCCCAGGCTGCTCTCGCACACTGCTATGTGAAATCTGTTTCACAAGTAAAGTATCTGTGAAGTCACAGTATTTGTTTACAGGAATTTCTCTGAGAAATACAGGAATAGTAGACGAGATACAAAAGAAGTAAGGCTGTGATTCTGAATGAAGTCAGTGTCTTCTGGATGACGGTATATGTTTCTTGAAAGGTGAGACACACCTTTGTAAGCGTTATATAGATATCACAGAATCTAAGTAGAGGTGTCGATATCGAAGAGGCTAAAGGGGGAATTAGTTACTTTTCAACTGGCAGATAGACAAAAGTTCCTTGAACAATGAGTTCAGAAGCATGAATGATTTAACGTCAGGAGAGCTGACGTTACTGATACCTGCATGCAAACTAATAGGAGCCTCATCAAATGTGTCTTCTTAGTAGCTGTTAATAAAAGGCACTGACAAATAATCATGTAACCGATCTTTTGGTATTTATCCATTCCTTGATGGAATTTATCCTAGGACATAGCACTACTTGACAATTCTTCATTTCTGATCACATACCATACTATATAGAGATAACCACTGCAAAGATAAGGGTGAAAAGGTAACAACACTGCCTGATGAAACCGCAAAAGTACAAGCAAAACAGGCCTTTATGATTGAGAAATGTCATTATTCTGCCAGGTTTCTGCTTCAAACATCTAATAATAAAAGCAGATTAAATTATGGCAAAATGGTAAATAGATTCCATTACCCTGCGTTCAGTTATTCAGCTTTCAAAGCTGACCTTTTCTTATAGTGGGTTTTGTAGATGTTGTACAATATTTGAGCAGCCTTCTGAGAAAGCAAACTGATGTTTATCACTAAAGAACAGTGTCTGCAGCCCCCTTTAGGCAAATCCAAGATGATGACATATGTACAATGATGTCATCACATAGTAAATATTAGAATTATATATTTGTGCCCTGCTATTTGAAACAAGTCCATAACTTCTAGATTTTACATGATGACACTTTTTGTCATTTTGTTTTCCTTATGGTGAAATTTTTACCAGGAATTGAATGGCATCTTTTGTTTATATATTATAGTACACTGTGTAGTATCATAAATTATTGTAAAGCATTGTCTTCCATGTTCTTTGATTCTTTTTAGATCATTATTTATAGCAATAGTTTTGCATAAATTATACTTTCAGTATTTGCCTATCTCGGATAAATAAGCTATTAAAAACTTGGCATTAATTCAGACTTCTCTTTGCAGGTTCAGCTTTTTCTTTTTATGATTACTAGTGGGATATTAATGATGAGTAAGTAAAGTGTTACAGTAATTGCTCTACTTTCTATATCCACAACAAAGCTAGGGAGAAGTTACTGACTGCCTCTCATTTTTCATATTTTTAATGGCAACATTGTGTTAAGTAGCACTAAGGGGAATTCATACATACAAAACGGCTATAAAATAAATAAATATATAAATTATTACTTTGTTAATAATTTATCCCTTGCTTCCATGGCCTTATCACCTTTGACTTTGAAGATATTTAAATCATATACTTCTGGCAGAAGAGTTTGGGTTTTTGTTTTTGCCTTTGTGCCAGAAAGCTCACTGATGACACTTAGCAGGTGTAATAAACTCACAATTGCAAATAAAGTACATAGAAATCTTTAATGAGTTTATATTACAAAAGACAAGGGCATCAAAACATTTTAACACATTTTATACAAAACTGGTCCTGCTTGTCTATGAATTCCTCTGGGGAAACTATCAAGCCTATTTTATGTTGTTGGCTGTGAGACACAACTAGTGAACACACCCAAGTTGTAATGATGAAGGGATAGAATTAGATATTCAGAATTATATAATTCAGGATTAGAGGATGTTATATGGAGCTACCATATTTTTCACGATGTTTCATGCAGCTCTAATTTTATTGCCATAGAGTGCTTTTCTCTCTATATATATATTAAATTATTGTCTTCATAGCCTCCTTCTGCATCAGGCCATTAATTTTTCTAAGTCTGGTTATTTTCCTTGATTTTTTTTACCACTGAAGGGTCAAGAATACAAATCAAGCTGTCATTATCTCAGTGCACAGCACTCGCTTTGGCCATTTCTGGAATCTGACAACTACTGAGCTCTCTTGATGGTGAATGGTGGGACGAGACTGTAGACACTACTACAGCAACATTTCTATACACCAGAAAAGTACACACATGTTGTTCATGGTGTGGGCTAGAGGAGATTTAAGAAAAAAGTGTGGGGTGCTTTTTCTCTAAAAATATGAGACTGTCTACCCTTGATATATTTCATGATGCCACATTCCCTTGGGAAAGAGACTTAGTCATTTCAGTATGTACAAAGTAGGTCTGAAGTTCTCCTTTTCCTTTGACGTTAATGATACCTCGGCAGGTGCAAATGTAGCCCAATGTTTGTAAGATGTTACTGGTTTCTTCTGTGACCTGCAAAAAATTATTTAAATAAACACATTCAGAACACACATTTTAAAGAAAGCCTAGAAATCTTTTCCTTCTCTTCTATGCCCTGAACTATTTGCTGTGGGTATCGATCAATTATGGGGAAGGTTTTCAATATAACTTTGCCAATTTTAAAGATGAGAATCTCATTCAGAGTCTTCCCTATTATTTTAATGGACATGAAAAAAAAATATTGGGACATATTCACAGTTTGTAATATTTAGAAATCCAATGAAATCAATGAGATTTCAACTTGGCTAAACCTGCAACACAATAAATTTGGTGGGCGGGTTGTAAGTAGGGCTCACAATTTACTGCAGGATCATCTAAGATAATGCTAATATTTTGGGGTGGATAAAGGTTTTTTTTTATTGTATTAACTTTTATAAAAATTAAAAGCAAATTTTAAGTTAACAACTCCAATAAAACTAGTGGTATATTTTTGTTTGTTTATTTGGGTTTCTCCTTGAAGATAGGAAGGATGAAGAGAGAAAGGGATGAACAGAAATGAAGGCAGACAGAGGTTCTTTATTTGTAGAACACGTGTAGAAAACTTTTTTGGTAGGTGTTGCTATTTTTCTCCCTTATAAATTAACTAATGAAATGCTACCTCTTCAAATGATTAACAATATAGAAGTTCTGACTCCCTGATCCCCTGCTTTGAATCTCTCTCCCTAAAAGAACAGAATCAGATTCCACACAAGATCTGTTGGCTATTAGCAAGAATAAAAAAATAACCTGTATTTTATCTAAAATGCCAGTACTATCCATCCTGCTGGCCACATTCACAGTGTTGCCCCAGATGTCATATTGTGGTTTCTGAGCTCCAATGACTCCAGCAATTACAGGCCCATGATTGATACCTGTAAAAAGAAAATTTAATTTATTTTGCCCTCTATTGTTATTTATTTATTTATTTAAATAAATGACTCCAGGCAACTTAGAAAGATAAAAACCAAATATAAAAGCCATAAAAAGGGCAATTAATATTTTGCTTTCTGATTAGAAAACTTTCCTTAGTTTCTTTTTCAATAAGTCAAGACAAATACAAAGATGCAAATCAAAATACTTCAACTTGATTATTTTGCTCAAACAGTTGTCAAAAACATTGGGGTACTTTTCTATCAAACAAAAATCTGACATTCTCAATATAACTCAGCTTATATAATCATTGCTAGTGTGTGATCCATATACTAAAATTCAGATCTCCCTCTTAAAATAAAAAGCACAGAGAAGGTATCTCTGAATTTAAGAAGCAAACGAGAGGGAGGGAGGGAGCGTCACCAAGGTAGTGCATCTATGCCAATTGCTTTGCATTCAGTTAAGGTTATCATTTTCCTCACATTCCCTTGGAGAAAACCAGAAAACTGCTGAAGGACCACTTCAGCATAAAGGAAATTTTTGTTGGCAACAATATATATTTCTTACTTGTCTATTTGTTCTTTATCGCAGATACTGATCAATGTAATAGATAACTAAACACAATAATGCTCAAGTTAAAAAAAGAAACATGAAACCATTGAAAAAATGGGCCCCAACCCAAGTGCTATTCATCATTTACAGTGTTATGTTACAGACAAATAATAGACTGCTGGCTAAGATAATCAAGGAGAAATTACTTAGCTGTTAATTTTAGATGAACTCTACAAACACTAATTTAAAAAAAATCATGGACATTAAATGAATGTCATCCAGAAAAAACTTTTATTTTATTTATTTATTTCTTGCCTTTATTATTTTGATAAATAACTCAAGGTAGTAGCCTACCTAATACTCCTTTCTCTTTCTATTTTCCCCAAATCAAGGCAGCAATATACACCTAATATTCCTGCTTCTTCCCCCCCCCCACAACAACCCTGTGAATTGAATTTGGCTGAGAGGGAGTGACTGGCCTAAAGGCACCTAACTGGTTTTCATGCCTAAGGTGGGGCTAGAACTCACAGTCTCTTGGTTTCTAGCCTAGTGCCTTAACGGCTACACCAAACTGGTTCTCTCAGGAAAAGCTTTATTAAGGAGTGGGATCAATTACCATGTATAAATCACAGCACAGCACAATTGATCCCAGCTATGTTGGGATAGATTCTGTTAGCAGATGGAAATTTCCTTGAATCTGTACTCTAAGTCTGATACAAATACGGTATCAAAACACAGTAGCACGAAAGGCCTGTAGATCTAAATTCAGTATCTCCTCCAAATAACAAGCTGATTTAAAACTATATTCAGCTGGTTCCCTAACTCAACTTTAATACTGCTCCCATAATACTGTTCCTGTGCCAGAGACCAAGACTGTCCCTATTTACAGATCAAGGCCACCAGCAATTAAGGAAAATATCTATATATATTGCAATGGCTCACAGTCCACAATCTTCATCCAGGGCTACCAATAAGAGTTTATCAAAATTAGGAGGACCAAATCCTATAGGCTAAATGTTAATTTTAACCAATAGTTAATTAGAGTAACAGCATCTGTGCTCTATAGAATGCTTCATTTGCGATAATATGAGAATATGACAGTACGAAAATCAAAGAATATTTAAGGATTTCTCAAACTAAAAACTACTTGAACAATACCAGTGACAATGATTCTTCCTTACACTGGAAAAAGTTCTACCTGGAAAGAGCCTAGCATATATACAGTAGCACAAATATTGCATGAGTCCTAATATTTGGGTGAGAATTTTTAGAAACCTATCTCAAACAGTGAAATGGATGAGCTGAAGTGACAGGGATCAGAGTAAATTGCAAAATATCTTTTAATTTCATTGACATTGCCACTTCTCTCATTTCATGGAACACTGCTGATTGGAAATCTAAATCTAGGGACATAAATTTTGTCAGTTGTATAATAGAGTTTGGTCCTATGTTCTTAAGAAAAATCTTAGATTTTAGATGAGTTAATGTTTCAGACTCAAAGCAACTTCAAGGACTGGGAAGAGTAAGTCAAGCAGGGACTGGGATACTTATTATATACCTTTCCAGCTCTAAACCTTATGCACTATGTGATCTTAGCTAGGACAGATGTGTTGAAAATAAGAAATATGAACCATAATCCACATTACGCAAATACCACTTTTAATGGTTCTATTAGCATTTAGTGGCAATTCATGGTCATAAAACTATGATTTTTAAGTTGCATGTACTTTTCTTCTAACAAAATTGTAAATAAAATAACGAAGTGGGGCAAGGAGAAGAACTGAATACAGTAATTTTCCATTCAGTGACATTTAACAGAATACAATGAACACACATTAGATGCCGTATCAATACTTTCCCAGAGGATCCTAGAAAAAGAGGTGAAAAAATGTTGCACCCTCTTCTATTCTTGAATAGGATCCTCAGTATTCAGGAAAATAATTAGAAATCACTGGATATCCTACATATAAACAAAACTGGGAATGTTTTTCTGAATGGAAAGGATGAGACTAATGCAGAAAATACAGTACATATGAAGAGGACGAAATACTGTTCAATCTGTGTCTATAGATTCATTGCCAAGGTTTTGACACTAGGGGATGCTGTAAACTAAGATGATTGTAATCTATGGGCTAGATAGAATAACAAAATATTGAGTGATAATATAAAAAGCATATTTTGTTAAATTAAATACTTTTTATATTTACACACACACACACACACACACACACACACACACACACACAGCCTTTTAACTTCATATTGTATTCAAAAACATTTTGTGTTCCTAACAGGGTGCTGAATATTGGAATAACCTTCGGTCAGCCAGAAATGTAATGTTCTTTCTTTTGATTCCACAAACTCTGAATATTTCAGAAAAAGAAAATATTTTATCTATTTATTTATGGGTTGAATTTTAACAAAAGAAAAGGGTATTTTTATTTTCAGCTATGTTTTATGGATTGTTGTAGCCCTTAGATTCATTATATGAGATAGTAGCCATGGAATTCCTGACAATAAATAAAATAAAATAAAATAAAATAAAATAAAATAAAATAAGGCAGGCTGGTATAACTCACATGTTCAGATCTAAAGATTTCTTAATTTTAAAAAAGGATGAACCAGCACAGAGGAAATGCAACCTTCCCAAAATCTCTCTTTCTCTTCATCACAAAGACCTTGATGGACTTACTCTACCTACTGTATTCTTATTCTATTATTTAAAAAGTATTTCTGCTAAAATGTATATAAGGTGATTTTTCTTATTATTATTATTGTCCCTTTTTTTTCTTGCTGGCATAATTTTCTGAAATTGCTAAAGAGCATTATATAACCACAATCTAACCTTGAGAAAATGGTAACAACATTTCTTCTCTATTTATAGAAAATCTGCTTCATATTCTTACCATGGACTGAATTCATGTTAAGCTTCTGGGGGTTTTTTGTTCATTGTCTTCCAAAATTTTGTGCTATGCTATGACTTTATCCTTTTATCTTTAACAACTGTGGGACATGTGGGACATAAAACAGATTTGTCCCTTTTTATAGACGTGAGTTGTTGAAATAACTAAGTAAAAAAATCCATGAATTTGTAACAGAATGAAACATTACAAGTTGCTGCTATGAGACTATTTGTGATACTCTTCACTTACCTACTCGAAGTTTGAAATCATTAAAGGAATGCTTGTTTATTACATCCAGTTTTGCTCCAAGGGCAAATGCAAACTCTACCATAGTCCCAATATGCATATATTGTCGGTCAGGCTCCTGAATGCAAACACAGACCACAATAAGGCAAGTGCAATCATCAAAACATGTCACCAAACTTGCTTTCTATGCATATCCATATGAAAACATTCTGGGAAGAAATGCTTCAATTTTAGGGCTACATGAACATTCATTAATAATATCAGTATCAATAATTAATATCAAGGGGACTTCTTAGAAAATGTGCAAAAATTAAGCTGTACATTATTCCTTGCAGTATCTGAGAAAGCATAAAACTATTTGCTGTTATGTTTGCTGCAACCTATGGAATATCAACATGCATGAGATTGGGGATAAATCTAGTATTCTTCAAATCCTGAACAAACTACTTTCTTCCTGCAGATAAGAAATTTCCCAGGGCTGTATCTAGATATTTCTGAGTTCCTGTTACAAGACCGTCTGCCAGTTTCCCATAGGTAAGACCTTTTCCAATTTCCTTGCATAAACATTTGCCACTTACTGATCATCATTCCACTCTCTGTCAGTGGTTTGCTGCACGAAGTAGCATAGGGAGAATATATATTAAAGAGGTTAGTGCCTGTTGTTAAGGCTAACACAATGGGACTCTCAGTTTGGGGCCTAAACTGTGAAATATTGGAATCTGCCCTTTACTGCAAAATGCAAATTAAAATGAAGGAAACAATCCCTTGGGTTCCTGTATCTGTTTTACTGAGACGGGTCCAGCTGTCTTGGACTATGTCTCATCTTGAAGGCACACCAGGGCATGTGTCCGTTTTATGAGCTGCAGTGATAAAATAGCAAAGTAGGATGGGGCTATTTCTGTGTATTTTGAAGACACAGCAAAGTTCTTTGAATGTATCCTACTTGCAAAAGAAGTAAAAATTGAAATCCCTCTGAATTTCATTGGAAAGGTAGAGCAGGAAGAGAAATAAAGTTTGATTTGTACAATTTCAAATTAAATAAAGATATAAACAATGAAATGTTAGGTATTATAAATACATTATTTTTCACCTGATGTTTTGAAGTCTCTCAGAAGCATACTCTATTTATTCTACTGACAGTGACAGTAACTTTTCCATTAAACTGGCAAATTGTTGTTTTGGGATGAAAAGTGAGCATTTTAGGTGTCAGTAATTGTTTTGTATTTCATATGTGACAACAGTAATTCTACAACTAGTCAAACAATAAATATTGGAGGAGGAGTCTCTATTTGAAGGAAGGGGTAAATCATGTAGCACAATATGGATCAATTTTTGCATTTAACCCCATAACTTTAAATGTAGAAGCAGAGAGTTGCAGAGAAGGAACATAATAGTTGGAAAGCAATTGACTTTTTCTTTACACTGATTCTCCCCACAAATGCTGCTTGTTGTCGGGCTTCAGATGGAGCCACTCTGATGGGGAAAGAAAAATTTGACATACTTTCTCTGATTCTAACACATCCTTTCATTCTTCGTGAATAGAGGCTTTTTACTACATTTGCCAAGATGATAGTTCCATGCTGTGACCCTAATTCAAGAGCGGCAAGGGGCAAACAAATTACTCTGAGTTTACAATGGGACTTTCTCAGATTTATTTTTCAATCTGAAATGAGTGAAAATACACCTCTGAATACTCTAAATAAGCTTGGAGCATTATTCAGAGGAGCTTCATTAGGATCAGGATGACTAAATTTCTGCAGCATATCCCAATCTCTGTCTTTTTGACTAATGATCTCTTCAAATTGTGTATAATATTGATGTATACCGGACTGTGTTCTTGACTGGGCATTGCACTTAGTCCTGTAGCGGCCATATATGTGCTTCCAATTGTCTTGATTTTTTCAACTCCACTAAACTTGGGCTTAGATAACAGCTGTGGAGAAACAGATGTCTGATTACAAAACAATCACATATTAGCTTTGTTAATACACACTTTCTATATTTGTCACTAGATACTTTTTTAAAGAAAGCCCAAGTAGCCCAAGTCCAGAAGAACTATCACCATTTTTTAGGGTAGTGTAGATAGAACAGTAGTAATCTCTTTAAACATATTTGCCCATGTCATAAATAATATAGAAACCCGATATTAAGGCACAATGCATATGCAGGTGAGATGAAGTGAGCCTTCCCCAACATATCTCCATATTCCAGTATTTTTATCCCAGGTCCTTGTTGAAGGAAACAATTTAGTTATAACAATCCATAGCCCTGAGTACAGACTGGATGGCAACATTAAAGCTGTATGGCCATAGTAAATCTGCTGATGTTGCTAAACTCTTCATCCTTTGAAACTAAGCTTGTGAGTCTGTCAACCAAAACTTTTTGTAAGAAGGGGGGGTTTGGTTTAATTGTCCCTGAGATTTCATACTCATTGTAACTCATTATTAGGTTTCCATTTCCATTTCATATTTTCTCTGTAGTCATCATGGCAGCATAGATGGGAATGTCTTCTCTGCACATTTTATTCCATATCAGAAAATGTGTAAAATAGGATGGGCTGAGACAGAATGACTGAGCCATAGTCAACTGGTGAATTCCTTTACTGAATGACAAGTTGAACTATTGTGTCCCCAATTCAATTCCCAAATTTTAACTACTACATTACACTGGCTCTTGGTTTGCTGTATTTAAATATAGAAAGAATATTTAATGTAGCCCTGAAAAATATACATATGGAAGTATTACTTTAAACAGTATTTTCTCTTGTTTCCATATGCTCACAAAAATGTAAACACAACAAGCTGTTTTATGTATATAATTACATTCCTCGAGGTTCAGTTTCTTTGCCAGGTTTGAAGCATCACATGCTTAAACATAAAGCTATTGTGCTGGTTTCCTAAACATATTACTTTAAATAGTTTTATTCACTGGCCATAAAAGTGCTAAGCTGTCATCATAATAATGGGAAAATGATGGTTAAATCCAAACAACCACAAAAGAAAAATATGTAAAACTGTTTAAAGAACAAAATTTGAGATTCAGGAACAGTTTCACAGCAAATCGCATAATCATAATGTCTACATGTTAATCAAAATAGTTTGGCAATTACGCTAAAGCAGTGACTGGTAGCTCTCAATGACTTTTTTGCCCCAGCTTCAAAGTTCTGCTTGCTGTTGACATGACTAATGTTCACTGTCTTCAATAATAGCTAAATTAATAACTGTTCTGCTCATTCTCATAGAGTGTACATTCCCAGATTAGTCCCTTCAATGATTTTCTATACTTAAAACATTATAAATTAAGAAGACGAACAACCCACAGCTTGTTTTTGAAAGCGAATATGCTACAATATCCATAACATAGTAGATAACGTTTTGGCCAAAGGAGAGAATTGGACGACATCATCTATACAGACCAAAGAAACTTCCTTGCACTAAGAAACTGGAATGAGACAGAGGTCTCATAGGACTCTTCTACAGAAGGCTTGGCCACATGCCCAAGCGACTTGGAAACTGGCTCATTCTCTTTTTTTTGTACACTTCTGTACAAAATATATAAAATATAGGGGAAAGAATCTATCCGTCACACAATTAAATAACAGCTCCTTTTGGCCACAGTCAACTTTATCCTTCTTTACCATATTTTTTGGACTATAAGATGCACCGGTGTATAAGATGCACCAAGATTTCGAAGAGCTAAGGAAGAAAAAACAGGTTTTTGCCCTCCCCGGTCCCCAGGAGCACTCTGCAGGCCTCCCAAACTCTTTGCGCGCCCCGTTTTTCGCAAAAACGGGACTTGCAGGGTGGGGCTTTGGGAGGCCAAAAATGGCTGTATTCGGTGTATAAGACGCACCAACATTTCCACCCTCTTTTGGGGTGGGGGTGGGGAAATGCATCTTATACTCTGAAAAGTATGGTAATTTTTGTCCCCCAGGAATTTAAAGTGGTATTCACAGCACTCTCTCCATCAATCTTCTCTACAGCAAGAATCCCATGAACTCAGTTGACAGTGTGATTTGAAGTTTAAAGTTAGGCATAGTTACGGATTATGGCCAACACTGCTTAGATTGGACAACCATTTGTCTGGTTTTCTGTTTGAGCAGGGGGCTGGACTAGAAGACCTCCAAGGTCCCTTCCAACTCTGTTATTCTGTAGATTTTAAGCAAACAATCTTCTCTGCCGAAAGGTTGAGCAAATGTAGTGTTCCAAAATATATTTCTTGGACAAAATTAAATGATTTAATGGGGTTAAAGGCATTCCTATCTTGGAGAGTGGCTAAGAAGTCTTTGTTTCAGCATAAGTTCTGGCTCATATTTTAATTGAAGGAACAATACACTTACATCATCAAAGTCAGCAATGATCTCATTTAGAAGCCTGAGACATTCTAAACCTTCTTTGTTAACATCAGATTCTGTATAAAATTCTTTGAAATCTGGAATGGAGGCAAACATGACACAGACGCAATCATACGACTGATGGTATAAATCCTGTTGTTGAGAGACGAATAAGAGACAATGTTGTCCATGTTCTCAGCAGAAGTCATACATAAAATAATAGTAAAGGAAAAAAAAGAAAAAGCGCTATTGATTTTTACAAAATTATACAAAGATAAGTTCATACCAACTTTGCATTGCTTCTTGCTTTAGTTTCATCAAAAGCTATTTATTAAATTAAAAGCATTTATTAATTTGATTAAACTATTAAATTAAAATTCATCTGCATGCTAAGTATCCTTAACTACAACAAACTATGTTGGCCATCACCAAAAGTATTTGATACACATTTCAGCATTTCTGCGATACACATCTCAAATAGCCAATTTGATGTAGTGGTGAAAGTGCAGGCCTAGAAACCAAGAGGATCTGAGTTCTAGTTCTGTTTTAGGCATGAAAGCTGGCTGGGTGACTTTAGGTCAGTCACTCTCTCTCAGCTCTCTCACCACATTGTTGTTGTGAGGAAAATAGGAAGCAGGAATATTAGGTATATTTGCCACCATGAGTTGACTAATCTTTTTTAAAAGATCTTTATAATTAATAGGCATAACTCATGTAAGTCTGTAATATGCAAGATGTAGCAATTGTCACAGATCCTGCTATCTTAATTGGAGATTGAGAAAGTTATATTATTTGGGAGAGTGAAATAGGACACTGCTTTCTTTCATCTTTTTAATTAGATTGGAAATGTATGAAAAAGATTCTTGCCAAAGGAAGTCAAAATTATTTACCATCAAAGCATTGTTCAGCATTTCCAGCAGAGAACACTGAAAAAAAACCCCAGTCCAAAACCATTTACATATACTGTACAGTTCCACACAGCTGTGCTTCCATATGCAGTTTGGGGGGGGGGGGGGGGGAGCCAATGCATTTTAGGATTTTCTGTGTGCATATACATAATTTACACTGCCTTTTCCAGTGATATGGTCTAGTGCAAGTAAATTGCTGGTTGTCTGTTATTGTTGTGCAGGCTGCAACAGATCAATAAGACAGATATTGTGTCATGAGACTGAGCCTTAATTCAGAATTCAGAAGTCCTTCCAACTAGATAAACATATGGTGATATTACATTAACATGCTTGATAGAGGTCTTTCTAAGCAGCAACTGAACACTTGGAGTGAAGAAATTTCAGTTATAAATCATAGAAATATGCAATGTATTTTGAAAGAACGTTTCTCAAAATACATTGTCAAGAGCATCTCACCCTAAAGAGTTAATGCATCCCCGTTCTTTGGAATTGCTTTGAAGACTTTTTCTAGTTTTCTGTGCTCATGTGTATATGCAAGAGAAAACTTGTTCCAGAGCTGCTAGAAAAATCAAGCAATCACGGACCCAAAAGAACGGAGGGAAAACTGCCTTTGAAACAGCTGAGTCTGGCCTTCCAGAGCCTGCAGCTACTTTAACACTTCAAGGAAGGGAACTTTGCTCTTGTTTACATGCTGTGACAATTGTCCCTTTTGAAGGCTTTGAAAATCCTAGCAAACAAATACTGGATCACTGGAAACTATATAAATACAACTCTAAATGTCATGGCCAGGGAAGAGAAAACTGACTGCTTGTAATACCTAGGTTTCAGATGGAAATGAAAACAGGTAGCTGGGAGAGAATTACTTCCTACACAAAGCAGGTCATTCTCATAGGATATAGAATTTCCCAGTGTAACAACGTTGGTACTATTTTAAATTTCAGGGGAGAAAATAAAAGATTTTATCATTTTAGAAAATGCTAAAACAGAAAAGAAATTATACTGAAGTGTAATTCAGGATTTTGTTTTGGGAAAACTGTCAGCAGGTGGATGCTTGCTAATGGACTAAAACAGTATTTTTTAAAAATGTCTTCAAGTCAGATTTTTTTTTTTTTTTACTTTTACTTCTGATGACTGCTTGGATAGGTTCCTGCAGTTTTCCTGGCAAGAGTTTAGAAATGGTTTGCATTACTTCCTTCCTGTGGCTAATGGAGAGTGACTGTCTCAAAGCCCCCCTTAGCTTTGTGCCTAAGCTAGGACTAGAACTAGGATTCCTAGTTTCTAGACTGGTGCCTTAATCACCATACCAAACTGGCTCTGGTTTTATGCCTTTGAGTTGGTTTTTTGACTCTGGGAGACCACCTGGACAAGTCCTTGCAATTTTTTTGGCAAGGTTTTTCAGAAGTGGTTTGCCATTGCCTCCTTCCTAGGACTGAGAAGGAGTCACTGGCCCAAGTAATTTAAAATATTTTTTACAATTAAAATGGCTATAATTTTTTGTGATTTCAGGATTTTTGCAAGAGACTGTATGGAACTGGCAAGGCACAAATGATTTACTTCTTTCTCCGGTCCTTCAAGCCAATAGATGATTTGGTAAGTGTTAAGCTTTTCTTTTTATTGCCTTTGGAGGTATATTCTACACCCTGATTACAGATTCATGTCTTTTCAGTTCAAGTGAGGGATTATTAGAAATGTAATTTTGTGTTGGAATACAGTTTGCAAGAAACACAAAGGTTTGTTTTTTAAGGATTGCTTGCAATAATGAGCCCAAGAACTGGTGACTCCAAATGTATACTGTTTGTTCTGTGCAACTTCCAATACTCACAAACAGACACATGTTATTTGTAAATTAACAGATATAAAAGAGGGCATGTAGGTCTCAGTGGTTTGTTAAATCCAAATGGCAACAATGTCCTAGAGCAGTGTTTTTCAATCTCAGCAACTCTGCGATATGTGGCTGGGGGAATTATGTGAGTTGAAGTCCACATATCTTAATGCTGCTGAAGTAATAGCAAACAGACATGGAGTTAAGCTGTTTTGCCAGTTCTTACTTTCTGGGGCAGGTGAATCTACGGTCTGTGGTTTGTCTTCTGCTCTCTCGAAATTGACCTGGTCAGTTAACCTAAGATGAGATGTAGTGAGGTGGACTGACCTCATTCTTCAAGTTCCTTGCCAAGAAATGTTCAGCCACATGAGCAGGCAATACATTTTCCAGAAGAAGCCGATTCAAATTCTCCATTGTCTCAATCTCCTCACGTTCTTTTTTGAACTTGTTCTTCCACAGGAAATCTAACCTACAGTAATATTCATTCTGTTACAAAGAGGACACAGAAGTAAAGAAACAATAGGCATCTTGTCCTATCAAATGGTTTTAAAGAGAAATATATATATATTTATACCGTGTTTCCCCAAAAATAAGACAGGGTCTTATTTTCTTTTGACCCCCCAAATAAGGGCTTGGCCTTATTATTGGGGGGTCTTATTATTTTGGGGGTGCAGGAGGCAGTGAGCGTGGGACTAGATGTCCCATCACTGCCGTCGCCTCCCCTCCCTGTTTTTTGCACCGGCCGAGTGGCCCAACAAGTCCCACCCCACCCCAATGGCAACAGCTGCTTCCCTTCCCCATTGTCTCTTTATCGAGAGGAGTGGCAGGTGGGGCAGGGGAGAAACGAGATGCTTGGAGCGAGACGTGGCTCCCCTTGCCGTCTCTTCTCCCCCCATCGCCGGGCATGACAGGGCTCCTGCCCTTGCTGAGCCATCCGTCCCCTTTAGGGATGCAATTTGGGGGTGGCAGGTGGGGTGGGCGAGAAGCGGGACACAGGTCTTATCTTTCAAGCTCCATCACTTTCCTTGCCATTGTGTCCAGGGAAACATGCTGTAAAAGAAAACCTTCTTGCGAGTTCAATCAAACTTCTCTTATTTTGGGGGAAACACGGTATATACATTCACGCCAAGAGATGTTCTTATCCTGATCCACTTGGGAGCTGTATCCATTTATACAATATTATACCACTTCTACAATATATGGCTGTGCTATCATATCTCAAGTTACAATCTCATATACCAAATAAGAGCTGAATGCATAACCTAACAACATGTTGAACAATGTTAAGTCTTGAGAAGGAGTCCAAAAAAACAATTAAGGGAAAAGAGGACTACACCACTGAGAATACTGAAGAAGGACACAATTGCTGGGGTTACTTATTCCTTAAAGTCATGTAACAAAACAATTCCCTGAGAAAATAGATAGGTTCTCATAGTATGCATAATCCTGAAATACTTAATCCTATTTTAACTTAGTCTGAAGTCAACCCAGATAATGAGAGATGGTTGAGTATATGAATAAAACACACCATGCAACTTAAAGCTTAAAGTATCCTTGTAATAACTTGATTTCTATTTGAGAACAAATAAGAAAGGTTAAAAAAAAACTAAAATAACATTAAAAATAATAATTAGAAAGATGAGGACAATGAAAAGTAAGGTAAAACAGAATTATGATTAAAAAAAGGGGGGGAAGAAAAATAAAATGAATAAAATAGGAAATAGCTACTGCTTCCATTTTTGAAGAAATGGAAAAGGCAACTACCAGAAGCTAACAGAAACATCTGCATTTTTTAATCTGTAGTGGAAACATCTCACCTCCCTGAAATACTGTTATACTCCTCTCTATTCTGTAGAAATAGCATGAAAAAGGCTCAAACAAAATAAGATTCTGGGAAGATGAGAGCAAGAGGAAACGGAGAAAGCAATTAATAAAAAACAAACAGAAAGAAACGGTGAATAATTTTCTTTCATGACTTTCATCGATCATAATGAAAAGAAGAAAAATGTCTCTCCAAAAATGCAAAGAACAAGGGGAAGCATATGGGATGAAAAGGGAGAGAGGTTGCTATATAATACCCAGCCTTTTTAAAAAAACAATGAATGAAAATGATACTGAATCAGAAATTCAGTCACACTTGAATTCATTTAGTGTGACTTTTTATTTTTGTTGACAGGGAGAATGAAATACGCTCTATTTACCAAATAAAAGTAATGACACTGAATAAAGAAATCTACTATTTATATAGTCAATGATCAAAAAGCCTTGCTTCAAAAGAAATGCTTCAAATATATTTTACTTATTGATAAATCTAGTTTCTAAAGCTGCCCATTTTGCAATGACTTTGGAAGCGTGCATATTAAAAGCATATCCAATACAATACAAGCAAAAAATAATGTGATAACTCAAGGACTAATCCACTCAGCACGTTAATAAAATGCTCACAAAAGACAGATACTTCTCTAATACGGCATCTGAGGAAAGAACTAAATCTTTGAGGTCTTTTTTTGAAGAACAATTCAAACTTCTGGGGAGATGCTATGTTACAGGACAGCTCTGCTACAGAGAAAAGATGTCATTAAGGTCCCAGCAAAAGACACCATTTTAAAAATAAGGCCCATAAGGTCTTACCAGTTAGAAATGATGGGAGAATAGCTGCCTTCAGATAACCAGACCCTATGCCATGAAGCGCTTTATAGGTCACAACCAGCACCTTGAATTGCCTCCTTAGGGATAACCAGTGCTGTGCAAGTAGCAGAAATGTCACATGGGTGTACCAACATATGACCCTAAGAGTCTGCACCATCGTATTGTGGGCTGGCTGCAGCTTCCAAATGGTCTTAAGGGCAAGAGTGTTCTGCTGTAAGTCCACATAGAGGGTGACTAAGGCTTGAGTGAGATAAGATTCATAATTTAGGGAAAGGTGCAATTGGTGTGCTTCATGAATCTGGACAAAGGCTTCCTGCCAAGCTATCACCTGCTGTTTTGACAGAGCTGCAGTTATGTGACTGTAGGAAGCTGCAAATAGAACTTAGAATAACTTTATTGTCACTTTGAACGTATACTAATCGGCATACTTTAAAATGAAATTTCATTGCATACAGCTCTCAAAGGGTCACCAATATACACTACATAAACATGACTAAATAAATACAAAATTATGGATATACCCATATATATTATATGACACAAATAGCCATAAGAGAGAGAACCTGATAGGTGGTCACATGACTGCAGGGGGTGGGTGACTGTCAGAACTCTGAATCCAGGTAAGTACTCCCAAGGGGAATCCATTGTAATTTTGAATGGTCACTAAATGACCAACTGTAAATTGAGGCCTATCTATACCAACTCTCTGCAGGCCATCACAACCAAGACATTACTGTTTGTTCTCTTTCCACCATCAGGTCTCACTCCTGTACCCTTCCATCTCTCCCCCAGGATCAATTGCGTTCTCCCCACCTCAAAACAGATGCGGAGCATGAATTCGATTTTTAAATCTGAAGTTAACAACGTGCACAATGTATTATAAAATGTCTCCGTTTTGTTTTCCAGAGTACAAACCAAAGGGAAAAAACTGCACATCAGCTTTCATCTGATACCGATAATCCTTGATTTAGGACCACAACTTGGCCCAGAATTTTGGTTCCTAAGTGTTGCAGGCATAAAGTGTGATGTCATGTGACTATATTTCTTAGCAACCAAAATCCCAGAAACCCATTGCCATCATTAAGTGAATTTTACCAGTCATTAGCTAGACCCACCTCAATTTGAGCAATTCTAGGCTTGATCTTTTCAGCCCTGAATCTCAGTAAAGTAAGAGACTGTCTCCAACTCTCCCTAGCCTGCCTTTCTGGCTGTCCTGCAACCTGCCTTGAGGGCCAGCAAGCAGACCCAAAACTATGTGGTTCTGGGATGTTTGCCATGTCCCAGGAAGCCACAGCCATCCCAGCTCCAGTCCCTTTCACCCTTGCCATCCTATGCTCCACCATCCCAGCCCACTTTTGCCATCTTCTTGCTCCTGCTGCAGATGAGACATGCTCAGCCTCGCTGCTTGGCTGGGCTGGGCCTGGCTTTATACCACATTAAATAAATAAATAAAGAGTGGGGAGTTGAAAGCATCCCTTGAATCACAGTGCACCCAAGCGTCCTTTTGCAAAGTGCTCTTGGGTGGGGCTGGGGCTGGCTTTGTGCTCTGAAAAAGGGGGAAAAAAATCATGCTTTTGGCTCCCATCGGCCTTTCCTGCAGTGCAAAGCCAGTCCCAGCCCAGTCAAGCATCAAGGCTGGGCATGCCCTGTCAGTAGCAGGAGCAAATAGATGGTGAAGGCCATGTCATAAGTAAATGCCTTATTCTATAACAAGAGATATGTATATATGTACAGGATATTAAGAGTTAATTTATTCCTCCCCCCTTTAATGTATTCATATGTAATCACCCCCATCCTTGACTCCTCCCCTTTGATATAAATAGAGAATGCTTTTACCTCATGCTTGCTTCTCACTGTAAAATCTGACAGAACAAGTAGAATGCCTGTTATGAATAAACTCTTCTTTAACTGAAGAAAAATACTTCTGAATTTATTATTGAGTCTGATCCTCAAAATATTTTAACAAACTGGTAGCAGTCGATGGTTGAACTGACTCAATAAAATCCAACATGCCTAAGAAAGAAAACCTCAAGAACAAAAAAGAAAGACCCAACACCAGGGCAAATGATAAAGAAACAAAAACAGATCACGAAATGATCGACGAACCAATAAATATAAC